AACCTTTCTCAGTGGCCTAGTGGTAGAGTGTCCGCCCTGAGACTGGGAGATCAGGGGTTCGATTCCTGGTCGGGTCATACCAAAGACTTTGAAAAAAAAGGGGCCCAATGCCTCCCTGCTGGACACTCAGCATTAAGGGGTTGGATTGGGGGGTTAAACCACCAAATAATTCCCGAGCGCGGCTGTGTCTGCAGCTCACCGCTCCCCCAGGGGATGGGTCAAATGCGGAGAACAAATTTCGCACACACACCTGTGTGTGTGACAACTAATGGGACTTTAACTTTAACTTTAATATATATCACGATACAGGGAGACATGTTATATTGCGATACCAAAAGCCAGACCATATTTGCTAATTTAAGACTGAATTCAGTTGGAAAACTCAAACCAGACGCTTAGACACATCCGGCATTATCGGGAGAGCTTGTTGTTTTGTCAGAATGAAGGAGGTACAAACTGCTGCCACCTAGCAGTCAGAGTTCAAATTGCACCAAACAAAAGAAATACGGTAAATGTTTGCATTTAAATTCTCAATAAAAAAAATTAAATCACTACACGGCTTTTAAATATTAATTCAGTATATAGGGTTGTCACGGTAACCGGTGTAGCGGTAAACCCCGGTAAAATAGTTGACAATAATAATAACCGTCTTGTTTTTTAAAAAAAATATTATCTCTGTGGATTACCGTGGCTGCGGTGTAGGCGCAGTGACCCTTACCAGCCACCGTATCGTCTGCTGAAGTTGCCGGCGGCACATGCGCACTTTGTTGTTTACAACCAAAACTTTCTTGAAGCTAAAGCTGAAATAATGGCCAAAGGAGGAGACGGCAGTGCTCAGGACATTTATTATACCTCAAAGAAGACAAAGTGGGAAGTACGGGCATTTTTTGGATATTTGAAGAATGCCGAGGGACAGTTGATAGAAGACGGCTATCCTGTTTGCAGCACGTGCAGAAAAAGTGTCTGTGAAAGGCAGCAACGCTTCAAATCTCATGACACATCTGCGTGACCATCACCCACAACTCTACAGTCAACGCAAGGCAAGCTAACGTTAGCGCTTTAGCTAAAATGCGTGATCCGAGGATTTGGGTTGAGGGAGAATGCAACGAGTCGCTATATAAAGCAGCCGCAGCGCCGCTACCTGCATATAAACCATGTCGCGGACACCCCCATGTTGAAATGACGCTATGCATTACGGGGCTCCCAGGGGCAGATAAGAGTTGGTCTCTCTCCGAGAATAATTATGAATTTAACAATGATTACTACCTGATGGCATTTTCCCAAATCTGCAAAGCTCACAGGAAGGACACAAACCGAGGACAATATTTTCTTGATATAGGGTTTATTACTCAAGTAAGGGTAAAAACGTATCTGATTAGAAGGCTATTTGAGTACTGAGTATCATCTGATCTAATATTTTTAAAATGATGACATCAAACAGACAAAAAATAAGAAGTTATGGGCAAATATTGCTATTTTAAAGACTAAAGGGGAAATATGTAAACAAATACGCAACATAATTACAAAATAACAAATTGTAGGCAAAATTTAGACACAAACTGAGGACAATATTTTCCTGATATACAGGGTTTATTTAGTTGTCTGAAAATGTAACACGTTTAAAAAAATACCATGATGATACCAAAAACCGTGATAATTTTGGTCACATTTACCATGAGGTTAAATTTTCACACCGTGACGACCCTAGTATCATATATATGTAAATATTTCAGTGTATCAATATTAGCACTAGCCCGAGTTACTGCTAACGCCGTTGTTGGACAAGAGGAAAAAAACAAAGAAGAATGTTGGCGCACTTTTGATTTTGAATGAATGTCAGCAGTACCCAAAGAGTATGGTTGTGTCCTTGTCCACTCCACACGCATACAGACACCCCCCCCCCCCAATCCTCCTGTGGACTAGCTGCATCGCAATGATTGTTTTTATTTTTTTTATTACTGGCAAATTAATGACTTATTAAAGAATATCCAAGTTTTTCCATAAATTTACGACTAATTTCTAAGACTTAAATTTGACCCCTTGCACAGCTCTTAATCCCATTTTTGTCCTAATATGTGCGGTATTTTTCTCTAAATATTGCAGAACGATGTTTCATATGAAAGCCAAAGACATTTTCTGAGCATACATAAACACTTTTAGTCACTGGTGTCGTGTTGACGTGTGCGCAGAGCAAACAAGTCACCAAAGAATGTGTCAAATACAAACAAGGTCTTTATTTGATCTTTCATAAGTACAGCTCTGAGATGATGGACAACAGATCCCAATCCAGCTGAGTCACTTTAATAACATCCTTTCCTGGAAAATGATAGCTCGTCTCATCCTGTTCTCACGCCACGATGAAAGATCTAATGTTTAGAGTTTGTGTGGAATCAGGAGAGGTTCTTTTAAAATGAAAAGCTAGAAGGGCTGCAACGGTGGCAAAAGCGTTCAAAGCTCATTGGCTGCTTTTATTTAAACGGTCAGACCCAACGCACCAAAGAAAGATGGAGTTCCCATGCAACCCTCTCTACTTTCACATAAATCTGTCAACAAGCACAAATACTTCTGCATGATGGATTTATTCACTGGGGCATGCACCTCCTGCATCAGATCTATATAAACAGATTACCGGATCACACAAGGTTTCTTTAACTATTACAGCGTTAAGCAACATTTAATCTGTTTTTGTGGCATGTTTGCCGCTTTGATTGAACGCTGGTAAATGTTGGAGCCTCCACTGAAGAACTATTGAGCAAGACTCACACAGTCGCCAATCTGAAGATGGCATTTCTTTACTTCTCGTTTTGTTTTAAGCACCAGACCAACAAGTCTTCGCACATTCTTCCCCAATGTGCAACTCCTGACGTGGGACTCTCCTTCATTAAATCATCATGTAAATTTTTCAAACAAAAGATTATCTGGATGCTTTAGCAGCTTTGAGACAAAAGAGTTACAAAAAGCATTAAAAATAGCTTGAGGGTTGTTCTGTGTTGCTCAGACTTGTTTCAACACATCGGTTTGTTCTTGTCGGCTAAACGTCTTGACTTTTCTGGATGAAAGTTAACAATAAAGCCCATCGTCGCACCAGAACTTTAATATCTGACATTTGTTTAGTTTCATTTTGAATTAATTGGTTCTCCTTAAAGGGACGACGAGTACATTCACGACTGAACGGCGGTAGTTTGAGGTTAATTCGTTTGTACCTTCAGGATACCCGTTTAGATTCTTGAACTACCGGTTGCTTTTAATAGCAAAGCTTCAGATCTTTTCCGCATCATGCAGCAGTCATTAAAGGTCTTTGACAGTATTATTAAGAAATATGGCTCACCTGTCTCTCATAAAATACAGAATATGATGTATTTTGTAAGTAACAATTTTTTAAGATTTAAAGCAACAATCCAAAGTTTTCCCCTTTTCAGAAATTATGTACGGCCTATTAGAAATATATAACAATGGTTGACTGTAGTGTGATATAATATAGGCAAAACATAGACACAATGCTTTCATACAGAAGTCAATCCACACATTTGTGGATGTCCTTGACTGAGTGTAAGTATAAGCTGCAAAGACATCTTATACAACCACCTTCATAGCCACAAAAACACTGATTCCCCAACTGCCTGCTTCTACTCAAAGTAAAGAAATCCCACGAAAAGCTCTTGTCCAAAGTGCCTCAAAGCTCGGCAAAGAATTTACCTCGGACCTGCCTTTCAATGGTGGAAGGATCTCCACGTTCGACTCGGACGTCAAACAGATGCAGAGTTAGCGACATTTCTTATAGACAAGTTAGTTATTCTTTAAAACATGAATAAACAGCACAATTGATTAGGGTGGATTATAAATTTGTGGTTATGAGTTCAACGCTCAACTGAGCAATGACAGTGATACCTAGAGAGGTGTGGTTGGGAGAAATATCCCCCCGGTCTGAATACGAGCAGTGTTTCTGGACTTCTGTGCCCATATGCATTGTCCATAATGAACACAAAGTTCAACCATAAAAGGTCAAAGTGGGTAACACCCTCTAAAGTGGTTGAGAACGACAGCCAAGCTCCTGTGGGACTTTCAGATCCAGCCCATCAAAATGGTGATGGCTAATCAACTGGACACTGTGGTGGTGGAAAAACAACAGAACACAGCCCTTGTGGTTGATGTGGCAATACCAAGTGAACATGAGAAATTAGAGAAGTACCAGGGCATCAAAGAAGAACTTGAGAAAGCCTGGAAAATAAAGACATTGGCGGTGCTCGGGGCAGCAATATATATATATATATATATATATATATATATATATATATATATATATATATATATATATATATATATATATATATATATATATATATATTATTCCAAAAAAAATTATACACACACACACACACAGCAAAACAAGGAGCACATCAGACTCCCTTTCATCACTGGCAACGAGTGAAGAGGTACTTGTGTAAAACAACAATGTTTATGAATGGTGACAGTTTTGTAACAGTTACAAATCAGTAAATGCATTTTGTCCTCATGGGCTCCCATAGAAGGAAACATGGTGTCTAATATGTCTCGCCTGGAGATTTAGACGCGCTCCCATGTAATTTAGACCAGATTTTTTTGGTTATATGTTACAAAGCCTCCAATATTTTTCAACATCTGGGCATCATTTAATTCATTTCGATGGTTATTTTCAGAGATTACCGGTAAAACTACACACTGTCTCTTTAAAATTTATTTGAAACTTTCCAGACAGATTTTCTAAAACTGTTTCCTCAGACAGGAAATAACACAAACAATATATTTTAAAATGTGGCATTCAAATGTCTCACAAAGGCAACAATTTATGTGACCCACTAAGAATTTCAACATCAAAAATGACACAGGTGTGTTTGAAAATAAGATAAATCGAGAAATTAGCCTAGCTAAAACGGCACTAAATAAACTAGTCCTTTCTCTTCGGTTCTGTGTGTTTAGAAACAAAATATTAAAACGGGTGTTTTAAATTAAACATGACTCACCTTAATTTTCTTGTCTTCCCCATTTTTATTCCTTAACGGCCGTTTTATGACACCGCTCATCCTCCCGTTCTTTGAACACAAAAGACAAAACCACAGAGAAGTTACAGCTGTCCTCAATAATAGTTCTTTGGAAAAGTGTCTTTCAATACAGAAGACTTCCGTGACAGGACAACAAAACAAACGGAGCGACTCAACATCTGACATGTGTACCGCAGAGGCAGCTGCGCCTCTTTGTCCCCGCCCCTGTGGTCTGTGCGGGTGAATAAATAAAGCCGGTCTACAGTTTATTTACACGGAAGGTGCTAAAATAAGCCACATTTGAAAAAAGCACTTGGAAAATGTTAACTTCCTACATCCCTTCTAAAATTCTCAAATATATCGTTTATAATAGGCTTTTGGTTTTGGATTTAAAATATTTTAAAGTCCCAAATTTCATGAAATGAAATATGAAATGTGCCATTGTAAAAAAAAAAAAAACATTTAAAGGGGTTTCATTGGCAAAATGATTAAAAAAAGTGAAGAACTGCTCTTAAAAAATAACATAATAATAATAATAACAACAACAACAACAACAACAACAATAATAATAATAACAACATTTCCTAAATCTTGCTTATAGGTAATTTTGTAAGGTAAAGTCTGACCTTCCTGTGTAAATAAAACAAATAACACAATGTAATATAACAGGATAAGGGTTTACACAATGTATAGACTCAATAAACAGCTTGTAAATTAAACACGCTGTAAAAGGACTTACAAGTTTTGCAGTAAATAAATGATTTTATTTTTGCTCTGTGCATATGAACGGTGCCTGACCTTAGTAAAGTTGAAGCCCCCTCTGTCCGGCAGACATTTCGTGTTAGTGCTGCTGAGCCACAGAATTTTGCACTCAGCCTCTTGCCTGATCTTCTTCCACATGGATCCAGTCTGATGTCTCTCTTCATTTGGCGTACTCTTTAGCAAACTTTTCTCAGCTCCTTGTCCCACCATATTCCTCCACAGAGAACTTTTTCAGGAGGGAATCTGCTGTCTGCTCTGCAGCTAAATCTGTGCCGGACCTGCAAATAGGATATAGTCCTGCTTGATAAGAGTCCTGCCACTCATCAGGAGGCTCTGCTTCCTGCTGGATCAACTCATTATCCTCATTTAGTGGTGCATGGACTGAAAGTTTGTCTCATCCAGCCGGATGCATCAACTCAGAGATGTGATTTGTTCTGACACCTGAAGAAAACTCGTTACTTTCTATCAAACAGGTGCGGAAATACATAAAATAAAATCCATTTTGACACAGAAACTGAATAATAATCCCCAATAATCATCCGTTTTTAGCGTTGTTCCGCTGTGGCTGACATAAAGGAACTCTGCTTTGCATTTGTATTTTAGTCTCATTATTCAAAAGGTATTTTTGTACCATGACACCCTCATAAAAGCAGTCACTTTGTCCTTATGATAAATGCATAGCAACAAATAAAGATGGCACATCTGCTTTGTGTGAAGGTTGAATGGACTTGGAGTAAAAATGAGTCAAATTCAAAAGGCGGATTAGTCACCAACCCAAAGCAAACATGCAGTAGGTTCACCTGATTATTCTTTAGCCTATATATCATGAGTTGCATTCAGTGCATCATTTATTATACCCCCTTTCCATTCATAAAGGTTCTTATAAACATTTATCTCATTCTCATCCTCATATAGAGGAGTTGTTGAAGATTAATAACAATGTTACTTAAAAGAAAAACCACAGAGGCTCTAAAAGAGGAAAACCAGAGAAGTTGGAGGAGTTAAAGGAGAACCAGAGGGAGGCTGGAGGAGTCTCTATAAGGGCTGGATGTCTTCTGTAATTACAGTAAACCATCGAAGGATTACAGACTCTGTCCTTACCAAGGAAACTCAGCCACGGCTAAAAGAAACACCCTGCTGATGTACTTTGAGGAGATCTGTGGGAGAATGCAGCTTAAATAGATAAGTGAAGCAACAAATGTGTAGAGCTGCAGTGTAGACAGAAACAGCTTTTCAGCGGGGCCTGATAAAAAAAATGGGTGGGCCAAACTTTTTTATTTGAAAATATATTTTTTTGTAAATTCCACTTTTAACCTGAACATATATGCAAGCATATATAGCCACATACCTCTTTTTGACAAGGATTAGCAACAGCAATAAATATGATTTTTTTTAAAGTGGTAGTGTGTAGTTTCCTGCCGCTAGGGGGCAGTACATACATTTCAGGGTAGTTGTACACTAGGGCTGCACAATATATCGTAAATATATCGTTATCGCGATATCAGCATGCACAATATGCATATCGCAAAGAACAGATAAATATCGCAATAAACAGTTTGCTACACATAATGCCTTCAGTCAATCAAACAGAAGCGTGATTTATTTTTAACAAATCAAATAGAGCTCTTCACCCATTTGGCCAATCGGGTGGGTTCTCGTAGGTTAGATGCCCGCCCCCGAGGCGGAAGACACTTAATTTTGATGGTTAGCAAACACCTGAGTTAGCTTTGTTCTGCTCTTTTGCGGATTCTGCTTTTCCCGGGATCCACTGATAGCCTTTTCTTGTTCATTTTCTTTTTCCCTTTCCTCACATCTTTTGCTTTTCTCATTTTGATTTTTTTTCATTGTTTTTGATTATTTTTGTTCCTGAGTTAAGTTTTTATTTATTGCAAGTAATATCGTCATCGCAATATTAATCACCGTTATCGCATATCGCAGGTTTTCCTAATATCGTGCAGCCCTATTGTACACCATATCATATGTTGTTACACGTGGAGCAGAAAGCATGCAACCTCGGAATGTCTCCTCAGATTTTAATGATCCTTCAGTTAATTTCCTCCAAAGAATGCAATGTCAATGCTAGTTTAGTCCTGCGCATGCCGATGATGTCATCACACTACGACACTACCGCTCGGCCAAAATATATTACATCCCCTTTTCGATTCGATTTTTTCACGTTTTGGAAAGGGTTTAGCAATTTTGTTATCAAATTCGTTTTTCTTCCTGCCGAAATGTTTTTGAATGTGGTGATGTAAGATCCACGAGTCGCACGTTCAGCCAATCATCTAGAACAACGTCATCGACAGGCAGGACCCCAAGCCGACCAGAAAGAAACATGGCGTCCACCAAAGATGCTACACCCGCACCCTATACTTGTGTATGGTTATGGTCTACGAAGCCGCCAATATTTTTCAACAACTGGACATTTTATTCATTTTCAGCAACATTTCGATGAATATTTCCAGAGATTAATGGTGGAAAAAAAACATGTCTCTTTTATATGATTCATTTATTTACTTATTTCTTTGTTGGGTCTTACATTTTAAAGAAAAGTAATGTATGATTTGTATGAACATTAATATAATTTATTAAAGTGAGGGAAGCGGATCAGGAATTTTCCATGGGGCACCACGTGCTAAGGGAGAGGTGACCATAAAGCATAAGAATCAGATGTTTGCTCCACCTTAGCCGACTTAAGGAGCAGCAGCAGCTCTACTCCAAACACCCTTGGAGCAAACCCGTTGAGGATCATGATCCATGATCCAAATCGCATGACCAGAGGAAGTATGGACCAGTAAACCAACAACTTTGCCTCTCAAGATTTGTCGCCATGACATTAAAACAACCGCCTCATTGGTGCAGGTACGCCTCAATCTGCCTGAGAGGAAGAAATCTACAGGATGAAATTCTGAAGATCTTAAACTTTCAGACTGGAGTTTTCCTCATCACTGATGCCGACTACTAGCATTCCGTAAAGTAGCTTTTGACATGAACCAGCAGACATTCTGACTCATTGAACAGCAGGGGGAGAGAAAGAAGGCTGAGAAACCTGTTCAGTACCTTCATCTTATGGGCCATTCCCATCTGTACCGGGTCGGCCCGGGCCGGGTAGCCCCAGTCGGCCCCAGCCTGGCCCGGTTGATTCCACACATCCTTGTCTTAAGCCCATGTGGGCAGATTCTACCCACCAATCAGAGGCTTGCTCTAATGGAAGGTGGGACTTTGCTGTCAGCAGTGGGTGTGTTGGCCCTGGTCGGCCTGAAGCAGACCCCCTCGAGATGAGGGCTGAGAATGAGCCTTGGTTGGCCCGGAAAAATACCAGGCCACCCAGATATGTAAAACAACCTACGCTACCCGGCCCGGGCCGACCCGGTACAGATGGGAATGGTCCATTATATTCTCCGTGTCCTTGTATAGGTGCGAACTCACCTCAGGTTGGTAATATTACATCACCAGCTCTTGTCAGGTCTGCTGCGAGTTCATAATCCTAAACCTAATCCTTTCGCTGAGTTCAATTACTCGATCGTGATATTTTACACAAAATAATTAAAAAGAGAAATATATTCAAATAAATACTTACGCTTGTACATAAATGTTTTATTTTACACAAGATCCAAATTTTTTAAGTTGAAAACTTTCGAAAATCTACAAAGCTCTGCAGCTTTGGTCAAATCTCGAATGTAAACACTTCTTTTTCTAATTTAACACCGTCATAATGTAACCTAAAATGCAATAAAATCTTTAAAATCTCAGAATATTATAAACATTCATTCTACAGATTGGTGCAAAAACAAAAGAAAAGTCCTTCCACGCATGCAGGTAGAGGCATGCTTGAGAAATATTATTTTAATCCGTACAGCAGAGGGAGTGGAGAGTTCAAACACTCCTGCAGCAATGTGAGGGGAGTTCTATCGTGACGGTAAGGCGTCAGAGTTAAGACGCGCACGTAGATGTGAAAATTTAAATTACAAAATAAAAGTATTACAGGGTGACATTGATTTGGCTCTGATTGTCTGGAGTAATATAATACAGGCTCAGTTTAAAGATGGTCACAGTCCAAAGGTAAAAAAACAAATAATCACAAAATGAATACATTCAGAAATAATTTATCATGCAACAGCAAAAAGCACCGATTTAGATTCTTTTATTTTAGGTGAAATCTGCAGCCTGATCTGGTAGTAGACTGCTTTAAAACATGCAGAGGAGTCTTTAAAAAAACAAACAGAGAAAAACCACACAGCACAGTGGTCGCAAAATCTTTTTTAAATATGTGAAAAAACAAAAACAAATATCAGATTTGTGAATAAACCACAGCAGATGTCAAAACTAAAGAAAAAAATCTGCTACACAAGGAGGTTTTAGATCTGTCCTCTTCATCCCTCAGTTCTGGTTCAGGACGAAGGTGACGCCATAGAGAAGTCATCCTCATCATCAGAGCTTAAGGTGGACGAGCTCAGAGCGATCCGGTGCGTCTGCTGAGCCTTTCGCCTGAAAAGAAAAAAAATTCACTTCTCAGAATTTGTCAGATCTGCTGTTTCCAGTCACTTATGAAAGAGCGCCATCTAGTGTTCAACTCTAACCCTGCCACGCACGGAGGACCTACTTTAGCTCGCTCTCGAGCGCTGTGACCTTTGCCCGCAGAGCCTCCTGGAGCTCCTGCTGCTCCTCCAGGTCCCGGAGGACTTTACGGCGGACTCCTTCCAAGCGCTCCACCTCACTTTCACTCTCGTCCACCTGCCGCTTCAGGGCTTTAACACGGAGGGTCAGCTGAGACGGGAGAGGGAGAGGAAAGGGGTCAAAGGTGACGACGTGGGGTGCTACAGAGTAGGATTTCTAAGGAAGAGGCTATGACTGATTCAACAGCAGGAAGAGTTTTGGAGACAAGAGGTCAGGGGTCATTCTGTGATGGAGTGAGGTCAGATTTGGGTCAGGAGGGGAGCACATCTCAGTCAGTTTAATGAATGAAAAGCAGGTAAACTTTAAAGCCAAATGATCAATATTAAACCAGTGAAATTGAATTTACCTGATCTTTCTGCTCAACATGTTGGCTTCTCTCCTGGTCCAATGTGACATTTAGCTCCTTCAGTTTCCTCTCCATCCTTCTCTGGGACGCCTGGATGCTGCTCTTCTCTCTGAATCGAGCCATGATGCAAACAAAGGTTTTTTTTATATTTGAGGCACTTACTATTTCACGTGTTTTTTTTGTACAGCACCTGAAATGCAGCTGTGTTTGCATGTTCGCTCTAACGTGCTCTAACTGCAAACAGAGCCCAGAAATTAGTCTGAACACAGAAAGGAACTCCTTTAAATAATACAAGTACACCTTTCTGAAGATTAAATCTTAATTTTTAAAAACATTTAACTGTTTTAAATGCATGTTTGTTCAAGCTTTGTTGTCTCTTATTTTTGTCATCTAATTTTTAATCTAAAAATGTAAAAAAAAAAAAGTTTTATTACTTAAGACATTTTGTTCAAATTATAAATAAAACAAAACATGTAATAGAATGAAAAAATAAAATGTCATTAATTCAGTATTTATACATCGTGCTGCATCATGAATTCTTGAGAAGTTTTCCCACCAAGTTTTGCTTTTGGCCTTTTATTTTGAAAATTCCAAGTAAACAAATTTTATCTTAAAGATAAAGAAAATAAAATGTACATGTTAGAGCATTTTGAAAAGTATAGATAAGTCTGTTACCTTTTTCAAAAAGCAATTAAAATAAATGTAAAACATCTACTCTCCACATTTCTGACTTGCATCAATAAACGAGAACGTATTTTGTGACAACACAAAAATGGAGTCAGACTGAAATATTAAACTGGGACTTGTTTTTCCCCTTTTATTTTTTGTTCTCACTTCTTTTTTCCTTTTCTCTCTTTTTAAAAAAAATTCTTTTTGTTTCCTTTTTTGTTACTCTTTTTTTTTTCCTTTTCTCTTTTACTTCCTGGTGCTTGTTAAGTTACCGTTTCCCAAAAGTAGGACTTGGGACCCCTCTGTGGGTTGCCAAACCTTAAGTTATGTCATCAATAATTATTCTTGAATATTTGTTGGCAACCTTCATTTCGCCACTCCAGAGCCAACTGTAGCAGAATTAGTTAATTAAGATGAAAATTTGAAGACATGTGATTTTTCATGTTTTCATGCCTTTATCAAACTAATTTCACCAACTAATTCTTGTTTTGGTAAATTTTTCTAAACATTTGAGTTCACATTTGTTTTGTGCGATTTAGAGAAACTCCCGTTACCGCTCCTCGCTGCGCAGCCGCTCCTCCAGCTCCTGAATCTTGTTTTCCAGCAGCGTGATTGCAGCCGACGGTCGAGTCTGTCCCTCCATGTCGGCGACGCGGGACTTTAACTCTTTCACCTGTGAGACGAAGCGCGGCGCGGACATTATTAAACGACCTTACCGGAATCTCGTTTCCCTGTTGCTGGGACGACGTACCTGTCGCTCCAGAGCGCTCTTGTCCATCTCCAGGTCGTGTCTGACCGAGCGCTCCTGCATCAGCTCAGATCGCAGCTGATCCACCTGCAAAAGAAAGAAAAAGGAACGTTTTCAGTAAGTCTTTCAGATCTGCGTGCCTCCGTATGATTTGCATTCGTATTCAAATATCCTGATGCTGCACCTGATCTCTGGTTCGGCTTATGCGATCATTCAGTAGCTCCACGCTGCTCCTCTCCTCGTCCACCTCCAACTCCAGAGTTTTAACTTTATCCTGCAAACACAAACAGAATTTTTATCAACTAGAAACTGTTCCAGCCATCTCCCTAGTCGTGACCTTTGACCCGAGAAGCCTCACCTCCAGGGATCTGATCTCGCGGCTGCGGTCGGTGTGTGAGCTCTTTTCTGACTCCAGCTCGCCCTCTAGGTGCTTCAGACGGTTGTTGAGGAGGTCTCTTTCCAGCTGAGCGCTGTCTCTCTCCTCACTGCACGTCAGCAGCTCCTTCTTCAGACGGGAAACCTAAAAATTAGTATAAAAATGAAGATATCTCATCTTTCCAAACAAACTTGTCAGATCTGAAATGCTTGGAGGTTGATGAGAAAGATGATGCAACGTGGTGGCAAGCTGCGTTTATTTTTTATTTATATTTTCTTCTAAGACTAGTAAAGCTCCTCTAAACATGCACTTTGTCGTCGTCTTCCTCCGCTTATCCGGGTCTGGGTCGCGGGGGCAGCATCCCAACTAGGGAGCTCCAGGCCATCCTCACCCCAGCCACCTCCACCAGCTCCTCTGGCAGGACCCCAAGGCGTTCCCGGACCAGATTGGAGATGTAACCTCTCCAACGTGTCCTGGGTCGACCCGGGGGCCTCCTGCTGGCAGGACATGCCCGAAACACCTCCCCAGGGAGGCGTCCAGGAGGCAACCTGACCAGATGCCCAAACCACCTCAACTGACTCCTTTCGATCCGGAGGAGCAGCGGTTCTACTCCGAGTCCCTCCCGAATGTCCGAGCTCCTCACCCTATCTCTAAGGCTGAGCCCGGCCACCCTACGGAGGAAACTCATTTCGGCCGCTTGTATCCGCGATCTCGTTCTTGGCCATAGGTGAGGATTGGGACGTAGATCGACCGGTAAAATCGAGAGCCTGGCTTTCTGGCTCAGCTCCCTCTTCACCACGACAGATCGGCTCAGCGTCCGCATCACTGCAGACGCCGAACCAATCCGCCTGTCGATCTCCCGATCCCTCCTACCCTCACTCGTGAACAAGACCCCGAGATACTTAAACTCCTCCACTTGAGGTAGGACCTCTCCCCCGACCCGGAGTTGGCAAGCCACCCTTTTCCGGTCGAGGACCATGGTCTCAGATTTGGAGGTGCTGATCCTCATCCCAGCCGCTTCACACTCAGCCGCGAACCTACCCAGCAAGAGCTGAAGGTCAGAGCTGGATGAAACTTTGCGATATTTTAATCCCACCTCCTCCTGCTGGGCCTTCAGGTTATTCTGAGCCCTCTGCAGCTCAGCCAGCCTGTCCTTGTTGTTCCTCTGCGCCTCCAGCAGGTCCTTCCTCGATCGCTCCCTGAAGTCCTCCAGCTGGGTCTGCAGGGTGGCCACCGACTGACGCGAGTCTCCCATCATCACCTCCATCTGAAGAAGAGAGGAGTGAAAGCGCTTCTACATGTGTATACGCAGCATTTGCTTGAGTGGTGGGGGTGCCCTGCCACCCTCTGCTGATTATTTCCTTTCCTTCCGATCCAGAACATCCACATCATATTTCGTGTTGTTTTAATACTAAACAGTGATTCCCACAGATGCAACTATGCCCATTTTTGTGCAGCCTACGGTTACAACAACCGGCGTGCTATTGAAAACGGATCACGTAGCATTACTAGTGACTTTTCTAGCCTAACTGATAGGATTTTATATTTAAATTTATTAATTTTATTTTATTATATTTAGAATGTAATCATCATGTACACCTCGTGTCCGATTTTGTGAAAAAGTTTGATAAAATGGGTTTTTTTAGTTCGGTAAGCATCTTCCTCAGGAGAAATTAATGCACTGGGGGCAAATGGAGACCCATCTAAAATGACTGCCGGCCACTACGACAGCTCCAACAGGCAGCGCCTCTACGTATACACGTCTGTGATCCAAGTCTCTGGGCGATGCCATATTAGACCTCATGTTTTCTTCTACAGGAGCCCGTCAGGGACAAAATTAATTTACTGGTTTGTAACAAGCAATTACAAAACTTTCACGATTCATAAACTTTTTTTTTTTACACATCTACCTCTTCACTCATCGCCAGTGATGAAAGGGAGTCTGATGTGTTGGGTCATTTTGCTGGAGGTCGAATGATCTGAAATGGTGCTCGCTCAAAAATTGTGTTCCCAGGGATTTCTGACCCTAATGGCCGCCCCAGCCTGATTTCACTCTGCCCCCAGCTATATGGATGTTATTTTAACTGCAGTTGCAGCATTGCGCCACTATGGGGGCGCTGTATCAGCAGCGTGCACTGAAAAGCGCTAAAACCGCTGCAGAAAAATATTAAAAATGGCTTTTCTTGCTAGTTGGTACATATCTATGGTTGGTGCTATATGTCCTCTTTCCCCCGGACATGTCTGTCCAGGGCGTCCGGGGGGGGGGGGTGTTTCCTACATTGATCAAAATGTCCGGTTTTTCATCCAGGAGCAGGGATCGAGTTATGGGGGGCTAGATATCTTTCAGGGAAAGATCCAGTTTCTGCCTATATTACAGTATTTCTGGACTCTCAGCGTAGCGGGATTCTGTTGAGCGGAGAGGACGCAGAGCGCTGATCGTTGGTGCGCCCGCTGCGTCCGGCGCATGATACATTCTCAAGGTGGCGCAACAAAACATTATTATTAACACATGATCGCTCATATCCATTTATATCCTCTGGTACTCTGTCTTTTAATCGTTCCTGACACGCTCCGCTCATCGTGCGCTGCGGTGATTTCACCTCACCGACGCAGCATCGAAACGCGCACTCCGCTTTCCGGTCAGGAGATCCCTTTGATCTGCTCAAAAGTAACTCGTGAGGTGAAAAAGTAAGAATCCAGGCAGCAGTTTTTCTGGAGAGTTTAGAGGAGATGCAGGAAGATGAGAGACAGACAGGACAGGGAAATAGTCAAATAAAAACAAGAAAACAAAGCTTGAAAGTCAAATGTGGGTAGATTTATCTCCACTACATGTTTTTACCTGAACAAAGCAATAAGTTATGCACATGTAATATTTATACATCTGATACAATTCAGCTCACCTTCTAAACTCAGTCACCAGTGATGGGAATAACGCCGTTTAAAATAACGGCGTTCTTTTTTTGGGTAACGGAATAATCTAATTAATTACTTTTTCCACTGTTGCAACGCAGTTACCGTTACTGGGGACGGAAGGTTGTGCATTACTATGCGCTTGTCGAACGTTGAGCAACAGTGTGAGGCTTTCTGACCGCCACACTTCAGCTGCAGCCAGAGAGAGAGGTGTCGGTAACGCACTTACAAACACGACGATGATTGGCCGGGTGGGCGGAGACCCTCACTGTCTCAGTCGCTGCGTGCTGTAGACACAACAGAGCAGTGATGGGAATAACGCCGTTTAAAATAACCGCGTTACTAAAAAGATATTTTTTTCAGTAACGAGCAAACTAATTAATTACGTCTTCTTTTATCAAAACGTTGTTTCTGTTACTGATAAGGAAATGTGTGCGTTAAGCAACGCGGTGTGTTGAAGCTGTCATCAGCTGATCAGGAGCTAAAGAGGTAGATGCTTTCATCCAAGAGTATCTTGGCCATGAAGAACGAGGAAGACGTGAGGAATAGACACGGCTGCAGATGCTGCAGGTGTGGCTCTGCAGCCGTGACCTTCTTAGCGTGACAGCGGGACGTCCCGAAGGTCCGCTCACCTGTTCACCGCTCAGACGCCACGATCTTCTACCTTCCTAGATCACCCATCTGTTACCTGTTCCTGATCACGTCTTTAGTCCCGCTCTAACACTGATGCATCAGTCTCAGACGGCATGGAGCTCAGGTGTTATTAGAACTACCTGTGTGTGTTTACCACCCAGCTTCAGCTCTTCTGTGGTTGGGTCTGACCCAAGTTAGTAAATGTAAGTCCTCCATCAGGCTTGTGCCTCTTCTGGTGTCATTTTAAGTGATTTTATTTATTTATTTAACCGTTACTAGATTACCAGCAACAGAAATGCTACTAATAACAGACAATTATGTGAAGCTGGAAAAATTAGAATACTGTGCAAAATTACATTTATTTCTGTAATTTAACTAGACTGAGAGACAATTTAAAGGCTCGGGAACCTTTACAGGTGATTCTATTTGCAATTTTAAATTTTAGCTGATTGGGGTCTTGTTAAATATCACACAGTGACCTTTTAATAGTCTAGATAAGTGTAATGTTCCTGTTAGTAGTTCCTCCTGTTAAGTGCTTATTTATTTAAATTATTCAGGTTTATAAAAACATTTTGACATACATTTTATTATGTTCCAGTCATTAGTCATTTATATTTCACTCTTGTAGTCATTTATAGTAAATTAAGTAAGTTCAATTAACCAATTTTTCTTGCATTTTTTAATGAAAAAAGTAACTAAGTAGTTATTTTTCTTGATAATTAGTTAACTTTATAATCTCGTAACTCAGTTAGTAACTGAGTTACTTTCTTGACAAAGTAATTAGTAACTATAACTGATTACTTTTTAAAAGTAACTTTCCCAACACTGTCAGTCACACACCCAGGGCCGTTTCAAGGCCTTTGGGGGGCCAGAAGCCTGTGTAATTCCTACCCTGTCCAGGAGTAGTTATACAGTGTTTGTAAACGCTCCTCACACATCACTGACATGTTCTAATATTATCATATGGAAAACTAAATTATCAGACATGCTGTCTCATCTGCTGCTTTTCTAAACTTGCAACAAGTAACAAAACCATTTGAAAGTCACTATTGGTGGATTCTCTGAAAGTTTCCATGGAGTCTGACAAACCATCTTTTTCATTGATCCTAAAGTCTAATCTCACAGCTGAAACAAGCATCTATAATAATCTGTGCACAGGAAGCTTACCGATGCCGTAGTAAAACAAAAGGTATAATGATTTCTTATTAATATAATGTTGTTGCAGCACTAATGCAGCAGAAAAATGAAAATTTGCAAAAAATATGGAAATTATTTACACATGAATTGTTTGAGAGCCATTTTATTGGCAGAATCTGATATTACACCAGGAAAGAAATGGTCCCAACGTGGTCTGTGTGGCGTTGCCATAGTGTGACGTCATAGGACCGATCCTGTCCTCTTTATTTGGAAATGGAAATATGGTCACCCTAGGGTTGTTTGTCAGTTGCAATTCCATTTTCAAGCGAGAAAATGTAAACTAAACCTTCAAAAGCTCTATTACCTCCTTGTTCAGCTTCTCCAATGCTCGGTCCAGCAGCCGTTTCTGCTCCTCCAGGTCGCCTTTGCCCCTCCTCAGTGCCTCTCTCTCCAGGTCCCTCTCCTCCAGGCGCCGGGTCAGCTCGTCCTTCTCCTTGCCCAGCTGGGTGGCACCCCTCTTGGCCTCCTCGAGCTGAGCCTTCAGGGAACGGTTGTCATCTTCCAGAGCTTCCAGCTCCTCTTCGGCATTGGAGCTCCGCGGCAGACTGGACTGAAGCCTTGTCTGGAAAACAGGGACGCATCAATCATGACAATGTGATACTTTATCTCTGGTTTTTGGAGCAGCAGATCATAAAAATCTTTCATTTCAGTCACACCAAACTAAATTCTGTTTGATAATGTTCTTAACAAGCTGGCTACTTTACCCGAGAATCCTTCCCCCATTCTGTGACTGTAGCTGGTAAAAAAAAAAAGCATCTCATGCAAATTCAGCTCAAAGGGATTATTTTCTGAGCTTTTATGTGTATGTTTTGATTTTCTTGATGCCTCTTGGTAGAAAATAGAGCCTGTGTGGGAGGATCTCTTTTGTTTTGAGAGGTGTTTGTGTTAGCATGATTTAGCATCTGTTTCTGGTATGATACCATGCGGGTCAGCCTCTCTCGAAGGCGAGGGTTTTCTTCCTGCAGGCTGGTAGCATGGTCCACTTCGGTCCTTCCTGCAGACCCAGCTGATGACTGAAGAAGATCAAGAAGATGCATTTATTTATTTATGTTGCCTGGCATGCACAGGCACCGATTTTGTCTTTATTCTGTGCATTATTACCTTTTCCAGCTCGGCCTTGTCTTTCTGAAATTGCTCCTTCAGCCTGCTGATGTCCAACCGAAGCTCCGCCTCCTTCTCATCACTCGCCCTCCTCAGGGCTTCGAGTGCCTCATTCTTCTCGTCTATCTCGCCTTTTAGCTTGTCCAGATCGGCACGAGCCTGCTTCAGGTCGTCATGACAACGACGAAGCTCCTTGAAAGAAGTAATCAGAGACGAATAACGTGTGATTGAGTGGAATCCGTGAAGGTGCATAACAATGCAGTAAAACTGAACAGACGAATGAAAGGATGCAAATTCTGTGGCTGGCTAGTAGAAGCTCACTTACACTTTAAAACTATGATGATCCCTTACATTTCACCCACACACTGAGAATAATTACCTCCTTTAAAGAAAGGTTATCGGCAGACGCAGACTTTTCTTTCTTCAAAGAAAGCAAAGAACTTCGAGCATCCTTCAGGGAGTCTTCAGCCTTTTCCTTCTCCAAAACAGATTTTTTCAGTCTGCAGAACAAAAACCATCTTAATTAGGACACAGCAATAAAATGTTACATGTTGAAACTCCCAAGGCCTCCAAGACACACACATCCATGTGTGTGTAGTGCATAAATCAATTAGCCACATCATTAAAACCACTGAATATGAATTTTATATCGGTGAGTGATCCCACGTGGGTTCTGTGGGACTTTTGGAGGCAAATTTACCTCAAACAGGTGTTGATTGGTGCTGACATTCCTGACATTCACTTCTTTATGTTTTGCTTCCAAACAGCCAGACTTTCCTGTCATATTTTACAGAGGACCTTGTTCTATTGCTCTTCTTTCTTTCTGAAGATATTTTAAAGTTTTAATTTAGACTTTGGTTACTTATTCACACACTTTTGATTCAGATCTGGATCGTGTTTTTGAACGAATGTTTGCTTGTTTGCCACTGAACTCTGTTCTGTGAGTTGTTGAGCAAAACTATGCTAAACTCATTATTTGTATCAATAAAAACACCAAAGAACACAAAAATTTGTAGGTTTGCACCAACACAGTGGTGCCCCCAAGGGGTAGTTTAAAGGGGGCCATAGCCTGTATGGAAAATCGTTGGTCCCCTTACAGAAGATCACCCCCACTCTCTTTTATAAACAGGCCCCCACAATGCGGCTCAAAAATTGAAGCAATCCCGGAAGTACCAAAAATTGCAGTTCCACCCACATCCGCTGGGGAATGGTGTCAGAAGAGAGCAAATCCTCATTGACTCCCATGTTAAAAATACCAATTTCACGGCAGAAATAAACATGTTTACAGCCTGGTACCAAAACATGTTTTTGGTTTAAATGATCTAGTTTACACTCATGACAACTCTGAGGGGGGTGAATTTTTTTCTCACTCTTCTGTTTAAGTGTATTAAAAGCCTAAAATTCTGTATAATTACTGAGCATCAGACCCACGTGACCACAGAGCTAGCTCCGTGGAAAGGCCTCAGTAGAGCCTCGGTCTGGCTTGGAAACTGTTCCAGGAATTTGAGTCTCTGTGTTTGTGTATTCTTTTTTGGATGTTTTTTGTGCAATTGTTGGACAAAATGACTTGCTGTGGCATTAATTGCACTAATAGAGCGTCCAAGGAGTCTCCACTTCATTTTTTTCGGTAAGTAAAATTATATTTATGTATTTTAGGTCACTGCCGAGCTGAGCTTAGATTTTAACATGTACTGTTTAACCATGAAATTTAAATGTAATAGGGTAAAACCCAGTGCATTTAACATAATGCTGCACTTTAGAAAATGGGTTGAAATATAACATGTTGGTGGAGCTGGGTTCCAACTATCGGCTTGTGGAGCTCTTGGGAGACCTCTGTTTTCCACCCATTCTCCCCTCCCCGCAGCTCGGCGTATCTCTGTCTGATCGCGGCTTCTGTTTCATGCGCCGGGCTGTCGGCTTGTGGAGCTCTGGGATGGAAACCTTTCCACCCGGTTCTCCCCAGCGGCAGCTCTGTGCATCTTAGATCGCAGCGGCGCTTGTCTGCTGTGCGGCTGCCGGCTTGTGGAGGTCTTGGAGACCTCTGTGTTCCACCCGGTTTTACCCAGCGGTCAGCCCAGCGTATCTCTGACTCAGAAGCTCTGGTGTTGTGCAGTTAACTCCGGTTGTAGCTAGGTTGCTACCTTCGTTAGCTTAGCTCCCACCTCCGCGTTAGCTTGTAGCTAGTTCGACCGGGTGTCGTCAGTTGATCCCAGCCTTACAGCCCCACCCTCAGCTCCACCTCTCTTCCCTTTTGTGGAATTGTCTGGACTTGACGGAACCTGTGACACGGTCAAAATGGCGGTGGTGGCCACCTCCCATTTTTCTTCAAAAACGTGTTATTGGAGCCTATGAAAACCCATTGTCCAATATTTATGTCGATGTTTATAAATCACATTAATGGTTACAAATTTTTTTAATTTTAATAACAATTTAACAAACGCAACAAGGTGAATTTTGAGCTACTTGCTGAAAACATGTAGGACGATGCATCTTACAGCCGTTTGGGTTCTTTGCTAGATTTCTTCACCCCTTCGAAAGTTTTTCAAGATTTAAATGTTTTATTTTTTTTACCTGTTTATTCACAGTCTTCATTTTTTAGGTAATTAGCTGTCATGATCTGGCACAAGGACTGCAGGAAGTGAGTGGAAAAGTAGTCAAAAGTCATAAAAAATTTAGAAAGCATGACAAACTATCAAAATAGACTATTTTCAATTCTTTAATTTCTGCAGGAGAACCCTTTCTGGGCAAGTCTGCATCGTGTTTTCACTTAAGACTCAGGTGCTTGTGCCAAAGTGCATTAAGACTTTCAACACCCCTCATAAACAAAAACAGTCTGCAATACCTGATTGCAGCTCATAACATCACAGAAACACTTCAGCTTGCTCCTTATTAACAACCAACTTCACAAAATCACTTTGAGGGTCACAAATGGTCCACCTGGGTTATCCTAGGCAGATAGAAAAGGAAATGGAGGAGTGTTTTTTTTGTTGTGACTATTTGGAATAAAATCAGTCGTCCGACCAAACAGAACGACAAACCAGGGATTGAAACTAAACTTCTAACCGACAGACATGATCACAATTGTTTTTAAATCATTGAGTATTTAATTTTTAATCAGTGGAGATGAGAAAAATTGGCATGATTGGGTTTTATAACTAGAAGATCTAATAATCAGATCAGATCTTTAATCTACTCTAACAGGAGCCTCGGGATCAGATCAGAATCAGGCTACTCAAACCGAAAAAGAACAGGACGGATTTATTCATTGATTTGTTTTTCCTTTCTCACGTTCGGTTGCTGGAATGTTTTCCTCTCCTGTCAAAAACAAAATAAAGCGTTCAAGCATTAAAAAAAGCTCCCGATCGCGAAGAGCGCCTTCAATTAGCAGTCGGAGATCAGAAACGGTTAATTTAAAGATTTACGGTTACGAACTCCAGCTTGGCGTTCTGCAGCTCTCGCGCCGTCGTCTCCAGCTCCGCCCTCCACTGCTCCCCCTGATCTCTGCTGCTCTCCAGCTCTTCCTCCAGCGTCAACAAGGAGGCATTCACCTTCTCACGCTCCTCTTCAATCAGCTCCTGGGACTGATCACAAATAAAAGGAAAAAATAAATAAATCACATTAAATTCACCGAAGGCAACGAGTTTACCACTTTAATTCAATCGTCTTCCTCGTTATTTTGACATGCAAAGATTTTGGAGTCAGTCATGTTTTCTTTGAGCTTTTTTACGCCCTATAACACCAAATCAACTAAATCTCTCATTATAGAAATCCCACTAATTTTATCCAACGTCTGCTAAATGAATCTCCTCGTCAAAGGCAACCTTTTGAAGACTTCATGTTTTTTTGAAAAGTATCCCTTTTAGTTCTCAGGCTTCTGCACACATCCGAAACCCGTTTCTCTAACATGATCTATTCCTGTATCCACTCCTCAAAAGTCCTCAGTGATCCAAAAATATCCCACCAGCAGAAACTTTTATAGAAGAAACTCAACTAGGAAAGTTTTCCATAGCGATCAGAGCTGAAAGTTTTCTCTTCTAGAACTTCTCTGACCTGCAGAGACCCATAAGCTCACAGTCTGACTTCTGATCGGATTCATGAAACGAACGACGAGACAAGGCCCGAATGCGCGACAAGCAGATGAAACATCCAAGTCTGCTTTAATTCCACCTTAACAAGTCATGCAGGCCCACAAATGTGCCTGACAGGTGAAAATGGGTCCTCCCAATGCACAAAGAGAAGATCTGAAACGGTTTAGACACAACACAACATTAACTCATTCACTGCCAATGACGACTAAAGTCGTCATTTGCATTTTTTTACTGTTTGAGCATCAGAACGAGCCCCCGCGCTGAGAGAACAAACATCTCAGCCCTGAAGCTGATCTTCATCCGCATACGTCACAGATCACATGATCAGGAAGCAGACCATCCATGTATTAGGAGATCGTTTTGGGCCGTTCCTGTAAAAAAAAGTGAGGCACGATCCGGAAAAGCGTCTGCCGATCACAATTCAACAACGGATTATGAAAGGACGGATAACGCTCGAAACACACGGCTTCTTCCTGATGTAAGAGGTAAGTCTCCTCTTTGTTTTGGTTGTTTTGGCATCGACATAATCCTACAGTGCAATGTTCTGTGACTCTTAAAGAAACAGTAAAAATGGTGAGAAACGCTGGCAGTGAAGGCCGTTAGCGATCAGGAAACGGCTGGCAGTGAATGAGTTAACATGCACCGATGTAACAAATAACTCCCATCAAAAATCCCTCTAGAGACCAGAATTTGTAAAATATTCATTGCGACTGCCGCGCTGCAGCTTCTTCCAGAGACATTTTACTGTTTTAACTCAAACTAGACAGAATTTCTGTCCACTAGGGATGTGTACTGGTGAAATTCTGGCGATGCTATATGTATCACGATACAGGGGAAAAGATACGATATATCATGATATATTGCGATACATTCAGCCAGATTATATTAGTAGTTTTTTTAGACTCAATTTATTGTAGGAAAATTCAATAAACAGTCCAAACCGATACGCAACATGTTTGCATTGCAGTGGTGGAACCAAAACCTATTGCAAACTGCTGCTGACTAGTGGTCGGCATCTGAATTGCACCAAAAGAAAAGAAAATACACAAATGTCTGCATGTAAACTCTTTCAAAAATTAGATACACGGCTTTTGAATATCGATATAATACAACATAAAAAAATATAGCAATATGTTGCCATATCGATATTTTCTTACATCCCTACTGTCCATGTTATAAAAACGAGCACAAAGTTAAGGTTTAAAGTGTTTGCTGACGACACCCTGTTTTCTCCAACCTGTCTGCTTGTTTCTAGTCCTCCGTGGTCCCTCGCTTTTCTCTACAACAGAAAAAAAACTATTATGCCAAATGTCTTTTATAATCCTATGTATAAAAGCTCTACCTCTGTATCAGGGTTAGCGCTTTCCTTAAAGGTACATTAAGTAACTTTATCATATTTTTGAATAATTTTCTTGAGCCGTAGGTGCTAAAATGAACAAACACCTACTGGGCTCAACCTTACAAGCTATCAAAAACAAGGTTTGTTTCTTGGATGACTTCCACCTGTGTGAACTGTTCCATGGATTTTCTCAGGCTCTCCATATCCACGCCGTACTGCTCCCTCAGAGCCTCCATCTCTCGGTCATGACATTCCACCTCCTCCTTCAGCGCTCCCTTCAGCGCCGTTAGCTCCCGCTCTCGCTGGTGAAGCACCTCGTCTTGGCGCCGGAGCAGCGTGGTGGTCTCAGCAAGCTGGGCCTGCAGGTTCACCAAATCCTGCACAGAAAAAGCCAACAGCTATAAACGTGTGGCTGGATGAATGAGGGTTTATCTGGGAGTCATTTTACATTGTGCATACCGTCTGAAAGGAGTCTGACTGGGGTAAATTGTCTGAAACCCTCCTCAACTCCTCCTGAAGTTGAGCCAGCTGGTCTTCTTGAAGGTGCAGACGGGATTCAGCCAGTTCTTTGTCAATGCGCTCTGCAGAAAGTCTACAGAAAGCATAAACATGGTTCTGTGCGTTTCCACAGATAAGTGTGATGTGGGAGTAATCAAGCACATGACAAAACACAAAGATTTAACCTCCAAGGGCCCTGTGTCCACATATGTGGACATTCTTTCCTTGCACTAAAAAAAATCTTCACCTTAGACCTTTTTGTTATTATTAATAGACACATAATATTAACTTAAAGTTGAACATTTTTAGTTTTCTCTTTTTTAAATAGGAAATTTCACTAATTTTTAATTTTATTTTAATATTTCTAATTAGGTTTCCATTAATGAGAGTAGACTAGTCCGTGACAGTTAAATAGATTTTTTCTTTTAAATCACATCAAATACAGGTTCAGGTCTCAGGAGGTTAAAGGTTTTATTCAGCCGGCCAATCAATCCATAGTAGGTGTGTTGTTTCAGCTTTGCACCAAGCGGACCACCAAAGAGCAGGTGTGACAAAAAAATCAATCGGCTGAGCACGGAAAACACACAGATTACCCAGATGTCAACACAATTACCCGACCAGGGTTAGACCGGACCGACCCAGACGTGAACGCGCCATCAAATCTTTGGCTAGAAGACTTTTGAAATGTCTAAAATTGGTTTTTGACTTGATATTTCGTAGGTGACATTTAATTTAGCCACCGTTGCCTTGCCCACATCTTTATTCCCAACATTCTGTAGTCATGCTGAACAAAATTAAACAAAACAGAATTTGAAACCCTAATATTTTCCCTCCGCTGCATTCATTTCGATGTGATAAACACTTTCCCCAGAACTGTAGATGCAGCAAACTTTTCCTTACTCGTCATTTGCCAGGTCCAGTTCCTTCTTGCAGCGTTCAAGTTGCTTCTGAAGACTCTCCAGATTCTTTTTGACGCTTCCAGCAGATTCTCCTTTCTGTGCAAAACATTCAAAGCACAGAGGAAATTTAGCATGAGAAACAGGGAGAGAGGACCTCAAGGACGGTGAGGCGGAGCAGAGCTGCTGGAACAAAGCACTACTGTCGACCTTGCACATTTAATATTCACTCTGTATTATTTTTAACTTTTGAAATAAAATGATAGAAGAACCTGACTTGAATTCTGCGCCCTACTTTCTGACTGTCAAAAATATATATATACTTTGAGAATGAGCCCAGCCAGTGTGCTCAGAAATAGTCAAAAGACAATAGGGGGGAAGATTCCCCCAACATGTACGACTCTTCTGACAGGCTGCAGGGGAGCAGAGCCTGCGAAGCTGCTTGTTCTTTGCCCACATCGGGAAAAGACTCACTCTCAGAAAAAAAGAGGAATAAGCCCATCCTGCCCCTGAAACCCCTCTCATCCTCTTTCACTCATTACAAGAGACAAACACACACAGAAGCAGAAACAGAGACTTTCAGTTGTTTTTGCTTCTCAGAGGACTTTGGATATTTCAAATCTGTGACGCATTACAAAGATTGGTTTCACTTTCTTATGTTTATGTATTTAGCAGACACTTTTGTCCAAAGCGACTTACAAGTGATAATCGGCATATTGCCCTTGAGGCTAACAACAACTTGACATCAGTCATGGAGAATAGGGAACAAGGAGTGGACAGTAGAGAGGGGGGACGGGTGCAGGGAGGGTGCTAGTTAAGAAGATGCTCTCTGAAGAGCAGGGTCTTCAGGAGTTTCTTGCATCTTTCTTCCTGTCCCTTAAAGGATAGCTTGTAGATAATCCGATTCTGGGACATCTCAGTTTCCCTCTGATAATTAACAGCAGATAACACCACTTTGTACAATCTGTATCAGCTGCATTCTTGTGTGGGAAATTAAAGACGGACAGTGGTGGTCACTGGTCGCCGATGGATGAAGGCTAATACAGATGACAGCATATAGGTGAAAAGCACTACCATGCTTCTGATATCACCCAATGGCAGAATGAACACACAAAACAGCAGAGAAACCAATATTGAACCCTGCGGAACACCTCAGAGGAAATGGGAGAAGACAGAAGAGAAACCACCCATCCATACACTAACCATTCTGTTTGAGAGATGAGACTGAAACCAAGTTTAATGCAGTATTCGATAGCTAGCCAATGCATTTATTGATAGGGCACATATTACAAAAAAAAAAAAAATTATCACCTTTTGCATTCTCTGCTGCCTCTAAACATTCCAAATGTAAAGAACCTCCATCTGTTTTTTGTTAGTGTGTGGTTTTGTGCCTAAAAGAAGCTGCATCAAAAAGTCCCCGTTTGTGATGTCACAAATGGCGAAATTTGTTTAGAACCCCCGCTCACCTTTCCAGGCTTGAGAGGCACATTTTATGAAGACTGCAGGCATCAGTCTAATTGGTTAACAGTGACTAAAACATTTTTAATCACACTAAAATCAATGCGGCCTGAGGGCCATTTGCAGCTCTGAGTGATTTTGTCCAGAGCAAAAAGGACAAGTGGAGCAAAGTGGACAATTTCTTCTTTTCTTTCTCCCCAGTCTGAACTCACCATCAGGCCTACTTCTGCTATCAGAACCTATGGTTAATAATTTTACCATACCTTTAGGTAAAGCACATCTCCATTTGACCAAGTAGGCCCAAAACAGCGTATTTTGACAGAATAAAACTTTTAAAGTATTTTTATTTCTGTGGATGCCTTCTGGTGCTGATCAGTGATGTCACTCACTGACAAAATGATTGTGATATACAGACATCTTAGCAAAGTCCTGAAAAGGACATTTTCTATGGAGACACAACTGAAAGGACAGTTTGTTCATTTTCCCCCCGTTACCTTCCCCACTCCAATAAATGTCTTAGATCAGTCATGTAATCTAGTTTCAGAAACATACTTTTAAATTGAAAAAAATGTCTGGTATATGGTATACATATGGAAATGGGCAGAGCTTCCCTGATGGAAAAAAAAATCAGAAATTAGTATAGATCCTCGAAACCAGACTCTGAGCATCTTTATTTTTATATATATATATTTTACTTTTGTATAGATACTTCAATCAATGGAGTCTAAATTAGCTGAACTTCTGCCTCAAGGAGAAAAAACACAATATCCTGTCTTATTTTGCAGCAAAAACTAAAATGATATCATTGGTTTCGGTTGAACAGGTTGGTCCTTTGTTTACGCTCTGTACAAACAAGCATCGATCAACAGCCTTGGACTCGGATTACCCAACACACCAGTATCTGATTCTCACTGAAACCAGGACACACACAAGCTGCCAGAACCATAACTCTCCCCTCGACGTATTAGATTGTAACACTGTAATGAATCTGTCAGAACATCACAGCGGTCAGGAGACATACTGGAGTGGGATTGAGGGAAGATGTGCAAAAAAAAAAAAAAAAAAAAACATCAAATACACATGAAAGCACTTGCTTGTATATTGATCTGGAAACTGGCCACACATAACCTCAAATGAGCGTTCTCATCACCCACTGTTTTTAAACCAACAAAATGAATGTTTTGGTATAGGGGCTGAATTGCAAAGGAAGAAGCCTTAATTCTGTGTCTAATGCCATAATCCTTTCGTATTTATTTACTATTGCTTCAAAATGAGCCTGAAATGACTGCCAGGAAGTATATTAAAGCCAACGGAGTGGTTCATGTCATAACAAACAAGGAGGTTTTGTACAACAGGACCCCTCAGAAAATAATCCATCCCCTCCTGCAAGCCAACTCCCAGCTGGTGCAGGGTTCCACTCCAACTCAATTATTGATGGCTCTCAGTGGCTGAGCCCTCATCACACTGAGCTTTCTTTCTGCAGGTGCATCGTTGCCAAGAGACAAGACAAGCAAATAATTCACCAGGAAGACGCAGTCGCAAACAGCATCAGCCACATAACAAGGCGTCATACATAATCAACGGCATGTAATACGAGGGGGTAAGGACACAAAGGAGTGCATTTTGCATGTAGATTTATGCAAGGATACCAATTTTATAGCATAAAAAGACGACCGCGTGTTGTCATGATCGTAGCTCTATTTGTTTCACACAAAAGAGACAAACGTGGCACAGAAAGATAGGAGTTGTCTGCGTGTCCCTAAAGTTCTAATTTTTGGCCGTCCAGAGAAGAAGTCTTGGAGACAAAGTGAATGAAACAGAAACTTCTTATGTTCACAAAACAAGGCTGGCTGCCAATCATCTGTTGGCTTCACTGCTAGCTTCGCTCCGATGACCGACATGCTAAACCCACCCACAAAATAAAGTTAATTTAACAGTTCTGTTTTTTTTTTTAAAAAAACAACCCAAATGTTTTAGAAACAATGGTAAACGTCATGTGTTTTACATGCTAAAGCCTTTCTGAAAGTGTCTACCAGCATAGTTTACTTTAGTTCAATTGTAAAGTGCATGAAATGAATGGTTTTCTCAACAAGCCAATATGTTTAAAAGCAACAGCTCATTTATTGACCCTTTAGGTCAGTGGCAGCACCAGGGGGGCGCTATAGCTACCCCTGGATTAGTCATTGCATCCCCATAGCACCCCCAAGTAATTAAGATTTTTTTTTTTACAATTTAATTTTAATTGAATGTGTGGATGTGATAATATTTAACATACAAAACAAAAATAATCAGTAAATTATCATATAGATAGTAAAAACTTAAACCAAAACAGGAAACCGCTGCAGCAGTCGAGGGTTTTGCCGCTGGAAATGCCAACACTCACGTTAGCTAACCTTGCAACACTATAGATGGTTTTCTGTGTGGCTGTGTGTGTTTATGATTTCATGGAAAAGTCAGCGATTGTTCATATGTTTATGATGTATATTAATGATGTTGTTGAGGTTTTGTGCACGCATGTGTATCTGCTAGTGTTGAAGGTGTTTTAGAGAACAATAGGTACGCATGACCACTTCCTTCATAGCACCCTCAATAAAAAGACTAGCTCCTTCATAGCAGCTGCAGAAAAAGATTTCTGGAGCCGCCACTGCTTTAGGTTTTGTTCCAATTGGTGCAAGTGTGTAAGAATCAAACGATCCATGTAAAACCTTGGCACTTGCGTCTCTGTTTCTGGAATGATGCAAACAACAAGTATAGTGATATTCTTTTCTAATCAATAGAGATGATGTATTTGACCAGAGTAGACTGTCCGGATCGTACCTTCGGTCTGTCGGTTGTCTCATAGACAAGGTTGACTTTTCTTTGAAGGGATCCTTCACTCTCCATAGTGCTGATGAGAAAACAGAGAAGATGTATTCAAATGCACGAGACCCAACTATTAGAAACATTACACTTCAACTTTAACCCACCCTTCTTTTAGGATGTTGTAAATAGCCTGCTTGACGTGAGCCTCCTCCCAATTAATGACCTCTGTGCTTTGACTCGGACTCTTGGAAAGAGTTTCATTCAAAGGGAGAACAGGCAAAGTTTAGGACACTGTGAGCAAACAAGTTAATACCTTCAGAGTCACTGTTGGCTGGTACTCACAGGCTTTCTTGCAATGGCTGGAGGGCCATCCTTGGCAACAAACTTCTCAGGTGGCTTAAAGCTTGCCTTAGGGGCATTGACTGCCACCACCTTGGTAGCAGATACGGGACTCTTTCCCAGGCTACTTCCTGGAGCAGATGACTTCAATAAACTAGAGGAGGCAGATACTGAAGCAGCATAGGGGTTGAGAATAGGAGATTTAGGAAGTGGATGGGTAACTTCTGGCTCTACATCTTTTCTGGCATCAAGACTCCTGGACCTCCTTCGTTCGTCGAATCTCAGCCGCTGCCTTGCACCAGAGCGGCCTCTGGTTTGTGGAGCACTGCCGTTGTTGAACTTACTGATAAGTTTGTTGATTGGAGCCAATGAGTTAGTGTCAATCGCTTGGACCGGATCACTGTCAATCAGTGGTGGAATTTCTGGGAAGGGTTGAGGAGAAGAATTGGAGCACAGTTTCTTTCTGCTGTACCGACCCAAAGAGTTAGAGAACCCAGAGCCAGTTTGTTTAAACCTTTTAGGTCCCACAGCACTTGATTTTACAGATTTCAGGCCAGCTTCATTATACTCCTCTTCATCAGTCCTATCTTTTTTTTCCTCCAGTTCACTGAGGGGCGCTTTGAATGTGGGTTCCGATTTTGGCCTCTCCACTGCTCGTTCCCGCCCAGCTCCACCTTCCTCCTCTGCCTGTGTTCCTGCTTGACCATCACCTGGAGGTCTTTTGAGAGGGCTCCCAAAAATTTCCCCATCTTCATCTTCTGCTGGTGGTGAAACAGGGGAATGGGGAGTACTCACAACTGGGCTGAAGGGCCTTGTGAATTCTGACGGCTCTTTTTTGAGTTTGGGGACACTGTTGTAGGGCGATGGAGGTCCTGAAGTAGGACTGGGGGTGGGGTTAGTCAGCTGAACTCCATACGAGTCACCTTTCTGTCCATCTTTTAGCACCACATAAGGCTGTCCAGAAATTCCTTGAACCCGTACGGCCACCCCGTATTTGCTGGACGAGGGACTTGCGCCGTTTATCTTTGACTTTTCCACATAGCCTCCACCTGTGTCATGGAGGTCTTTAATGAAGCGAATCTGAACGCCATAATCCACCTGGGGCTTTCGGTCAGTCGAAGGAGTGCTCATATTCTCCACGCTTCCTGTTTCTGTGCGGGACAAAATGAAAACAGAAACCATCAGATGGTGAAGTAAAACAAGTATGGAAAGCCATGGCATCCGTTCCATGAGATCACTATGTAGATGACTTTCTCATCACTTTATTTACCCGTTTTCTGAGAAAATGGCCCCCTTGGTCCCATACCAGAGTCACTCTGACTTGGCTAAAACATCAAGCCAAGGGTTTGTCTTGATGAACTTGTCATCGTCTCTTGCTGCTCTGCAGGTAAAATTCCTTCTTGATCAGAGTGTTTCGTATTCATTCATGCCAAATATGCCACTGGGGCTAAAGAACTTCTTTTTACAGGCAAAGTGTGTGGGCACAATACAAAACTGTACTTTTGGGATTTCTTTCCATATAGACTGAAAAATACAAAAGTAAAATATAAATATCACAAAGGAGGTTGAAAATTGCTGTATGAATCTGGGGCGGCGTTAGGCCCGGCTACTTGGGCTGAAGCCCCGGATGTTTTATGAAAAGCCCCGGATCTAAATCGCGGAAGTAACATGCAGTACCAAAGTCCAACAGAGAGGGAGCAGCTGGTAGTAGTTTGTATACAGCCTGCCTGAGCCACCACCACTGAAGAAGAAGCCCTTCAGCAGCCGGCTTCTTCTGCACTCTCTGCCTGAAATGCATGAGTGAAGATGGACATAAGGACGTTTTTTAGACAAAAAGTACAACGACAGAACCCCAGCTCTGATGAGACTGGTGTTGACTCAGGTTTGTGAGTCTTATTTGAAAATATTTGTTGTGCTGCTGGTTTGCCTAAAGTTAGCTTACTATCAGGTAAAGTTGTTGGAGAAAGAAAGGGAATATTTACTATCATCTCACAGTAAACACTAACAGGAACAATACTCTGCCCTGCAAATGCTTAATATGTAGCTTCAGATTAAAAATTATGTGGTACAAGACATATATGATGTTGACTAGTGCGTGTCACGTGTGTGTGTGCGCGCACGTGTTTGTGTGTTAAGCCCCGGATCTTCTTCAGTCCTAAATCCGCCCCTGGTATGAATGCACATTAAATCTAAATGATTTTAATGACTTATTGGGAAATTCCAGGCAAAATGCAGGGTTGATGGTGCCAACACTTGACTTGTAAGATTATATAAAAGAGGGAATCCAATCGCTTTAAATGTCGGGTCATGAGAAGTACTCTGACAGGAAATGTGCGATGTCTCTGGAGAGGCTTTCTCAAATCTGAGAAAAACAGCCACTAGTGTCATCTCAGCTTGGCTGGGAGATAAATAATTGATGAAAGACACTGAATTATTTTGGGTGGTATTCTTTATTTGGTAAATTTCTTCCAAATTGCATGTCCCCATTTGGGAATGCAGTCTGTTACAGGAAATGCAGAATTTAGGGACATGTAAGTATATTTGATGTTTAAGATCCTTAAAAAAATGAACAAAAAAGATGCTTAACTAATCTGACATAAAAATATCCACAACTTTTTTAGCAGACTGAGTAAATGTGAGCATTTAAAAAAAATCTTTAGCTTGTTGTGATTTGCAAAAACAATGATGCATCAGACACCAAGTGAGTTTACATCTAATGCACAAACATTTAAATCTACTTTGTTCCATCAAGTAAAGACTGAAAATTAAAATCTTGCAGGTAATTTATTTATTTTTGACTTCTGAACTAAAGTAGAAACCAGTTTTTAAGTTTCTGCAGGCATTTTAGTGTTTTATTTGGACTTTGGCTGCTTTTTTGCTCATTTCAGTTCAGTTGATCATATTTTAGAGTACCGTTTTTATTTAAACACTGATTATGACTCATTCAAACATAAAACATACCTTTAAAGCAAAGGCATGTTTAGCTGAATCAACACATAACACAAAAATTTAATTTTAACACAATTCTTTAACCAAAAATCTGCCAAAAAGGCTATTATTTTAGGTAAATTTCTTAAAATTTATGAGAGTCACTTAATAACAAAGTTTAAAAGGTGTAAAATAATATTTTAGGACCAACTATCGGATGTTAGATGAGATATTAGCTGAAAATTTGTCACGCTGGTGATCCATCAGAAGGATCTTGCATCTCGTGGGTCTTGCTGCTGGACTTTCATGGATTTTTCTTTATGGTTTCTTAAAGATTTGACTTTACGAGACATGTTCTTAACATGCAGCATCTGATTTGAGCCTCCATGTTTCATATTTTTAAGCAGGCCCACAGTCCACAAGGGAAAAACCAACCCAACTCCATCCGTGTTTAGCTGAAATATGATTTGTATCATTAATTTCTGGTCTTCCAGATAAAATCTAACAGTTAATATGCCAACGTCCATCTTTTCCACTTTGAGATGAAACTGAGAGGGCGATCGCTCCTGTCATTGTCCCGACTCTGTGGAGCATTAAACACCAAGAGCCTCCCCTCTGTTGTCCTGCTGCTCCGAACTTCAGAGCAAAGCCAGCCAGCCGTGGGCCGTTTATTCTGGGCTGGAGACACACACACACACACACACCCTTCACTAACTCATGCACATTACGCAGGAATGTGCTCGCACACACACCTGCAGTGTGTGGATGCTGAGCTAATATGATTGGATGCTCAAGCTGCAGCAATGCTGTTGATGCATTTTCCCTAATTTGCTTGTCAGAGATTAAAAAAATAAAATGTCACCAACGCTTAATGAGAGCTGGTTATGGAATAACAAGCCAGACCTCCAACTGTAATGAGGTTAGATTAGTGGATCAAAGTCTTGTCTTTATACCAAGAAACATTCCCAGGATTCCAGACGTTCCCCATCAGCACTGCGCGTGGTTTGAATTTGTGTGATGCAGACAGATTAGGAAGAAACCGAAAACAGGAGCGTCTACACACGTGGAAAACTGGTACTTAATGAAAGAGGAGGGTTAAATAATATGGAGATTCGAAATGATGCACAAAAGTCAAAAGGCTTCAACATGAAGTGAGTTAATGAGTGGGTGAGTGCCCAGCCGTGAAACTCAGAGATGCAAACACGTTTCTTAGGTAAATACAGATTTCAAACAATGACTCGGTTGTTATTCGGTGACCAGTAGCGGTCCACCCTCACTCGCTTGACTTTCACGTCGTTTCTCAGTCTCTACAAGGACAGGCCGAGTCAACAGAGACAGGAATGTCACCAAACTGGCCAATCAGCTACTACTCGTCGCACTGTTCCCCAACCAACGGGCTCTTCTTCCCCCTTCTTAGCTTAAATGTTCTCAAAAGGTTTTGTTGTAATCACTCCCCCAGCTTTCTCACACATAAATGAGTCACAGTGACTATTAAAGTTGGTAAGAATTTCAAATAGTCAAATTTTATCAACATTTAATAATAAACTATTCATGTTTTATCATATTTATATTACCAAATTATATTTTTGCATTTTTCCTTGGTAAAATTACTTGGATAATCATCTGTGATTAACAGCATCTTTCAACATTTTTAAGCCTTTGTTAGTTATAATGTTAGAAATTCTATTAATGGAAGCAATTTAGATGAATTTCCTCAATAAATTAAAACAAAACGAGCCGCGAGTAAATTACTGATGGCTGAGACGAATATATAGCAAAAACCAAAGAGAACATCAAATTTTATGGTGATATTACAAACTGATAAAAAAAGATTAAATAACACACACACACACACTTATGTATGTGTGTATATATATATATATATATATATATATATATATATATATATATATAGGCATTTTGCCTAGAATATGCCAATAAGTCATTAAAACCATTTAGATTTAATGTGCGTTTTGTTTTCATACAGCAGTTTTCAACCTCCTTTGTGATATTTATTGCTTGTTGATTATCAAAGCATAACAGAGCTGCCCAGAGGATATAAAAAATTAGGAAGAAGTGTCACGATTGAAGTTAAAATGCTAAAAAACTCTAAATCCTATTAAAAAAGTAAGCAATTTTGGAAGAATAAATTTCAAAGTGCTCCTACTAGTTTATAAATCATTCAATGGCATGGGACCAAAATACAGGTCAGATTTCATTCCTGTAGGGCTCGGAGATCCTTAGGTCACAATCAGCTGGTAGAACTTCAGGTCAGAACCAAACAGGGTGAAGATGCTTTTAGCCATTATGCCGCTCACATATAGAATCAGCTCCCCCAGGACCTCCGATCTGCCCTAACTAGTGTTGCTTAAATCAAAACTTAATACCCTAATGTCCTCATCAGCCTTTGAATGAATTGTTTCTTATGCTGCATCGTCTCCACCGTAATCTGTGATGCAATTGCTCAACCTTAATTCTGTCTTTTCCTTTTAACTCTAAATTATAATTTTATCTGTGTATGTTTTTAATTTGCGTCCTCGTGTTTGTTGTTGTGCCATTTAATGCTAATTGTAAAGCACAATGAATTGCCCCTGTGTTTGAAATGTGCTATATAAATAAAGCTGCCTAGCCTCCTGCCCAATTACCCCTGAACCCAACTGTACTTGTTCTATTCTCATTATGATCATTAACTGATAATAATAGCTGTGTTTTATTTGACGTAAATGTAAAATTAGGCATTTTGTTTAAAAAAAAGGGGCAGAATTTCAGCTACTTCTGTAGAAACAGTGAAATAACTTATTTTAGTCCTTCACAGTAAAAGTCTCAATCATCCACATGTACCTCAAAACACCTCAAAGCTTATACAAAAAGTCTCATCATCATCATTATTTTCAATATTATGGCAGCAGCACCGACTATATTCATAGGGGTGGCCATTGCCCCCATTTGCCCCCTCGTGGGTGGCGCCACTGGCAACAGCATGATAATTATTTCCTTCCTTTAACACAAAAATTGATCCAAAAAACTTGAAAATGAACTTGGAGTACATAAATTTGAGGTCAGGTCTATTTCTGGAGCAATTATTTTTAAATGTAAGACAAAAGCAACCAGGCAGCGAGTAGAAAAAGCAGTTCTGACATGGATATGGGGCTTATCTAACCACGTGTGCTACACATGCTGAACGTGTTAAGTAAACAGATTAAAAACAAATAACCTGAAGGCACATTTAAACTCCAAAAGCACCTGCCCGTCCTAATAACGTCACACCCACCTATCCGGTCAGTCAGTATCGGTGCGCGTCGAAACCACAACTTGTTTACAGGCTGTCGGCGACCCGAGCGACGCACCTGCCTCCAGCCGCATCCTATTAGAAGCGTTTACCTGCTAGAATAACCCCCCCCCCCCCCCCCCCCCCCCCCCCGCATATCCTCTTTGCGCAGCGCAGACAGATCCGATTAGGCGCGCACACAGACATGAATGCACCAAAAACATTTAAAACACACAATAAAAGCTTCTTTTCTCCGTTCATTCTTTTTTTAAAAGCTACAGGTGCTTAAAAACAAACGCGGAGACGAGCCGGGCGCACTGTACCGGTTTCCCACTCACTTTACTGGCAAACTAAAACAGGGAGCCGCTGTTTATAGGACATTTTTTACTGCACCTGCGAAGATGAGCCAAATTTTGACTTGCTCCTCGCTCAGATGTTCGGGAGGTTTCGGTTCCGTGTGGCTGCAGAAACTCCAGACATCGCTGAGAAGGTTTTATTCAATGAGCTGAACGTGGAGAACGGGGAAATGCTCCCCTCGCTGCCAGTGGAACCTGTTGCCAACACGTCAGACAGCCGAAGCCCCGCCTCCGCCGCGATTTGGTTGGTGCAAATCACACCAAAGGGGCGGTGCTTAACTGAGATGGGCAGGGCCAGGACAGCGACTGTGTCCCACTCCCACTTCAGCTGTGTAATCAGTAGTAAAATAGGAAATACTTTGCATGTCGGAATTATCTGTAATGACACAAACTGAAACAGGCGGACGAGTATACTTATCCTCTTTGAGTTCGTTTAATGACTTTTTGCACCACTCTGCACTACAAAAATATTTTTATTCTTCAACTGATTGTTGGGACAATTAACCAGCAGTTCACCCCACTTCATTTAGTTTTGCTTCCAGAGGAGATGAAAAATATTCTGACTCATAGATCGAAAATATTGGAAAAACGAAGAGATGTTGGTGTTTATCTTCTGCTAAATAAGCTACTTTTCATTTATAAAACCACCCCTAAAGAGGAGGAGCAATGTGGTTTTCGTCCTGTCCGTGGAACTGTGGACCAGCTCTATACCCTTGCAAGGTGATGGAGGGGGCATGGGAGTTTGCCCAACCAATCCACATGTGTTTTGTGGATTTGGAGAAGGCTTATGACCGTGTCCCCAGGGGCACCCTGTGGGGGACGCTCCAGGAGTATGGGGTGGGTGGCTTTCTGTTAAGGGCCATTCAGTCCCTTTACCAGAGGAGCGTGAGTTTGGTCCGCATAGCCGGTGGTAAGTCGGACCTGTTACCGGTGAGGGTTGGACTCCGCCAGGGCTGCCCTTTGTCACCGGTTCTGTTCATTGCCTTTATGGACAGAATTTCTAGGCGCAGCCGTGGTGTGGAGTGTGTCGAGTTTGGTGGCAGGAGAATCTCGTCTCTGCTTTTTGCGGATGATGTGGCCCTCCTAGCTTCATCCAGCTCTGACCTTCAGCTCTTGCTGCGTAGATTCGCGGCCGAGTGTGAAGCGACTGGGATGAGGATCAGCACCTCCAAATCTGAGACCATGTTCTCGACCGGTAAAGGGTGGCTTGCCAACTCCGGGTCGGGGGAGAGGTCCTACGTCAAGTGGAGTTTAAGTATTTCGGAGTCTTGTTCATGAGTGAGGGTAGGAGGGATCGGGAGATTAACAGGCAGATTGGTTCGGCGTCTGCAGTGATGCAGACACCGAGCCGATCTGTCGTGGTGAAGAGGGGGCTGAGCCAGAAAGCCAGGCTCTCGATTTACCGGTCGATCTACGTCCCAATCCTCACCTATGGCCAAGAACGAGATCGCGGATACAAGCGGCCGAAATGAGTTTCCTCCATAGGGTGGCCGGTCTCAGCCTTAGAGATAGGGTGTGGAGCTCGGGCATTCGGGAGGGACTCGGAGTAGAACCGCTGCTCCTCCGGGCCGAAAGGAGCCAGTTGAGGTGGTTTGGGCATCTGGTTAGGATGCCTCCTGGAGAGGTGTTTCGGGCATATCCTGCCGGCAGGAGGCCCCCGGGTCGACCCAGGACACGTTGGAGAGGTTACATCTCCAATCTGGTCCGGGATACTTTGGGGTCCTGCCGGAGGAGCTGGTGGAGGTGGCCGTGGAGAGGACGGTCTGGAGCTCCTTAGTTGGGATGCTGCCCCCGCGACCCGGATAAGCGGAGGAAGACGACGACCCCTAATATGATTGTAAATTATTTTGTCAAAATCTGTGATATAAACTATAACCTAAAGACAACCAATAATACAACTGACTTTGAGAAATATTTCTTTGAGTTGTTAAAAACTAAAAGCTCACACAATGCTGTAAAAGGTATTTTTCTCCTTATATGTATTATTTTGTGTTTATTTAATGTTTTAGATCACCCATCAAATTTCAAAATAAGACTAATAAAACCTTAGTAAATATAAAATGTAGGTTTAACATTATTTATTAGGAGAGCTAAACAAACATGGGCCTAGGTGGAAAAGTGGTTGCCTTCCTTGTTCAATCTTGAATAAACTATTAATAACCACAACATTTAGAAATCTCAAATACCTAGCAATATGAAGGTTACATAAAGCTTACAAGATTTCAAAAAGCAACACATAATGCCCTCTTCTTAAGAAATTCCAGAAAAACAAACCAGGAAAGTGATCCGTTAGGGTTTTAAGAACAAAAACTATGCCTGCCCCCCCCCCAAAAAAAAAACCCAACTAATGATACCAGCAGTCAAAAATGGTGGTGGATGTGTGATGGTACGGGAATGCTTTAGGGCCTGACAGGCTTGCTGAAATTGAAAGAAACATTAATTTAGACCCTTGCCAGAAAATCCTGAAGGAAACTGAGTGACCTATGATCTTTAACAGATGTTCAAGCTGGGAAAGCCTCCAAGGTGGCGAAGTTAAAACAATTTTTTAAGAATAGTGGGACAAAATCATTATCAGCAGAAGACTCACCATCACAAATGCTTGATTGTAATTAAGGCTGTCACAAGGAGGCAATTACTTACTCACATACATAAGGTGAGGCTACTTTGCTCCCTCATTAAATGAAATGGTTATTTGAAAACAACACTTTGTATTTCCTCAGATAAGTGTTGTCTGATGTTTACATTTATTTGCCAATCTGAAAGTTTTAAGCTTGACAAAAGAAAAAAAATCTGTAAGGCAGTAAATCAGTGGTGCCCAACCTGGGGTCCGTGACCCCTCAAGGAGGTCCCCACAATTTTTGTCTGTGCTGTGGTTGAGGTTACCAAGCTTATGGTTGTAAAAATTACATTCATAAAATTCTAATAACACACACAATAGTATAATCAAACTGTATAAAAGTTCTCTTTGACGTTCATAATTAATCATTTTAAATTGTGTGCATAGATAGGAAAAAAGGTTGGGCAATGGGCACCACTGGTGTAAATGACCCTTTCAAAGCTCTATATACCTATGTAAAAAATTCCAACTCTATATAAAATATGTAATTAATTTTTTTTAATGTAATGAAAAAAACAAACCAAACCTATGCTCATCAGTAAGAAAAAACCCCAGCATGACTAGAATTGGAGGATTTTGAGAAAACAGAAGTGAACCAAAAGGGTTTCCAACCCTCACTTTAATACAACAAATATCAACCAAATAAAATAGAACGCGATAATAAAGCAAACTTGGACAGGAGAACATAAAAACTGTATTTACTTCAGAGTTTAGTACCTTTCCCTCCCCCACATGGTGTAGGACTCACTGGTTCCACCAGGAGGCACCAGAGCAGAGCAAGAACACAGCACAAATACCAGTACAAAACAAAAACGGAACGACTGAGAGCAACAAAAGACAGGCAACTTGGACATCAAAGAAATGTAACAACTGAGAGAGAAGAATAGTTATAAACACCTTATACCGCAAGAAAATGTAAAAAATTAGGTTTTTTTTCTGCTCTTTAGTTATTTGGTCTACTTCAAGGTCTCCTGCTGTGCAGAAACTTGAAAATAAACACTAGATCATTTACTGCATCGAATCACATGCATCTCCTTCCGCAAATTTTTTTTAAAGGACTATGCACATCTGAGAAGACATGATGCCACTACTTGCTAGGCCAACACCATTCAAAAGCACTGATTTCACAATTCCTGTGTACTGCAGGTAAAAAAAAAAGAGATGAAAAATAAACATCTGACTCAAATGTAAGGTATAAAAACCAAAAACACCGTGTAAACAACCAAGACACAAATTCAACTCAATCCTTTTGTTCACCGGCTGACTCTGCGACGTGTTTCACAAGTGATGGGAATTCTAGAAAAAACACTTTGTCCGCATATTTACAACTTTTTTTTTTTTGGTGAGATTGTGAAGTGGGGATGAAATCTCAACCTCGCACTCCTTTGGATAAATCAGAGCTTCAATTATACAGCTGGTCGAGTTAAAGCATGTAGGCATGTGTGGAAGTTCACCGAGCTTAAAAATTTCACATTACACTAAATACTGACAGTTTTAAACTGCGATACGTTGATAACGATTTAAAATGATTCCCCTTGCTCGCAGTAAAAGGCCAACAACGTGATAGGACAGTGGTAGACCAAGCGTTTAGGGGACAAAAATAATAAAAAACACCGTGAATCAACGTGTGACAGTGTTTCATATAATCTGGCTTTACTAATTAAATTAGATAATTTATTTAATTTCTCAGTACAAAGTAGAGGGGTCGTAATGTTTCCCGTCTGATCTGCGTTTGTGTTGAAAATATCTTGTGATTGATGAGCGTGGCGAGTCATTTGGAAAGCGTGGGAGCTTCTGTGCCAGTCGATCGCTAACTGTTTTGAGGTAGTGTGTTGGTGTCAGTGCTTTGCTGGTTGGCAGGCGGATTTTCTGGAGGACTGTGAAGGGAACATTCATCGTAATTTGACTCAAATCTGGGAGGTGAGGGAAGAACAAAAATTGGCCTGGAGTCACCCAAAGTGCTATGTATAAGCGTAAAAGTCAAGGAGTTTGTCGCTTCGGGTAGTGAACAAGTAAAAGGTTGACCGGGACCACGTTGGGTGCGAAGCTTACATTGCACGCGGGTCATTCAGTTAGTCTCTACGCTCCACACCTCAAGTTCTGCTGCTCTCCTCAACTCTCATTAGCTGCCACCAGCTGGCCTAATCCCTGGCGCACAAACACAGCCTGGATGTCCTTGGTCTTGATGCAGAAGTCGCAAGCCCAAACGGCAGCGCTCTCTCGAGTCAGCAGCCCGTACGCTGGTTCCGTAAGGCCTGTGCAGTCACGGTGGAACCAACGCTGGCAGGATGCCTCACAAAGGATGGCATCCTGGTCGTCATGAACTTCTGCCAGACAATGGCCGCAAGGAAAAACCATCCCAGGACCACCAAGTTTTCCAGGACCAGAACCAGGCCCGGTTGTGGGGGCGGCTGGGCCGGGAGGCAAGGGAGACTGGGTGTTTGGTGTAGAAGTGGAGTTAGAGGGGGGGTTGGGGTTGCTGCCTGGAGTGTTGCCTCCGTTGTTGTTGGTTATGTTGTTCTGACCTGAATTGGAAGCAGCATTTGACAGGGGACCGGCAGAACCAGGAGTGTTGTTCTGTTGGTTGTAAGAGGCGGAGCCAGGAGCAGAGTTGGGTGGAGTTGATTGTTGCAGCTGCTGGTTAGAGTTATTAGAGTTTGGGGTGTTTGTGTTGCTGGGGGGCTGCAGCTGACTGGACTGTGGGTGCTGCGGCTGACCTGATCCATTCAGCGGACCAGTTGGAGAGGAGCTGGGGTTAGGCTGTGGTGGCGCTGATGGAGGTGGACCAGCTGTGTTGGTGTTGGGCTGCTGAACATCTGGGTGCCCAGGGAAGCCTCCCCCAGGTTGTGGCCCTGAGTTAGGAGGGGGGCCAGGTGTACTGTTACTATTAGGAGGGCCATTGGGATTGAGATTAAGCTGCTGCTGCTGTGGAGGTCCGGGTGGTCCGCCTCCTCCCCCAAAGCTCTTCCCATCCTCGCTGCCTGGTCCTGGTGGACTTGGACCTGGATAGGGGCCATCCTGTGAAGGAGGGAATTGTCCTTGAGGTGGCATACCTGGCATACCTCCTCCAACCATGTTGCCACCAGGCCCACCGCCCATACCACCCATCATGTTCATCCCAGGACCCATGCCTCCCCCCATGGGAGGCATGGGCCCTCGTGGGCCTCCACCTCCAGGTAACGGAGGGCTGTTGAATGGGTGCCCACCCTGTCCATGCTGCTGCTGTGCTGGCATTCCAAACCGAGGGTGGGGAGGTCCTCCTCCTGGACCTCCCATACCCCCTGAGGACAACATAGAGTTGAATCCTGGTCCAGGATGCATAGGTGGACTGAAATTTGGGGGCATATTGAATTGAGAGGGGCCACCAGGAGGAAATCCACCACCACCTCCTCCTCCTCCACCACCACCACCGCCACCACCACCTCCAAAGCCAGGCATTCCTCCAAAGCCTAGCTGGTGGTGGGGTCCAGCATTGGATGGTGGGCCAAAGGGTGGCCGGCGCCCTGGTTGACCACCTCCTGGTCCCCCTGGACTTCCCATGAAGTTCATGCCTGCTCCCATTCGTCCACCACCTCCATATCCACCTCCTCCACCGGCACCTGGACTGGGGAGAAAGGGAGCACCACCTGGTCCACCTGCTCCACTAGGTCTGGATGGAGGCCCAAAGTCATCGTCAAAGGGGTTGGAGGCGACCAGATGGTCCACCATGGGGGTGGGAGGGGGTGCAAACTCAGTAAGGTGGGAGAACCCTGCCGCCTAAAAGAGAACAAATAACATTTTTTCTTTTCCACAATAAAATAAAACAAAAAATATTTCAAATATTGAAACTTTTTCAATGCGTGCATAGTTAAAAACCCACTCGATTACCTGAGTATTGGACTTCCTCGCCTTCTTCTTCTCCGGGCTCTTCATCTGTGAAGCTGAAACAGTAAAATAAAGAGGGAAGGGGTGGAAAAAGGGAGACATAAGTATCAGAGAACACTGCCCCCATGTCTCACACTATTTGTCCACCACCAATCGGGTGCAGCATCAAGTTTGGATTGGCCAATACCCCTTAGTGACAGAGTGGAGCAGCTTTAGACCTAGGGCCTCTTTTTCCAAGTCCAACAGTTGAAATGGATTCAATGATGGAACATAGACTGGCATGAGAACAAAATGCTGAACATCCAGGCGATATCATCACCAACGTTATGAAGCTCCGAGTCAAAAATGACCCAGGCAGACCAAATGACCCAGGCAAGAGGGAGAGAGGCCGCAAACAGAGGCAAGAGAGGTAAGGTCAATGAGGGAGACAGGAAAAGACGGACATGAGAACGAGAAAACGAAGTTGGAGATACACTTATAGCAAGATAGACATGAACCCCGTTCACAGATTCACTCTGTGAGGAAACAGCCACCACCGGAGACAGTCGTGAGGTTTACATATGGGGAGGGGGGGGGGGCGATAAAGGAATTGCTAACAGCACCAGTGCAGCCCATTGCAGCGCAGTAATGGATGATTCCAATCTGATTGGGAGATGGGTGAAATCAATTCCTACCTTTTCGCTTTCCTTGTCCCGCCAGTAGTCTCCCCGATTCGGCAGCCATTATCTAATATGACTGTCGGTGAAGTGGCAAATCACCGTTCATATGCAAGAAAAAAAAAAGTTAAAAATGACGACGTCTTGAAAACTATATGTCGACAGGTTGAATCTGCCTTCAGGTCATGTCTGCAGTGGCCCTGAGGTGCAAACCACAACAGCATTGGACAAAAGAAAACAAAAACACAACAAACAAAAAGGATTTAGATAACAACAAAACAGAAAACAACATTTCAGTAAACGCTTTGTTATCAAGTTCTTCTTTAGTGTGAAGATTCTAGCAACATATCGTTGTGAAACTGTTTTGTTTTGTCCAGTGTTGCTTTACTTTGCATCTCAGGATCACCATATTTATCAGTACAGATTAAACTGTATTTGCAGCATTTGCTATAAGTAAATAAAAGTAGCTGGTATGATAAATGTCGGCCCAGGTCTTCTGCAAAACTTTTGCCACGGTGTCTGTCACACTGGGATTTGGTCACCAAATAAATGTAAGGCCAAACTTGTTGATGGGAACCAGTTTCTATTTGTTTATCAAAACTGGTTGCTTGCCAACTTTCCTTACTTTACCTAATATGGCAAGCCAATTGATCATATAACATTCAAACAGAATCTTCACATCAGATATCCAAAAATCTTTTCTCCCTATTCCAGAAGAACTTGTCAACTATCCCTAAAGTCGTTTATCCAACAACTCAGATACTGAATGAGGTTCGTTCAAGGACAATTGATGTCACTTGTTTCAACGTGTGTATCGAGTTTTGTAAAACGGTTCTTAGGTCTTTGAGAATGTCAAATTCGTGCAATTTTAAAGTGATTTCCTGCACCTTAAAGTGGAGGGGTTTGACAAATGCATTAACCAGGGTATCTGCAGGTTTAAGGGAGCTAAATTTGAGACTTTTTAAGACATTTTTTAAGGCCACATTGACGAAATGTAAGAACTTTTTTAAAATTAAATTTAAGCTATAATTTCCAGCTATTGCCTGGAAACGGTGCTAACCATGTCGCGAACGTGGGATTAGCCATCCAGTTACCATTAAACTTGCACGTCCCCATGACGCAAGCTCCCACTAGCTTAACCAGCTAATGTGCTCATCTAAAAATAGCCCCCCTTTCACAACCAACTGAATGTGTACAGTTCCGCTTACGCCAATATCACACAAAAAATGCTTAACACTAACTAGAAATTCACGAAATTTTTATAGAAATAAATGAATCTTGTTTATTGGGTCTTTGGTCATTTAAGACCTTTGGAAACTGTATTTAAGGATTATTTGTCATTTTTAAGGATTTTTAAGCCCTTAAATTTGGAAAAGCAAATTTAAGACTTGTTAAGGACCCGCGGACAGACAGCCCGATTAACAGCAAGTATGAAACAAAATCAATGTTTTGCTAATTTGTCTGATGAGATGAAAACATTATTGTGACGTTAGATTTACTGTTTCAAGCTTTTTCAAAACTTTGAAAATATAAAACTTGAATACAAGGATTTTCAAGAATTGTAAGCGTTAATGAGAATGCTGAAAAACATTGTTGTTTACCTAGTATGAATGGAGGATATCTGAAAAAGAACGTGCACTGGCAAAATAGCATTTTATATACCTACAGTCCCATTGTTACTAGTCATTATTTAAAATTTCAATATAAATTTAGTTTTTTAACGTTTTACTTGTAAAACTGTAGTAGGGGTATACTGTATTCATGAATAGGCAGGAATAGTTGGAATACTGTCAAACAAAAACATTAACAAAATGCCAAGATGTTTTTTGGACATCTATCAAACCCTTGACGATGTGCTATTTCTCGACAAGACAATTAAAATGAAGTATGAAAAGTGACAATGTTAAAAGTAATTAATTTTAGAAAAAGAACTCTTTCAATGAAATGCATCCAAAAAGTTTTTGACTTCTACAAAAAAGTTATTTTTAATTTCTGTAGCTTAAGCCTGATACACATTAATGTGAAACTGGACATCAGTTGTCCAAGGAAAAATATGTATAGGATAAATTCTTACTGATTAATGAAATAATCCTTTAGCTATCTAAAATGTTCTTTTATAACATTTATATAAAATATATCCACCAGATATATACACACACACAGACACACACCATACAAACCCTGTGTGGCCAATAAATCCTAAACAGAACACTTAAGTTTCAATAATTAGTAGAAATCGTATTAATATATCTTAATTTACACCATTAAATAGTTATTTTTTCTCTATCAGTAAGGATATTTTACAGTATTTCATTTCGGATATTTTACAGTATTTCATTTCTGACTGGAGAAAATGTAACTTTAGATTTACAAAAAGTAAATGAAGACAGAAATGTGGTGTCATTATATGTTACAACGGCCTGCCTCACTTGATCCTTCTTTAATCACTTACAGATGTTGTGTTAAGAACTGCTTTCCTGCGCAAACTGGTCACTACATTTGCTTACTAACTAGCCACGTTACTCAATGTGGCTAGCTGTTAGCGGCGTTAAATTTCACCCAGCATTTGCAACATAATCACAATTGTGTCCTTTGTGCTCATACAGTCTTATGCGAAAACGTGCCGTTAATTACCCAAATCACATCATTTATGAAACACAATAATCGATTAAGGTGTGAGTGCTGCTGTTTACAATGCTAACATTAGCCAGTGAGCTAAAGGTAGCTAGCCATCTTGCACTGTCGTGGAAGCAAACTGTACCCTTTCTTTCTCCGTTGCTTGCTCTGCTGTCCTTTAAATTCAAACTCTCTGGGTTGTCATTGCCAGAAAACCCGTCCTCACACGGTGTATGCTTGTTGATCCCAAATTCAACTATAATTCATTCAAAAACGCACATTTTGTCATAATTATCATGGCCTTCGCTCGTTACCGGACAAAGAGGGATAAGCAAGAGCATTGCGCACCCTGGAAGGTTCCATCTTTTAGAGCGGTACAGGTGTATCAGTTTGGACAAAAATGATTATTTTAAAGCTAATTTTAGGGTAGAACAATATGCAATCTACACCCAATGCATAATATATTGACAATCATAATCTATTTTAAAGATTCAACACTGTCACATCCGTGTTCTTTGTTTTAAAAAAACGTGACACAGCCATTATCACCCCTTTCACTGACAGACATGGAACAGCCCTGAACTCCCTGTACTACAGTAATAACTTAATTCAACAATTCAAGCACATCATTGAATATAGTTTTATGTGAAAACATTACTTAATCTAAACTTTTCTATGCATTTAAACTATGTTTGAGTCATTTGTTCAGAAACAAACCCATCATACAGTGTTAAAACCCCATGTTACTGGTGTTTGAGACCCTATAAATGACCATTTTGAATGGGTTTGAATAGATTTATCCTCATTTTTATTGCCATTTCCAAGAAAAATTAAATCTACGTAAAATATATTTTGCTTTTAATGCAATGAGTAGGCCTAGATGTGTTTGTGTCTCATGTGTGTTGATGTGAGAGAAAACACACACCCCAAAGAGAGCCCAAGAGGTTGCCACCGCCCAACAAGTCCTATCTCTCCTTGTTAACCCTGTCAGACACACACACACACACACACACACACACACACACACACACACACACACACACACACACACACGCACGCACGCACGCACGCACATGCACACGCTCTCTCTCTCTCTCTCTCTCTCTCTCTCTCTCTCTCTCTCTCCCTCTCTCTCTCTCTCTGTCACACACACATTCTGGAGCCCACGGACTTTTGTAAAACACCAATAAGCCTCCCTGGGAATGGGATCACAAAAATTCTCTTATTTTGGATCATCCCACCTGGAAATGGAATAAACTTTTTTGTTTGACAAGAAGATCTGTGACTTTTGTGAGCCTTTTTGAATTGTTTAAAAATGTTTGTGAACTGGTTTTTTCCACTGGCTCTGTTTGAATAAAGCAACGGAAGTCCATTGTAAGAGAGGTAGTGGCATTTCTAAAAGTGCGTCCCTGGGGTTCTGGTGCATGGAGCTAAAAGGCGTCAGACCAAGCAAAGAAATCTACTGGTTTATTTGGGATAAAATGCCAAAGTGGTTCAAGGAGTTTCCCATAGCTCTGAAGCATGACACAGACAAGATCTGCTCTGCCTCCGAATCAGACTCTCAACCAAATGGATCCAAAACAGGTCAACGCAAAAACTCCTCTGTGGATGGGACGGGTGGATCAGGAGGTGCTGGGTCTCTTTTGTCTGGAAAAAACCAGAAGAACTCAGGCAGAATGAGCGTGATCTCTCAGAAAGACAAAAAAGTTTGGGACAGCTTGCTGAAAAGCTACAAAAACTCCAGAACAGAGTCGACGTTCGAGGAGCAACACAGACCTCTGAAAGCCTCTTCCTCTGCCTGTTCCTACATCAGCAGGATGATCAGAGTGGACAAACAGGACAAAAAACCCAACTTCAACAATGGTACCATGACCGTTCTGGTCCCTGAAGCTGAGAAAACAACGCCATTCAAGACAGAAATTGTAGGTTCATATTTTAAAGCTTTTGGCATGGACCATCTGTTTTGTATCAGAATTGAAAAGTTGGCCTTGGATTGTTAGTTGGTTGTCCTGATTTGTGACTGATTCTGTCCCTTGTGGACAGCAGGTCTGATGTTGGTTTTCTTCAGTTAGCATTTTTGTCACTTTTCATCATATTACAAAAAGCAATTCATAACAAAATATGTTTAAAAAATCATCACATCTGTTCAGAAACCAGGATTCAGTCCAAGCTCTGAAAGCTGATCCTCCTCAGATTTTGTCTCAGTTTGTATCCACCCTCCTCCTTCTGTCTTTCTGCTCCTCCACTGCTTGCTCCTCAGCCTCCTGCCTTCTTCATCCTTTTCCTCTCTTTCATTGAGTCCCCTGCTGACGGGTATCATGTGGTAAAATGCACAGCTGTGACTCAACATTCAGGTGCCAACCTAAACCTCCTAAAGCTTTTTTAAAAATAGAAAAAAGAAATGCAGAGTTAAAATAGTGAGAAAAGTAATGGACATTTCTTCATTTAAGGCCTTCATTGTAATTTATATTTATATTTTTATAATTTTTTAAGACAAAAGTTCATCTAAAGAAGTTAAAGTGTCAAAACTCTTCGACGAATCCAAGAAAACAAAAAGACTCAACAAGAAAACCGGGAAATCTTGCTGTTTAATAACACGTTTCTCCTCTTTTATAATTATTACGGTAAACGGAACAGCTTTGTGTGCAGACAAAAGTTCCAGCTAACAGTACGTTCACTCTGTTCATGTCATCTAACTGCATTACTTGTTTTTTTTTACCTTGTTTTTACCGACGTTTCGACTAACACTGCAGTCTTCCTCAGAGCTTCGCCACCGCCGAATAGCCGAAGACAAGTATTAGTCGAAACATCAGCAAAAACAAGGTAAAACCAACTTTTTGCTGTGTTAAACAAATAACCAAGTAATGCAAAAAATTGCGTCTTCTATGGTAAAAAAAATCACGGAGAAAATAATCCAACGCTTCATAAATTGTCAAATAAATACCATTTATTATAAGACCAATGAGTTTTTTTTACTGGAAATCTTTCCTAAAAGCATTATTTATAATTTTTTTGCAGCATCATTTTTTTAGTTTAGTTTATTTCAAACAAAGAAAACATAGATATCTTTTTTAAAAATACCACAAACTGAAAAAATACATATCATCATCCCTTCTTCTCTGTTTGAAAAGGAGTAGGCTGAAGTGGAAACTTATATGTCCCTACCCCTTTATACAAGTAATTTTTACTTGTTTACTAAATCTAACACAAAACCTGCATTAAAACAAACGATGCAGATTCTAAATGCCAGCATAACTCTTGTACAGTTTTATTTTTCTTCAAGTAACAATTAAATGCTGTTTAGAAACTCACTGAATTACATTTTTTTCCCAAAATATTTTTAAAAAACGCCTTCCTCTGATTTAGATGAGGATTCTTGAGGATTATGCTGACCCTTTTGATGCTCCGAGGACCAGAGAACAAAGGGATGTGGAGCGTCTCGGGGAGAACGATGGCTACATGGAGCCTTACGATGCTCAGCAGATGATAACAGGTTAGAAATGTACAACAGGTGTCTGACCTCGCTGCATTTGTGTGAATGAAAAGCAACGTCTCCACTTGCAGACTTTTCACAAGCTGAAATTTCCATAACCCCACATGGTTGCTATGGCAACTACAGCACTTGAACAATGGGTGCAGTTTCCTCTCCATCACTTCCTCTTTCCCATCTCCGTTTCCTGGTACTACTCTCTGTAACGGAAGTGACCCCTCAGCATCTATGTGAACCCTTATATAGACCTGTCGGACCATTAATCAAAACCTCCCAATGTCAAAGGAAATCTGGTGTTCACCGGGCCAATCGTTCTCTCTCTCAATCAATCAGCGTGTTGTTTATTCTGAAATAGTTACACAATTTCCTGCTGAAGATGAGAAAATGCTTTCAGATTTAATGAGATGATGTTCAGAGAAGTCATAGGAGGATCTGATGATGACATAGGGAGGGGGAAGTGAGCAGAGGTCTGTATCAGCGCTTTGCTTATAGAGCCTGAGGTAAGTAAACAAGCAAAGTTTATTTAAATAACACCTGTCACACCAGGACATCGCGTTTCCCATGGAAATAACATATACAGATATATAAAGATCATTAAAAACAAAAAAAACAGTATAAAACAAAAGAATAAACATTGTTAAAACAAAAAAAAATCATAAAACAAATAGATAAAGATCATTAAAAACAAAAAGATCCTAAAACAAAAGAATAAAGATTGTTAAAACAAAAAAGATAATTAAGCAAATAAATAAAGATGATTAAGAACAAACTGAGATCATAATACAAATGAAAAAACACATAAGATAATTTTAATTTTAAAAATCTCAGTATAACCCAATTTTTTTTTCACCCCAAATTCCATTCTGATTCAAATATCAGGTTTTAAAAGACAATCCAAGCAGTACTGTCCCAACTTAATTAATTTTTTATAGTTTCACAAATGTTTCCTGCAAAAACGGTACAGATATAAAGTAAATACTTACAGAAATGTTTAATTTACAGAAATCCTTATTTTCAGTTGAAGAATCCCTTTGTAGGTTTCTGCTTTAGGGAAGACCAAGCGGTGGCTGATCCCTTGGGTTTGACGCACATCACCCAGCAGCTTTCATCCTGGACTTTCGCAATACACCAAGAAAAGAAAAGTTTAATTTATTTTCAAAGTTATGTCAACTGGTTGTCAGCAAATTGCTGAAGTGTAAAAAGTATAAGTAGTTATGTTAAAAGTGATTTTCATTCACTCTTTACATTTAAAACAACCCTAATGAGTTTTTAATGCTGTAAGCTATTGCTTTCAAACTGGTTTAAGTGGTTCTTGAAGCAGAAACTAGACTAAATTCACATTAGACAGCTCTCTGCAGCCCTCTGCTGACCAAAACCCACACTTAACAATTTTATGGCATGGTAGGAACACTAGGGGGAGCTCTCTCCCTGCGCAGCATGCAGCTAATAAAAGGAGAGCAGTTAACTTTTTCAGTTTCGACCAATAATGACTATTTTTTGACCAACAGTGTGGATAATATTACTTCATGGCTTATTTAGTATCAGTTGGCTGGTGTTGGCACCATTAGCTTGTGGTTAGCGCTAGCTATAGAAGGCTGTGGCAGGGTTGTTTATGACAGTTGTAATTATGCTTTCAACCAGTAGGAGGGAGTAGTGGAAAAACTTATTTAATGTGTTGCTGGAACTAGATGAAATACCTTGGTTAAGTAAATTCATCATATCCTTTTTTACAGTGTATGATGTTCAACGTTGAGGAGTTGTTTTGGTGAAATCTAGTGAGATCCTGCATGTTGAGAATACATGATGTGAATGACTCTGCTACTAACTCATAAAACAGCTTCTGCATAATGCAGACTCGATCTATCAGGCGGACAGGATGATGACGGGCATGTTTCCTTCCCTGCAGCAGTCGTGACAGGTTTGAGTTCTTAGACTCTCAAATCGCAATCCCACCTGTGATTTTAGCTTTCTTTCATTCTCCCGGTGTCCACCTGCTGCATCAGCCTCAAGCTTTCATCTCCCAGCCACGATTTTAATCCTTAATTCCCTGCTTTTCAATCTGACAGAGATCAGACGGCGAGGATCCAAAGATCTGTTGAAGGGGTCTGCGCTGACAGACAGAAGCAGAGGAACATTTGAGAAAGGTCATTCTGGTTCTATACGGATTTATGACCTTCCATACGAAGGAGGTGGTGACAACAAGAGGACAGAGGTCACAAGGCCAGAGCTGGATCGGCGTCCTGCCACGGAGTATGAGCTTCCCTGGGAGCAGAGTAAGGAGCACATAGTCTGGACTCTGTCAGGTAAAGTTTTCCTGATTCTGTTGCCTGCCTCAGCGGGGTCAGACACTCCTCCATCAGTCGTATTCTCAGCAAACTTCTTGCATGAAACATCAAAGTTTTCTATCTCCTCCAGACTTCAAAGTCGTTTCCTGTTGTCTTATTCTCTGCAGCACAATTCGACAACCCAGTCAGAGATGAGACGCTGCAGGAGCATCTGAAGCAGAAAAGCAGAACCCAGAACATCTTGAGATCTTCTCCAGCACTGCTGCCATATCTGTCTAACCCTGAGAGTGAAATCTGCTGCATCAACCCCTCCCTGCCCCTGGAAAAACAAAGGTCTGAGCTTCTTTTTGGTTAAATAAATTAGCTAAATTAAACCTGATTGCAACACAAAGTCAGAATTTATACACTTTCTTGTTGCGCAAGAAGTATTTTGTGTGTCTCAGCTGGTACCACGGCTGTGTGACCCGACAGGAAGCAGAGTTTCAGCTGCAGTCCTGCAGAGAGGCCAGCTTCTTGGTCAGGAACAGTGAGCCAGACAACAACAAGTACTCCATTGCCCTCAAGTGAGTTCAGTCTGCAAGTGCAGGAGCAGCAAATTCAGCCTTTCAGTCATTAGACGCTCTAGTGTGAAATTTCTAAGCACTTGAATGAAAACAAATTGAAATAAAAATGTTGGGTTTATTATCACTTAATTTTTATTTTTGAATATTAGATTTTATTTTGACATAAAATATGGCACCAAACTAAAATAAATGGCAAAAACATTTGCAAGAGTTTGTCTTTCAATATTACCCTGAAAATTTACACATTAGTTATTCTTTCAAAATTTTTAATAACTTACTTTGAAATTTTTTTTTGCATTTTTTACCTTCATTTTGTACAATATGGGTTTTCATATACTGTAAACCCATTCTCGCCATTCTGATTAGAAAATTTTTATCCCACAATTATGAGATAGCTAAGTTATAATTACAAGATATTTTCTCAGAATTATGAGAAAAAAATTTAATTCTTATTTTTAATAGGAGTGGCAGAAATGGGCTTCTATACACATGCAATGAAAAGGAATTATACGGAAGAGGGCGGTTTTAGAGGCCTGTTGGATGTACTGCCATATTCTCTGACACACCTTTGGAGACGGCTTATGGTGGAGAAATGAACATCCAATGCACGAGCAACAGATCTGGTTGACATTCCTGCTGTCAGCATGCCAATTGCATGCTCCCTCAATGCTTGTGGCATCTGTGGCATTTTGCTGTGAGACAAAACTGGACATTCCAGGGTGGCCTTTTATTGTGGGCAGTATAAGGTACACCTGTGCACTACTCATGATGTCGGATCAGCATCTTGATGTGACACACCTGTGAGGTGGGATGGATTATCTCAGCAAAGCACAGGTGCTCACTATCACACATTTAGACTGATTTGTGAACGATGTTTGAGAGAAATGGTAGTATTGTGTATCTGGAATAAATTTTAGATATTTAAGTCCATCTCATGAAAAATCGGAGCAGAAACAAAGATGTTGCGTTTATATTTTTGTTGAGTGTATGTAGAACATAAATGTTAAACTTCTTCTTCAAACATTCATATTTTTTTATATTTTCCTTTGTTTGATATTATATATATATATATATATATATATATATATATATATATATATATATATATGTATATATTTATATATATATACATACATATATATATATATATATATATATATATATATATGTATGTATATATTTATATATATATACATACATATATATATATATATATATATATATATATATATATATATATAATTATTTAAATTTTTAAATTATTTAGGCATTTCCCAACATTCAGTTTACTTGTCAATTAAATGATCAATGTTGTATTTGTGCCTCATAATATTCCATAATCATATCTTATTTCAGTAGATTAATATACATTTTATATTTCTGTATATTTTCTTGATGTTATGTAAAGTCTTTTCTGCTTTTATTGATTAAAACCTTCATGTTTGTTTTTCAGAACCACTCAGGGTTGTGTTCACACCATCGTCGCCCAAACAAAAGAGAACAGCTTCCCTTTGGACCAGAGCAGCTGTGTGTTTCCCAGCATCCCACAGGTGGTGTACCACTACCGCACCCAGCGTCTGCCTTTCCCCGGAGCCCAGCACACGACTCTGCTGCACCCGGTGCCTCGTTCTATCCACTGATTTAAAAAAAAAAAGTTGGTTTGAATGATTTGATGACTTTCTTTTCATTTTGTTTGATGCGCAGCTGATGCAAAACCTCCAGCTTGCTGTTTTGCATGTGAACAAGCTCTGCAGAACTTTGTTTCTGATTTAAATGTGACCTGATTGAGAGCAGGATTCATTTTGTGAGCTGAATGCTGCTGCTGCTGGTGTTTATGACATAGTTCAATGCTGAGATAAAATATTCTGAGGCAGAAAAGATTGTATTTGCTCTCTTTTGCCCTCTGCTGGACATTTATACAAACATCATCATCTCACCCAAACAAAGACTTCTTTTACTCGGATTTAGTTCCTTGCAGAGAAAGCATGTAATTCTGCTCTTAAAGATCTGGAAAGCGGGAATTTTGTGTGAAAACCTGCATAAAATTGTAATCTAAACAGTTTTTGTTTTGGAGGATTTTTACTGTGAATAAGGGAGGTGTTTTTTAAGTGCTCTTCGATGTGAAGAGGGGATGATTCACCCCATAGAAATGCACTTGATGGAGTGAGGGCTTGATAACAAAAGCTGATTGAAAGTGAAATGAGTCTGTTTGTTCAGGTGGATTTATGCTTAAGAAGTAAATTACATTTGATCTCTAGCAGACAAATAAATAATAGTGAAATAAACAAATGAGTCTCCTTAACGACCACATAGATCTGATGCCAACTGAGCAAAAATATGACTTTTAATCATACGGATATTATTACTTTCAGAATAATCAACAGTTTATCATGTTTTAAAAAGATAGTCAGTATCGGCAGCTGAGAGTTCAGAAATTGGTATCAACCCTCAAAATCTCAATCGATGCTTCTCTAAAGATTACATTCTTATTTAATTTGTCTCTTTGGGGATCAAAAATATCTTTTCCAGAGGAAAAAAACCTTTTTGTCCATGTTTTTTTTAATAACTTGTCATTCATGTGTTGTAAAATAGGAGATACTAAAGATCCTAAATGCAGTGGCGCCCCCAAGAGGTGGCCAGAGGTGGCCATGGCCACCGCTATAAAATTGCTGGCCACCCCAGGGAAGACCAGTCTTCTTTAATAAGTCATATTAATGTTCACACAAACCATAAATGTTTATGTTTGTGTTTATTCATTCTGCAGACGCTTTTATCCAAAGCGACTTACAATTTATAACCTATGGGACATGTTGTGATGTGTGGGGGAAACCGGAATACCCGGAGGAAACCCACGTATGCATGGGGAGAACACGCAACTCCACGCAGAAAGGCCACAGCCGAGTTTCGAACCTGCAACCTTCGTGCTGCAAGACAACAGTGCTAGCCACTGCGCCACCATGCAGCCCAAATGTATTAAATCTAATGAAGACATACTGGGAAAAGGAATAAAATCAGGCTAAATTTCCAAGAGTTACCACGAGGATCAATTTGGTGACCCACCCCAAAATTTTCTCTGGCCCCATGGCCACCCCTATGAAATTTTCTGGGAGCGTCACTGCCTGAATGCTGGAGATTCCCTGTGAAATTTTCTCTGATCCCAATAAAAAATGTTAAGAAATGTGAGCGTTTCGGTCTTCTGCGCTTTGATCGACAGATCAAGGCCATTCTGTGTGTCATCAGTCAGAACTTGCCTCCTGTATGACAGAATGAGGGCAATTTTCAGCTTAACGAATCTGAAATCTTTAATGATTGCTGCAGATTCGCCATTTCTGAGGAATTTATGGCCCTCAGCTGCTAACACGAGTTAAAGTTGGAGTGAAAAAGGTCAAAAGATGGAGGGTGAAGGGTTGGGTTAAACTTGAGGATCACGTTGAGGACAAACAGTTTACGTCCCTGAACGCCAGCTACTGTAGATGAACAGTAAACGCAACGCTAAAAGGAGTAAAGTATCATTACACCCGTGTCAAGGATGCTTAATGTGAAGGGATGAAAAAAACGAGTATTTGACACCGTCCCTCTCTTCTTCCCGTCTTTTCTTACGTATCTCCTTTACTGTCCTCGCTGGTGCTGTGACATCTGAGGCTGGCGGTTGTCTGGCATCTTCTTCTCTTCGACTCCTGGCGTTCCTCGTGTTTGATGCCAGGAGTTTGAGCTTTAATTCATGAAGGTGAGGGCCCCAAAGGTTCGGCTTCATTACTTTAAAACCACAGATGACGTTCGGTCGCCTCGCAAATGTTGAGACACCACATGGTTTGTGGAAAGCTTCTGGTGTCGGGTGACTTTTACCAGCTTTAGACTTGTCTTCAAAGGTGGACGAACACTTACTTTGGTGAAAGAAGCACTATTTTAGATTTAATTTAGGTTTAACTTCGGTAAAAACCTGCCTTCCAAACAATGTAAAAGTGTCCATTCTGATTGCAAATTTGGGGACACGAGAGGGACTTCTGGAACTAACCCTAACCCTAGACAAAACAGATTATAAATTTTATTGTTTAAGGAAAACATTTCCCACAGGAAGGACTTCCTGTACTCGTCTGCATTGCAGCAAAGCCAGAAGACGCCTCTGAGGACACAGAATACCACCCAGGACAAAGCCGGCTTTTTGTTTTGACCAGATTCTGCTTATTTGAGTCACTGATTCTGATCCAGCTGCTTTTCCTCTGCGTGTCAAACACACAAGTGACGTTCCGCATCTTCCTGCAAACACAGACGGCCTCAAACATTCTCTGGAATTCCTGTCCTTGAAAAAAAAGTGTTGTTTTTGTCCCATCATATCTGTGGTCAGTTCAGGAATCTCAATCTGAGTCATTCAAGGAAAATATCAAAAAGTGATTGTTGGTAGCTTATGGGCCATTCCCATCTGTACCGGGTCGGCCCGGGCCGGGTAGCGTAGGTTGTTTACATATCTGGGTGGCCCGGTATTTTTCCGGGCCATCCAAGGCTCATTCTCAGCCCTCTTCTCGAGGGGTACTGCTTCAGGCCGACCAGGGCCAACACACCCACTGCTGATAGCAAATTCACACCTTCCATTAGAGCAAGCCTCTGATTGGTGGGTAGAATCAGCCCACATGGGCTAAAGGCAAGGATGTGTGGAATCAACCGGGCCAGGCTGGGGCCGACTGGGGCTACCCGGCCCGGGCCGACCCGGTACAGATGGGAATGGCCCATAAAATGGGTGACATTTCACAACTGGTTGATTCGACAAGACGTTGATGAGACTCAGTGGGGAGTCCGTTGTGTTCATTAAGCGGAGATGTACCGATGTGGTTTTTTTCACTGCAGATACCGGTGTGTAGAGACCCGCCGATATGTTCTGCCAAGCTTATGACCTGATTTTCACGACTGATATATAGACATTTTACACCTTATCGGCCAGCTAATATGTCACTGATAAGAATGGATGCTCAGCATTTTTTAAACTAATTCGTTTATGAACTCTAAATTTGAAAAAACAATGAGATATGGTAAACATTGGCCCGATGTGTAACTATGACGTCACACTGGAAACATCAGCTGGAACGACAGCGGAACATCGCTGCTTCAAATAGAATCCAAGCTGGCCGCAGTGTGGAAAATTTCAGGCACGTCTCAGAAGTAGCATGCAGCGTCACCATGGACGTAGTTTTGGAGGGGGACGGGGGGACGTGTCCCCCAAATTTTTCCGAAGTCAATTTTTGTCCCCTGGAATTTTTACCATCCAAAAACAACATTAGACTATATTAAATAGACACTGGTTGAGCTCTAGGACCAAGTGGAGAACAACCACTTGTGTTGAAGCCTGTTTCCTATTAGAACCGTCTATAAGCTCATCTATTGGCTCTTCTGATACTTGCTCACGTGTGAATGACCATTCCTGTCACCTGTGTTCTTGGCAGTTCGGCGTTCCTGACATTGCATAAAAGAGCCTCTAGGCTGTAGTGTTATACATATTTTTTGTATACTTACTGTAAAGACCCCCCCCCCCAGTCAAAACTGCGTCCATGAGCACCACATCACTAAATATAGGATTGGGTTGTACTTTTGCTGCGAGTCGCTTCTGGGACAAGTTTATTTCCGCAGTATGCGGTAGGGCTGGACAGGAAACCACACACAGTTTCAGTGTAAAACGTCCAGGAATTTTCAAAAATAAAAGACCATCGCAGCAATTTGATTTCATATCAGTGTAGATTACGTCAGAACATGTGACCTAAAGCCTAATTTATACTTCTCCGTCAGCTCCACCAGGGAGACACACGCACGCACGGAGACAATTTGTCCTCATACGTCTCCGTCTCCTGGGGAGTGTTGCAAAGCAATTCCTCGCCAGGACAACAGAGGGCGTACCGCTGTTCTGTGGTATCCTGTCATGTATCCAGTACATAAAAGTGTGTTTATATCGAGTTATTTTTGTATTTAAGACACTTTTTAACACGGACAAATTCGTCTCTCAGTCTCCTTCACCTCTTCATGAGCTCACCACCTCTAAATCCACGTTTCCCGTTATTTCCGTCCACAGATAAAACGCTGCGTATCTTTTCACTCCTCCAGTTACGGGGGGAATAAAACAATCATATTTTTAGAGTTTTTGCTAGGTATTCTTCAAGCTGCTACGTGTCTGCCACTAGCTATCCTCGGCTCTGTTTATGTTTTTGAGGGCGCAATGGCGGCGCTGTAGACGACAGCGGCGTCCTGACCAATCACAAGCTTGCATTCTCTGTCTCGATGGACGGATGTTTAGAAAAGAGAGCTCGATTCCATCCGTCCTTCCAAGCCTGTTGGAGAGCCCTCGAAAGGATGGATAATGGCGTTGCGTGTGTCCGTCCCGACGCAGACAACTCACATTCTCCCAGCGTCTTTCAAGAAATGCAACATCCTGGCAGTAGAGAGGAACACTATATATGACACCAAACAGCGATATCAAATGTGATTTCCTTCTTCTTGGTTAAATGGCGGAAGGCATAAATAAACCGTGACCTTTGACGTTTTGATTGGGATTTTGTGATCTCACGAGTCTGGCAAGGAGGACAGACGATAAGACTGAGAGTCTCTCGGTGTGGATTGCTGTAAGGCGTAAATCGTTCCCCGCCGCTGACGCCTCCAGTGTGAAGTCGAAGTTAGCCAACCAATATATGTCTATTCCCACCATGAAGCTTATTTTAGCCATGTTGGACACTGAAACTAGACCTCCACTGGCTCTGGAGTTTGTTGGTTTCTACCAAATTCATCTAATTAGGAGTCATGGCCAGAAAGTGAAGTCTTCTTTAGGATCTTAATTTTTTTCTGCAAAAGTTGACTTTTTGTTAGTCTTGTCATGCAAAATCTGATTGAACTTTGAGTGCAGAACATGTTGCTTCTCTTGTTTGTTTGAATTTCATGAAACATAAACTCCATTTCCATTCATTCTCACGGAGGACTTGCATCAAGATGGGTTTCATGACCGCGAGAGAAGCTGGCTGTCTCAGATTCTGCAACTGGAACCAGATTAACCATCAATACCTGGAGCCTAATCTGATGTCTACCTGAATGACTAATTTCATTTTGTTCTCATGAATATGATATCCGATTATCCTCCTCCTCTGACAGCTGGCTGACTCCGTCTGATGGACGTGGTTTCTTGACATCTTGGTTTCACTTGAGCGGGCTCCGCTGGTAACCAGAGTGTGCCTGTCGTCCTTATCAGACAGGCTTGGTGCCAGTGACACGGCCTGGCTTTCGGTTGCTCATCTTCTTTCCTCACGCAGGCTTCTCCTGCCATGTGTGATCCATCTGTCCGTTCTCTCAGACTCTTGTCTGAGTTTGACCTCATCCGCGCTAGGTCAGGCGTGTTTTTACAGGAAGTCCTTGTTTGTGAACGTAAAGGCCATTCTGGCTGAGAATTAAGTGACTGCTGAGAAGCATATCTCACTGAGGATGTTGTAAACATTGGTTACAAGCTAAAGTATCACTGAAGAACAGAAAACGACAACTTTTTGGAACAAACTGGATTTATAAAATAATCGTCTTTGGGAACTGTAAAGAAAACTCGCAAATCTCTAAAAGACTAAGGCGCTTTGGAACAAAGAAAACTTTGTTTGCATTTTGCTTTATCTTTCGGTCTTTTGAAGCGTGTTTCTGTGTAAAAGTTATAAATAATGACCATTTTAATTGTTGTCTTACCTGATAGCTTTTTGAATGACCTTGTTTTGGAGAAATACTGTTTATGTCCCACAGGACTGATGAGCTAACAGCTAGTCTGAGCAAAGCCAAGTGTCTTGTTGCGATATTAAACATCTCCAGTCACCAGTTCCTGCAATGTTGTAGGATAAGCCTCTACTTTAAAGTTATTGGTAGAAATATGAAGATTTTCTTCTTGCTTCAGACATGAAGGACACCTTCATGTCTGAAGCAAAAAGAACCTCATTTAATATTTAAAAAGAGGACACAATGAACGTTATAAAGAAGAAATATGAAGAATTTTCTGCTTAGTGGCGGGTCCCGGCATTTTGAAATGGGATGGCCGAGGCGGGTCATTTGTTCATGCACGGATGGCACATATGGTTATGTTGTTTATTTTTATGTTTTTGAGAGGGAGACACAAATTATGCAACCCCAAGCCTTTTGTGGACAATGTAAAGGCAGTTTTAATGGAACTCAGTGGGGTGGGCAATTTAATTCCAAGGGTGGCATGTACTACCCCAGGCCACTTCCTGGACACGCCCCTGACTCTGCAGGAAATGGACCCCTGGATGAACCTTAAATACTACATTTCTCTTCTTCTGCTATTATTAATGTTTATCACTAATAAGAAGGGGGGCCTAAACGACAGCATTATGAGTACTCGTTAATATCCATGATATGCAGACATCTTGTTTCTGGCCGGCTAACTGCTCTGGAACTCTTCTGCTGCCTTCATCTGCTCTTCATTCTTGGTAAAAAACAGAAAAAAAGCAACAATGCCCAAGCATTTTCTGCCATCTTGAGAAATTTCTCGCGCTATTGGTTAGCTTCTACTAGCCGAGACACACTCTGCTCTCTCCTGGCCGCTAAATCAACACAATCTTTTGCGGTCACAAGCCAAGGTGGATGAGTCCATGAATGCAAACATTTCCCAGTGACGTCAAAAAGACCCATCTATTTCTTACAGCGGCAAATGCAGACAACTTGACAATTTTTACTTTTTGCGTCCTTGCAGCACTCAGAGTAACCAATCGCATTTAAAAAAGAACAAGTATTATATCTTTCTCTGTAAATCTCTGCTTTAAAGTGTTAAAACAACAGAAATAAATTTTGGACTTGGCTGCACCTGAACTAGCAGTTAGCTCATCAATCATGTCAAAGGCTCCCCAAACGTTTCAGGATGCTTTTGCAACAGGTAAGACATAAATGTGGGGCAGATGCTGTGCAGATTGATAACATCTGCCTTATTGAATGTGAAAGAGGGTTCAAATTGCATCGGAAGCTTGGAGGCAAATGCTCTCCCCTCATATTTAATCTCATGTCAGTCTAAGTTAAAAATGCTCCAAACTAGTGTTTCTTTTCAGTTTTATCCTGCACGCATTGTAAGTTATTTTATACTCAAATGTAAACAGTTTCTCTGTTTAATCCAGACCAAGCTTGTAGGCTGAAGCGCTCTGTTTGTTTCTCTGCAGGTCACATCAGGGTTAACATTTGTGGCCACTGGCTTCGACTGGAAACTCACCAGCAGATTGCGCAAGCGCAAACATTCAAACAAATTTATCAAAGGACACCTTTGGAGAGACGTCGGGGATGGCCGGTGTGTGTGTGTGTGTGTGTGTGTGTGTGGGGGGGGGGGGGGGGGGGGGGGGACAAGAGCCCACGCCCACTGAAATTAGCTGACCTGAAATCACATTTCCAGTTCAGCTGAAGGCAAAAGGAAATTAAAATTATCACAGCGAGGTAATGCTGCAAAGCTGGGACTCTTATTCCTGTTTTAAGAGCGACTGCGTTGCTATAAAAGCAAATGAGGCGGAAGATGTGTTAAATCTGCAGATGTGTGAGGGACACTTTTCCAGCATTCCTCTGTGATTTTTACCCCCACTCCCCAAGTTCTGCACTTGAGTAATGCTCTGGATATCCCCTCCCAGCCTTTGCTGTCTTTATTCACACCATACTGACACAGGCATGCACACAATCCCTCGTATACATCACGCCCTTTATTTTCTTTCCTTCCTCTCCTTTTTTTCCCTCCTCAACCTTCCTCTTTTGAAGAAGTTTTCCATGCAGATTTGAGTCAAACATCTGGGTCAGCTTACATCCAGTGGAACAAGACTTGCAGGATATTGTTGGCAGGATGTGATGTGTGAGCTGGAGCAGTTTACTCTGTGGGAATCCCCCCCCCCCCTCCCCCCCAACACACACACGTTTCCTGACATACTTTCTGTCGAATACTAAATCCAGGTGCAGCGATTCATTCTGAGTCAGCATGATTGTAAAACACATTTTCTCAACAATATGGAAGACTCAGAAAAGGTTACAACAATTTTGGAATAATTTGAAACATAAATGGGAAAGAAAACACACCAAAGATCGGTACGTTTCCAGAAAACTTGAGAAACTGATAGATTTGTCACTGTGACTGTAAATGTGATGGACAACCCTCTGTGCCGTCACCCATAGTTTTCTGAAGAGCTGGATTGGGGTCCAGTGGGCGGCACCCACCACCCCCATCTTGGCTGCGTTATGCTTCTTGTCACTCCTGGAAAAGACAAAAATGGAGGTGATAGTAGGGTTGATGACTGCCCAGCAAGCTTTAAGACGATGTAGCTACAAGCTAACTGAGCAAGTCGAAGCTAATTGAATTTGGCATTTGCTTTAAGCCAGAAAACCACGTTTGAGCGACTCTGCTACCCTCTGCCTTCTATAACCATTTTAATGTGAGGCTGAGGCCTTCCCTGGAGCAAGCAGGAGGGCAAGCTGCTAGCACTAACCGCTAATCAGACACCTGTCAATCAAAGAACACACTCCTAAGTATTCATAATTGCATCTTAACGGATGAGTCACAAATAAATCACACACCCTGAGTTTTTATTATAGTAAACTTGACCTACTTAACTTAAAAATATTTTTGTATTGGCTAATAAACCTGTTTATTTTTGCTGTTAACATGGGAGTTAACTTGCTCCTTTTTTGATCCAGCCCCTAGTGGATGACGGAGGAACTGCAATTTTTGACACTTCCTTTAGCTTCGATTTGCTCAGTTAGCTTGTAGCGACATCTTTGGCCTCCCTTTTGGCAGCTTCCTTTCGCCCCTTTGGTTGCAGCATCTCTTCCAGGGCATTTAATATATGATTACAAACTCATTTCATTAATTTCTTTATTAGCTGCACCACTTAATTGTGTTTGGCAGTAATCAGAAAAACAAAAGCACAAACTGCTGTTTTCATTTTTGTTAAACTGTGGATTTATTTGCAAACAGTTTCAATCTTTTTAAAATGGACTACACCAGGAGTGCTAAAGCTAGCTGTAAGTGTACAACAGGCTTTATTTTTGTTGTTCTGGTGTCAACAAACAGCTTATTCAAAATATAGATCTAATTCTTTGAAATGTGGAACTGTGGAAAGGTTGTGAATGATAAACAGATACGTTCTCATAGGACTGACAAGCTAACAGCTAGTTAAAAAGACCAAAACAGATTTTGCGAACCGTTTTATTTCTGAAAACCTCGGCTGTTTAGTTAATACATTTAATACTGTGTTGTTATTTTCATCTCCTTTCAGAAACATGATGATCTTCTGATGTGATTAATCTAAAATCCAAATATTCATACAGATCTACACTGTAAGAAATTAAATGTTGAATTTACTTAACCACGTTACGTCAACTGGTTCCACTGAACCTACATTATGTTAAAAGTAAACGTAAGTTGCTCTTTACATTTAAGCAACTAGAATAATTTGAATTAATTAACATAACTTGTTAAGTAAAGTCAACATTTTGTTTTTTAGAGTACATGTAGCAAAATAAACAGTGAATAGGCTGATAAAAAAGTATTTACTCTTATTTCCTAATTTAATTAGCATCCCACACAACAGTCTAGTAAGAGAGTTAGAGATTACATTAAGAAAATAAAAATAAAAAGGTAACAATTACTGGTTAAATGTCATGTTTATTTGTTGAAGCACTGGTTATTTCTGTAAAAGGTTACAAAATAGGTGTAAGATCTCCTATTTTTCCAACACTGAGTACATACAATACTATAATTTGAAACTTTATATGTGTTCACAAATTATTCACGTGCAAGAAATGCTCATTTCTGAAAATCTTAATTTCTTTCCAATCCCTCCTTAAGGCTACCATGAACATATAGCTGAGTCTGAGTGGGAAGCTGCAGAAATGTGGCCCGTTGTTTACGTTAAGCCTCTCAGTGGAACTCAGTCCGGATTAGTCTGGGTATGAATGACGGTTGCAGAAGTAAAACAGTCCTCCCACTGAATTCCCCATGTTTTGTGAACCTACAAATTAGCTGTTTTTTTTTTTAAACTTATTTGAGAATGTAGAGTTTAGAGATTGGGTAATAAACGGGGAAAAAGCCTTCGGAGATGCAATTCAGTCCCCTCCTCTTCATCTTTCACTTCCCCAGCTTATCTTGCACATTTTCAATTACTTCTGTGCAGAGTCATCTTTCTTGTCGTCTGTTTTGTACTCCAGGAAGAAGTCGTTGCAGGCCACCGTGAGAGCGCCCATCAGGATGATGAACTCTGTGAAGTCCACTTCTCCGTCGTTGTTGGCGTCCAGGTCGTTCATCACCTTCTCCACTGCTTCGTTATCTTTGGAGCTCTGTTGGCGGAGAACAGAAACAGAAATGACCTGTTCAGCTTTTTTCTGTTTTTCTGTGTTGGCATTCAAAGCTGCACAGGCTTGTCCAAGCTTGTGCCGCTTCTGATAGCGTAACTGCACAACCACATATTTATCTCCTGACGCTCTCGGCTCTTACCCCCAGGTAACTCCCCAGCTCCTCTAGCAGCAGCTCCTTTAGCTCGCCCCGGCTCAGGGTGTACTTGTCACCTTCCTTCCCCGAGTACTTGTGGAAGGTTTTTATGAGCATCTGCATGGCGCTCTCCAGGTTGGAACTGGGCTCCTTGGACATGCTGGTGAAAGTGCAGAAGGTCAACAGGTTAAACTCTGCCACAAAGCGCCCGCTCCAGGCCTTGCTGCATGTGCGCTCACATAGCAATCAAGGTTGAAGCCACCTCAAAGTTAAAAGGAACAGATTTGAGGCATTTATTGTAGGAAATAAAATGTTGAATTGACTTAACCAAGTTATGGTAACATTAAACCTAGTTACGTTTATGTAAAGAGTCATTTACGTTTAACATAAAATGTATTACTCTTTACATTTAGGGAACTAATTTTTACCTGCTGTCATAACTTTGTGAAGTAAATTCAACATCTTATTTTTTACAGTGTAGAAAGAAAAAAAATGGCAGTTTGTGAACGAGAAACAAAGTTCTTGTCCTTTACGTTCTACGCATGGATGGAAAGATGGAGGATAGCGCTGGAAAAGCTTTTTTTCCCCAACAGTCTTACACACATTGTGTCCGGCATCTTGGAGCGTCTCGTGCTGGACTCGTGGAGAGACTGTGCACACACAGACACACACAAGTCACTGTCAGCGATGCAAAGTCTGCGAATGTTTTTTTGTGTGTAACATCATTCACTGTTGCTCGGCAACGTTCTGTGCTGTAGGATGATTGAGTTCCGTGTAAAACATCTCTCTTATCAGTCAAAATCAACACTGGAAGTGAAACACAAGACTTCCATGGGGGTGGGGGTAAGCAACCTGAGGTGCAATTTGCTCATGCGTTCAGCTTTATAACTCATTAGACTTAAAAAAAAAAACAACCTGGAAAGTTTTATTTAAACCCACCAGGCCCCTTGTGCATGATTTATGAGCTGCTTCTGTAGGAGATGCAGCTGTCAGTCAGCAGTTCTGTTCATGCCGCAGAGCTTCCGGCAGGCCAGTGAACACCAAAGCTGGAAAATCTATAGGGTCATCGGTCTCAGTGACTGACACTAAACAATAGGGAGACCATGGAGATGCAAATTCTAGCAGTAACACAATCCTGACTATGGTAATAATGCCGATACTGCACCTAATGATGGCAACGGATGCGAGATATGTCGGACTACTACACTCTAAAAAAATGAAATGTTGAATTTAGGTAAAAAAGCTTTGTCAGCTAGTTCCACTAACATTTACCTTCGACATAATACTCGTTCCATTAAAGCAACTTGGCTTAGTGAAACCAGCTGATATAAATTAAGTAACTCCAACATTTAATTTCTTAGAGTGTATTTTAGCCTTCTGCTTCACTTCCAAGAAATCACCAATTAAGAGTAAAAAAAATCTCTCAGTTAAAGGATTCAAACAGCTTGTTTTCCAAATGTGACTTTAAAAAGTCTTGGTTTCCGCAGGTTTTTTTTTATTATATGATCCAGTTTGCTTCAAAGAAAGCCTTTTATGAGGTGAGGGCGGAGAAAGTCAGGCAAAGTCTTACCTGAGTGTTGATTGAGGGCCTTCCTTTGTCTTTAAAGAGCAGCAAGAGGACAGAGCCAAAGCAGAGATGGATGAGGAGAGTTTACCCGTGGCTTAAATATCACCTGTTCCTCCACTCCTCCACCCTCCTCCCCAAACTCCCTCACCCCTCAAACACCTATCACCTCCCTTTTCTCTCTCTCTCTCTCTTGGTTTTAAACAGAAGTGACACACACACCCCAAGAACAGTCACAGTTTTATTCTATACTATCCATTACATATAAGGCACAAATAATACAGCGATACATATGAATGGAACACGTTCTACACTCTAAGAAATAAAATGTTGGATTAACTTAACCAAATTACATCACCTGGTTCTGCTAAACCTAGTTGCTTGAATTTTTACAGTATTTAACATAACGTATAACAATGTACGTCACTCTCTTCATTTATGGAATTAGGTCCGGGTGACATAACTTGGTTAAATTAACTCAACAGTTTATTTCTTATGAGTGCAATTCTCTGCAGGAAATGAACACGAGTGCCTGCACAGCATCCTGGGAATGATCCCATAATCACAAATGTTTTGACCTCCATTTGAGTCACAAGCAAACAGTAACTCATTGGTTGAATCATTAACTTTGATCTCAATTTGATATACACTGTATTAAATGAAATGTTGAATTTACTTAACCGAGTTATGTCAACTGGCTCCACTAAACCTAACTGCTTAAATGTAGAGTCTTAAGCATTGTTAAGTTAAAAGTGAATGTATATTACTACATGCATAAAGGCAAATACATTTTTGTGGAACCAGTTGACATAAGCTGGTTAAAGAAATTCAACGTATATATTTTTAGAGTGTATCTTGGAGTTATTGAGTCTCATTATGTGGCAATGGGAACACTCCCTGTTGCAGATGTGCTCAGTTCCAGTAGGTTGGAGTTTAAAATACAGAAACTGTAGTTATATTAATTTAAAAAAAGCAAACTCTTATTGGCGTTAATTCTGTTAAAAGAGCATAAAATTATCGAGACAATTTGTGACGTTTTCCTGCTGTTGCTTTGCTCACATTTATTAGGAATTCACTGGTAGTGCAAGTTCAGTAATTTCAACACATCAATTAAAAAAACTCAACTCCGACCTTCCTGCTGTACCTCAACTTTACTGTCAGGATAAGGTTCAAGAGACTGAAGTTATTCACAGGATGTACCAAGTCAAATGTTTTAATTAAGCAAATGATTCTGCAGGCCAGAAGTCCAGAATGCCCCACAGGAAGTTTGATAGTAAAAGACAAGCAGGGTGGCTGTAAATGAGGGTGTTTACTATGGGAGTGTCCTGGTGAGGCAACACGACCCATCTGAAAAGTTTAATGCAACATTTTGTGTCTATTTTGAATAAAAACATCTGGGAATTCTGCAAAAAAAAAATTTCTCACTTTTACTAAAAAATATTAACAAACTGCTTCACTTTGATTGAAAAAAACATTTAAAAAATTGGTAAAACATGTATATTTTTTTAGGTGATCTTGGTCCAAACTGTAAAAATAATGTCTAAAAAATAGGTTTCATGTAGAATGCAGCATACAAAGGATCAGTGTTGCTTAACAAAAGAGGACCTTCTGACATCAGCATCACATTGCCTCAAGAGCAGGACCTCTAGAGTCCAGGATTACTTTCATGCAATTGTTTGTGTCCAAGGGTGTGTCACTTATGAAATGCCTAATCCAGTAATTTCCCAGTGCTTAATGCTCAAGGATCCAGTTGCAGGTCAAACAGGGCGTTTAAACTGTACAAGGGTGTGGCCGACAGGAGAAAAGCCCCAGCAGGTGCTGCTGAAACCAACAAATGGTTATAATCAATTTTAAAAGAAAAGTAAAGATCAGGTTTCCCCTTTTTAAATTTTGTTTTGGGTGCAAAAGGGTCCCTCCAGAATAAAATGCAAAAATTATTATAAATATTATTTTGAAACTCTCTTTTTTGTTGCAGCACCTTTTACTGACCTTCTCTCCCAGTCCTGAACTCACTTAATCAGGGCTATTTTGGGCTTCGTTTTGACCCTAATGACCCTTTAAGGTGTAGATTTCATCCCTGTGTCTTAATTATTTAGCTGAAGGTCACACCTGACATTCCAGTTCTTAATCCACGGCAGAGTGAGAGTAAACAGAACCTACTGAAGACTCCAGAAAGGAATTTCTGAGTAGAAAGCTAGAGAAATAGCATTCTCTGCAAAGACGTAGAATGAATAATCCATTTGAAATCTAGGATTAGAAAAAAAAACGCAACAAGCCTAATCATTGGAAAATTTGAAAGAGCGCCCAATTTTTGCAGCAATCTCCAATCTTTTTTCTACAGGAAAACATTTGAAATCAAACGAAGTAAAAATTCTAACAACAAAGCCCATAAAAATAATATCCAGGAAGAGTTCAAATCAAACAAAAAATGCAAAAGGAAATTAGTCCAAAACAAATGGAAAACCAAAAAAATTGATATTTTCACAAGTTGGGAATGAAATAGGAAAAAGACCGAAATGCAATAAAGTTAAAACACATATATTTTAAACTTTAAGCAAGAACTTAAACATTTATCTCAGTGATTGTCGAGTTCGAAACTTTTCCAGATTCATATTTGACGCCACTCTGCAGCCCTCTACTAGCCAAAAACTGCACTTGATACTTTTGCGTAGTGGGTAGGTGTCCTAGGGGATGCTCTTTACCTGCTTTATGGCTGTTAGTTGTAATGCTAGTAGTTAGCATTTTCAGTTTACCAATTGTCAATAAAAGGCCAAGAAGAAAAAGAAGAAGTTTGCTTTATCTGTTGGCATCATGGTGGAGCCTACAAGTAAAAGTGTAAGAGTAATGTATTCGGAGGCAAAGCAAATAGCTAAAACCAGAGTAAATATGGGTATGGCCTACACTAGTTTGAGGGAGCTAAAGGAGGCTACAAAAATCACAGACTGATGGTGACCTGGCTTTGTTGCTTACTGGACTTGTGAGTAATAATAATTTTTGTCCGACATTGTGGACCTTTTGACTTTGTGGTTTATTTTAGCACTAGTTGGCTAATTGTAGTGTTAGTTCGTTGTTAGCACTAGCTAAAGAAGGGTTGTTCACGACAGTTGTAATTCCACTTTTAACCAGAAGGTTGAAAGAACAGGAAACTTCTCTGTTACTTAAAAAAAAACTAACATGTCTGTTTTTTCATTGTTGTATTAAATAAGCCACCATTTTGTTTAGGCGTTGTAAAAAATAAAGAAAATAAGTTATTTTTTCTTTAATTTCCTCATTAGGATGAAAACCTTTGCTTGAAGTGACTAGAAAAGGCCAATTAGATGAGCAAGATTCAACGGTAAACAAGTTTAATTTTGCCTAATAAACTTACAAATTCCCTTAAGTAATCAAGGGCTGTGGGAAACCCAAAAAAGGAGAGAGAGAAAGGGAAGTGGTGTGTTAAGATACTTCAGTCAAGTTTGGAGGGAGCTTTTCACGGCTGCGCGCTGTCATAGTGAATGCTCACGATGAGGTAAATGTGCTAAATAGTGAGATGCACATGCTGTACATATTAACATAGTGGTAAGTAGCGGCCCAACACTGCGGTCTTGTACATATTTATATAGGAGGAATAGTGCTTTTTTCCATAACTGACTGTAGTGTTAAAAATATTACATTTTAATATATATTTATATATATATAAAATAGTGGCTTTCCAACATATTTTGGCGTCATTCTTGTGTTGTATTTTTTTTAACCCTCCCACTGTCCTAATGGGTGTGACCCCACGAGGAAAGTTGACCATTGAGCAGGGTTGATGGTTTATCCCTTGAGGTCCACGTGGCAGGGGAGAGGCGGTGCTCACTCCTCACCCCGGCCGGCCACGTGGACCCAAGCGATAAACCATCAACCCTGCTCAATGGTCAACTTTCCTCGTGGGGTCACACCCATTAGGACAGTGGGAGGGTTAAATGAAGGATTGGATTGTCCCTTATGATGTTGCCTCCTCTGTTTTTTCCACTGCTTCTTCCTCGGGACTAGCAGGAGATTCCTCTGCAGCTTCGTCCACCTTTTCCGTTTTTTCCACCTTCTCTGGTTCTTTCTCTGCCACTTTTACCTCTGCTGCTGGTGCCACCACAGCCGGCGCTGCCACCGGCGCCACCTCAGCTTTTGCCACTGCTTCCACCTTAACTGCGTCTGGTTTCGTCTCCCCCTCCGCCTTGGCTTCAGCCTTTACTTCCACCTTTGCGTCTGCTTTCGCCTCTTGCTTAGGCTCCGGCTTGGTCTCCTCCTTGGCCTCTGCGTTTTCCTTGGGTTGCCCCCCTGTGTTATTGGGGGCACTCTGCGCAGCCTGTGCGGTGGCCGCTTTCTGTTCCGGCTCCTCGTTTTCGAGATTGCGCTGTTCGCTCAGTGAGCACGCCAGGTAGCCGACGAGCTTCATGTACTCCTCGAAGCCAACCCTGCCGTCGTTGTTGGAGTCTAGTCCCTGGCTCATGTTCTTGACGGCCTCCTTGCTGTCTGCTCCCTGGGAAACGGATATTAACACAAAGATTATGAGTAACTTAATCTCACACATACACAGCACTACGCACAAGTTAAAAATACCTTCTCATTTTTTAGGGATTTTACTTCTACACTCTAAGACAGGGAATGTTGAATTTTTTTAACCAAGTTACATCAACTAGTTCCACTAAACCTAGTTGCTGAAACTTAAAGAGTAATATACATTTACCTTTAATGAAACGACATATAAAAATCATATATTACTGTTTTCATTTAAGCAACTAGGTTTAGTGTAACCAGTTGACACAACTTGAAATTCAACTTTTTATTTTTTACAGTGGACCAGGATACCATATTGTGCAGTTTGAGCTTAAAATGTAAGAAAAATGAAAAGAAGACCCCAAATATTTATATTTTTCTAAAATTTGTCAAAAGAAATGGGATTATATTTCGTCTTGTCAGAGTTTGCTGGTAACAAAGAGTCAAATTAAAACTGTCTGTCCATTTAAATTAGAGCATATTCATACTAGAATAATATATAGGCAATATGTAGAAATAAAATATGTCAAATTAGGTCGATTTCAATTGATTTCATAGTCATTTTATAATTACGTAGCAAAAATTACTATCAGTTTTGCATTCCTTGATTATTTTGGCAGAAATGAGAAATTCCTGCAGGAAGTGCCCTCTGGCTGCACCGGAGGCACTGGAATTGGTCGCAAATAACCACAGAATTCCATGTAAATAATTATGAAATGGAAAACTGTCGAAATGTAAAGATTTAGGTTAAAAATATTGCAAAAAATGTTGCACCTATTGCAGATGCTACTGTTTGGGCTTGGCTGAGTGCAGTCTAGCCATTAGCTTATCAATCTTGAAGGTTGTTCGGGAAGCAAGCCACAGATACGATAGTAACTCACTATTACTATAATACTTATGAGTAATACTTTTTAAAATACTATTGAAGAACAAACAAAAACATTTAAATAAAAAATGTTCCACAGAGATTGCAGATGTTATTGTTTGGGCTTGGCTGCATGCAGACTAGCTGTTAGCTTATCAATCCAAAGGTAAGAAAGTAATAACTCATTACTATTACTGCTTAAGGGTAATAATTACTACAGTATTATCAAAAACAAACTAAAAATTATTTTTTTAAATCTATTAACTCCAAAGTAACAAATATGTGAAAAGTTGGATGAATTCTCCTGAACTCCATGAAAGACCTTCAGAATATCTGAGGAAATGTTGCACAAGCTGCTTGGAACCAAAGTATAAAGTAACGTGCAACTTCTGCACCATCGAGCTCGTTCTAACCGAGAGGATGTTTCCGAGCTGGGACTTGACGAGGTTCTGGAAGTCTTTTTGTCCAAGATTCTCTTTCCCTTTGGAGGACTTGATGAAGACCTTCACCACCGTCTGAATGGCAGCTTCCATGACTCCACTCTCTGGGGGAAAGGAGGGAGGGCAGGGTACAGAGATTAGATGGACAGACGAGTCTGATTTAACACATTTTGTGATAACAAACACGCGTGGAGGAAAACAAAACCATGGGTCTGCGTTTCAGCTGCTGACTCCGGAGCTGCCATGAGGGAGGGACGGTGACGTGAGACAGTCAGAAAGGCCGAGAGGGAGTCAGACTGAGAGACGAGCCGTGATGCACTATGGAAGCTCTGATCTTTGATAGGTCACCTGATCTGATGAAGTTACTGAGGGGTCTGGGATTCAGATTACCTCAGGGATTACCTAGTCCCTGTCTGCCCTTCTCTTCTCTTCTTGCCTCACTTTTGCTCTCCTGCCAGCTCCACTCCTCCTTCCCGTACCTGCCTCTGTCATTCAAGGTACCCTCTTATTTTTCTTTCTCCATCAAGCCTTCACGCTGGGGTACACACACAACCAACAGCATGATAAACATGCTGCTCTGCTAAACCTTCACAAATATTTATTTACCTGATGTTGACAGCGAGACAAAGAGGAATTTAGGGGACGTGCCTGATGCTGAGATAAACTACAGTAAACTGTAACCAGGAGGTAAGTGACACGTTTGCAGGAATTCCGTTCATTGCTGCCAGTGGGGATCACTTAGACAGGAATTTACAGGCTTACTATGAGCTTTTGCCCCCCCACCCCCCCACCCCCCCACACACACACACGTACGTTAAAGCCTCTCATCACCAGCTGGTCGGTTTCAGTATTCAAATTCAAACCGTCGAGTCTTGTCTAAACACGGATGCACGCTCACTCCAGAGAGCATCTAAACATCATGGCGTTAAACCGAATCCTTCACATACAATATATATGGCTAATGGTGCCTGTTAGGGTCATTATGCATATAGGATGACAGTGAGCTCAGGCAGCTCAGCTCCATTAAACTCTAACATTTCACTCAGGCCTTTTCAGACCATTCAGGCGACCCTAAAGCCTCATAAGAGGACGTCGGCTCAGACTTTGGATTCAAAGTTTATTTTAAAATTTGAGTAACATTTTTTATGTTCATGAGGCCCTGATAATAACAATAGCATTATTACTATTATTACTATTATGAGCTGCATGGTGGCGCAGTTGTTAGCACTGTTGCCTCCCAGCACGAAACTCGGCTGCGGCCTTTCTGCGTGGAGTTACGTGTTCTCCCCATGCATGCGTGGGTTTCCTCCGGGTACTCCGGTTTCCCCCACAGATCACAACATGCCCTATAGGTTATAAATATAAGTCACTTTGGAGAAAAGCGTCTGCAAACTAAATAAACATAAACATACTGTTATTATTGGAGCTAATCCGGATGAGCTTTAGTGGAAGTTTAGGGGACTTGTTCCTGCAGCCTGCATGTGACACACCCTTTACAGCCTGAGTACACAAGGACCTCAACGGACACACACACACACACACACACACACACACACACACACACACACACACACACACACACACACACACACACACACACACACACACACACACAGAGCTATTACTGCACATTCATTCGTTGTTTTAACACACACGTGCCTCTAATTTAGACAATTATTTGTTATTTGGCCCAGAAGCTCTCTCATCTACAAAAACAAGACATCAAACTATTATGACCAAGCAAAGCCCCCCTCCCCACAACGCACACGCACACGCACACACACACACACACACACACACACACACACAACACACACACGCACCTGAGCCCAAAAAAAGAGGATTGCGTTTCCAAACGGGTGAATGTGATACAGCATGAGTAACGACAATACTACTGCTAGTTGGCATTAAATATTAACAGAGGAACAAGCCAGGCTGTGGCTATAAAATTGAAGTGAGCAGCTCTTCTGTAATGGTTTAAAAATTTTTGAACAAACTTAGGCGCGCGCCACCCTTCTCTTTAACGCAACGGGACACTTTAAAAGCCTCAAAAATCTCATTAAAGATGTTATTAAAGCTTTAAATAAGCCTAAAGCAACATGAGCTGCGTTTTTTGCGGGGTTCCTTATAAAAATATATATTTAAAAAACAGAAGCAGAAATGTGCAGAAAAATGCGCTTTTGCGCACAAACCAGAAGGGAATGAGTCCGTAATTATCCTTAAACAGAAACAAATCTGGAGTTTTTCTTTCTTTTTTTTTAAGTGCAACAGGATTCCAAAAACCTCAGAGGAAGCTGAACTCGTCCTGCTCTCAGCCAGCGGCCAAGTTCCATGGAGACGCCTCTTGCGAGAGTTTATCGAAACGTGGCAAAAACCACGAACAAATCAGCTTCTTTCACGGTGGAGAAACTTCAAATAAACCCAGAAAACCCGAATGCACTCACCGTTCACCGTCTGCGGGACTAGAGATGTGTACCAGATGTGCGCAAATGAGACTTTCTGGCCCCTTTCTCCGCCTTTCTACACCGCTCTGCGCCCTGCGGACTTGCCAAACTCGTACTGCAGAATCTCTTCCGTGATTTAGGTTTTTTTTTCTGTCCTTAAAACTTTTCCCCCTTCACAAGTCAAAGGGCGTGTACCTGGAAGAGTGGGAGGAAGAGCTATGGAAGAGCGCGACCATCCCGCGCGTAAAAAGGGAACAAAAGTTTCTCCAAATACTTACAGTTGTGTGCTTTTTTAATGTGAGTTATGTTGTGGCTGATGTACCAGCTGGTTCACGTCAGGAGTGATTTGCGGAGTTCCACCCCGCTCGGGAGCAGAAAACAGGGCGTGGGATGAGTTCATCCGAACCAGACTCATGCCTTTTCAAAAGGATTTGATTTCACCTATTACAAAGAAATGTTTGGTAAAATGGGTGGATTGTGCAAAATGTAGTAAAAAAGATAAACAGATCCTAATTTGGAGGATTTAAAAGAAAATAAACATATATTGTCCAGAAGTCTTAAATATTTTGGGTTGTGCGTAAAAAAGATTTGTTGGGGATGATTTGAGGTGTGTTTCTATGAAAGTTACGAATAATAATAATAATAATAATTATTATTATTATTATAAGATACCTCATGAATGGCCTCAATTTGGAGAAATAGATTTTACACCCTTTGGGATTGATGAGCTAACGGCTAGATTGAGTGAAACTCATTAGGCCTTTCCACCAGACGCATAAGCTCTACATAACATTGTAGACGTGTCATCTCCACAAGCTCATCAGCCTGTTTGACTTCCTGCATGGCCCGAACTACCAAACTTGATGGGTTCTGAAAATGCAAAAAAGAGATCTGACAATTTAGTGGAGCAGTGCGACACTAAGCTTCTGCAATGCGCCCAAAACGCACCACTTTGCAGTTGGTGGAATCACACCCATCGACTATGATGATGGCTGATTGCTGTGTTGAATGTGCGTTGATTCCCTTAAAGGACAGCACGCAATTCATATGTTCAGTGGAAAGGCTTGGTAAAACCAAACACCATACACCAATGCATCATAAATGTTACATCACACAGTTAATCACGTTGAAATACTACCTGCAGAAAAAGCTCTACCGGAGCCTCCGGGAGTCAAGTTCGGCAAAAAAAATGTATCTGGAAAAAAAAGTACATTTATCATCATGGCTGATGGACTGGATGGATCATTGTGGTTAGAATAAATAAATAAATAAATAAATTATATATATATAAACAACATGAGCTGCTTTTACTGAAATTTGATATCAGTCTTGTCCTTTGGAGACATTTGTGCTATAGCTAGCCCTTGCTAGCGTTAATTATTCTATGAATGATAATGTAAAGTGAATTAGTGACTATTTAAGGGTTTATAAAACACGATTTTCATTAACTTCTATGAAATTTAGGCAATTACAGCTTTTTTAGACCTGCAGAAAAACGTAGGTCTTGGCTGTGTTCTAACTAGTCATTAGCATATCAATCCTGATAGGTATGAATTATATTTTTGACACTTCAAAATGTCCAGAATATCTGTTTGAGTGTGAGCTGAGCTCAAATCCCTCCTGCAGCCAGAGAGGTATTCTGGAACAGACAGATTTGAATTTCATTCTTTTTTTTTCTGATTAACAAACAAACAAAATTACAGTACACACCCTTGACACAAACACATGCACGCACACACAACAAAAAACCAAAATCACACACAGCTGTTGCATCAGTTTGATTGCAAACTGTAGAAGGGAGGAATTCATTTGAGCAAATATTTCCAGAGACTATCTAACTTTTTGGATTTTGCCAGATTCTTTTCCTATCTTGTAGTAAATTCCTTTGACACTCCGCCTCTCCCTGCTGACGTTTCTTTGTTTTCGGAGCACCAGCATCCCTGCGCTTATCTAGAACCTCTCTCTGCCGCAAACCCCCTTCTGACTCATTCTCCCATCCCAATCTGCCGCCACAACACCAGATAAAGTTGGATGCAAAGGTCACACTCACTTATCAGTTTGGAATACCTGTGTAGTCGAGTTAACGGCACCCTTGGCGTTCGGGTTTCGCAAATTGAAACGACTAATAAAAGCTCACTTAACTCTGTCTAGACGCTACAGTTAATATCACTGAAAACACGTGCTTAAGAGGCAAAACCAATAAGGCCTCACAGACACAATGGGGTGGATTAGCTCCATTACACAGTCTGCTGAGGCCTCATTGATGGACAGTAAAGACCAGGCTGCTTAATGCTTGGATAGACCGCCTTGTACGAGCATTATTAAGCCCTATGGAACAAGATACAGGCTGGATGGAGAGGCAGAAGCAGTCCATATAGAATTACACGCTCTTCACTGAAGGCTTTAACACACTTCTGCTGCAGGAAATCATATAATGCTGTAAATGAATGACAAGAGAGCAAGAGTTTAAAACAAAAGAGCTTTTAATCCAGAGTTCCTCTCATTCAACCAATGGTTAACGAAGCCAGAGCGATAAAACCATCAGTTTTACAGCCTAAATGAGCTGATCTGATTGCTGAGTCGACGGGAAATCTCTACTGACAGAAGCCTCCCTGTTTGCACGCCAGTTTTCCAATCAGCTGCCAGAACTCGGAGAAAGTTAGCTCGCCGTCGTTGTTTTCGTCCAAGGAGCTCATCAGCTGGTCAATGGCTCCGGGATCCTTGGCGTTCTGAGTGAGGGAAGGAGGGAGGGTTACAGATTGGTTTTCTTTTTATTCCACATCTATTCCTAAAGAAATCCTGACTGAGGGAGTCATGAATCATCCCTGAAAATTAATGCACATGTTTTTGTTGCGTAAACTTTACATACTACAAATCTACCAAAGAGAAAAACACATGAATTAGTTAAAAATGCCCCTAAAACCATGTTTCCAATGTGCAAAATAGTTTTTGTGTTCTTTTCATGCAGAAAGGTTCCAAGTATTTTATTAGTTTGATAACAAACTTGTTGATGTAATTCTTTGATATTCAGGTCAACCTTTACTGTACATTTCAGCCTATAATTGTTGATAATTATTCACTGAATGTAACAGAATTAAATAAAAATATGAAAATGCTTGAAGAAGGAGGTTGACTATTGAATTTTACATAATTATCACCCTGCATCTTTGTAAAAACACGTTGTTTTGCTTCATTAAAGAGTAAAAGCTCTCAGGTCTTGAGTCTCTTGCAAACAGGCATGGTTCTAGGCGACATTAAACGGGGGCAGCTGCTCTGCTAAAGAGGCACCTTTGAAAGAAAACACTACCAACATCGACTTTAAGTATTAACATTTTTAGTGAGTAATTATAACAATACAATAACAGCAATTCAGTTACAGCTTTTCATTTATTTTCAAAATAAAACAATTTTGTAAAAAAGTGAGTAATTTCTTTCAGTGACAACATGAAAATATTTGTCTAATCATCTCATTTCAATTCAAGTGCTTTGGTTCCACATCTTGCATTAGGCTAAATTATCACAAAAATCCATACTCATTAATAATTAGGCTCTTCCCTTAGCAAGGGGGGCCAAAGGGGGTCCAGCACTTGCTGTCAGGGTGGCGCTAGCCCACCCTGGACCCTTTCTAGAAGCACCCCTGCTTGCAAAAGAGACTTTAAAATTAAAAATGTGTTTTTTTTTTTGATGAATGAAATAAGAAGAAGACAAACCTTGACAAAGTTGGGGAGCTGGGAGGTCACCAGCTTGTGGAACTCATCTTTGCTCAGTGTGCTGGAGGATCCATCCTTCCCAGCAAACTCCTTAAACTGGCCGACGATGGTGTTGATGGCAGCTTCCATGGTGACTTGTGCTGTGAATGTGCAACAAAGCTCAGCAGTCCTGAACACACTCTCTAATCAGACGCAACAACCCTTTATTTACCTGTGTGTGAGTGTGTGTGTTTGGGCTGACGCGAGATGGAGCCTTCGACGAGCCTCGAGTCCCCCTCCAGCTCTGACCATCACCTCTAATATAAGTGCCTCGCCCTCCATTGCTTGTGCACACATCAGCGGAAAACCCTCAACCTGCCCTCATCACTGTCGGCTTTCCATAAAAAAATAAAAATAAAAAAACTGCTCACGCATACACAAAGCAGAAAACTGTCACTGATGACCTACAATGAGCAAACGTGTACTGATGATTGCACAAAAACTAACATTTGAGTGTGTGAGCAGAGCCGGGGGGCTTATTGACAGCATCAGGCGGGTCTAATCAGGCCACTGAATCGTGCATTTCTATGCAGTAATTAGTTTATACAAAACATGACTCAAATAATGGTATTGGAAACTAACACACACTCTGTTGTGTGCATCCCTCTTGCTGCAAATGTGTGTGTGGAACTAAAGTATAATGCTGTAGATTTACTAGAATTATTTAGTTTCTGCAGAGATGCTTCTAATCTTCTGGAATTTAGAGAATGAGTCTCTCTCTTTGGTTTCGTAATCAGCAACGTGTCGTCACTCAGCAGCGTGTCGAGCCCGAGTTGTCGGATCGCTGTGAGGTGTGTTCACGACTGCGTGCATATACGTGTGTGTGTGCGCTCTAAGGAATTCTTCAGGGTTAGAATATTTTAGCTCTGCATCACAGCTGTGATAAGATGCCATTCGTGCCGTTGTGTCCACTTCCTGTCCGGAGTGTGAGTCAGTAATTCGGTCACACTGTCACAATCCTGTCTGTGTTTTTTTTATTTATTAGTTTTATGATCTTTTTAGTACGGATGTTCGATATTATTGGTCCACTGTTAATATTGGCGTTAAAATTTGACGTTAGAAAATATCGGTATTGCTTTTCAGTCTTTTCATGACCCAACTTTTACATACCGTACACATTATGTATGTCAAACTCTTCAGCTACTTCTCCTCTCTCTCAAAATGCAATATGACGGATCAGTGGTAAGGACTTTGAGATATTTTAGTTTATTTGCCAAGTGAACGTTGTCCTCACAGTACGTAGCTGCGTTTAGCTAGCAAGCTAAAAAAGGACAAAAGCATCTCCAACCAAGGTTTGCTTCTCTGATCTAAAGATATTTAAAAATGTTTTATCACCGTAGCTACATGACTAACTAATACACACATCTTAGCGTCACGCTTAGGGAGACGGAGATTCAGATGCCGTTCGAAACAAAATAAATATGGTACTTTTCCTGTTACTAACATAAAGTGAAGTTGGCATTGATAATAGGATATATGTAGCCTAGTGAACTAGACCAAATTCTTGCTTTGCAAAGAATGAAGAGCAGAAATAATACATTTATTTAGTCTGGCTTGCCAGGCTAGGATATATGTGATGTTGGAAACCTAAAATGGTTTTTATTTTTTATGAAAGTAGGGAACATATCAGTATTGGTTTACATCTGTATCAAAAATGAAATGTCAGACAATAGCTAGCTAGCTGCTTTTTAAGTTTTAGTCGTCTTTATTCGTTGTTTTTACGTTTTAAATCTTTGTTTAATGATCTTTGATCTCTGTTCAGGCTGGCTTTTTGCATGGCCTTTGGTTGATTCATCACCACCTGCTCTTCATTCAGATTTTTCGTACCAATTCTGCCAATTTCTTTTCCTCTTTTCTCAAATTTTTAATCACAATTTTTACATTTCCCATCCATCCATCTTCTGAGCCCGCTTTTTCCCCCGGGGGGGGGGGGGGGGGGGGGGCTGGTGCCTATCTCCAGCGGTCAACGAGCAATCAGGCGGGGTACACCCTGGACAGAGAGCCAGTCCATTGCAGGACAACACAGAGACACACAGGACAAACAAACATGCACACACACACTCACACCTAGGGACAATTTAGACAGACCACTTAACCTATCAGTCGTGTTTTTGGACTGCGGGAGGAAGCCGGAGTACCGGAGAGAACCCACGCATGCACAGGGAGAACATGCAAACTCCATGCAGAACGATCCCAGGCCGGGAATCGAACTCAGGACCTTCTCGCTGCAAGGCAACAGCTCTAACCACTGCGCCACTGCGCAGCCTTTTTACTTTTCCCATAGTTTTTAATCATCAGTTTTATTTTTTTTTGTTCTTGTGAAGCATCTCGTGACTTTATCTTGAGAGGCGCTATATGTAAATGATCATTTCTTCTTAATGATCTTTTATTTTTTATTGTTTTGATTATGACGTGATTTCCTTGGGGAAGCGCTTTTTGTGGGGTGTGTTTTCAATAAACTCCACTTACTCTCCTAATTATTTCGTTAAACAATCCGACTGCTTCAATGACAACAAAGATTTCAAATCTTAGTCTAATAAAGGCTTTCTGAGAGTTTTATTAGGGCCCCGCCACATTTGACTCCATAACAACAGGTACAATTCAAATGGTGAAACTTTATTGAACTCAACATTCACTTCATAAAAACAGGACACAGGCGAGGCTGAGAAAATTAAATATCTTCACTTCCATTCACATGTAAGCCAACTCCTTTACATCTTAGCCCTAATGCTGTCTGAGGAAGACAGGAACACTTTCAGATTTTAAACTTCTACTTCAATTTGTAGACGGTGGATGAAAAACACTTTCCTTCAAACCCCTTTGGTCAAAAACTTAACAACATTCATCCTCTGCTCTTTAAATAGCAGGAAAACTTAAAGTGGTGTAAACATCTCCAGACTTCCCGTCCAATCCAAGGGATTAATTTGTAATAAAGGCACATAAGCAGCAGCTGAAATTTATGAAAACCATTTTGACATTCAGCTTGAAACGGATCAGGACCAAATCTGGGGCTCCTCCCATTAAAACAAAACAAACAAACAAACAAAAAACCACACGTCCAGCAGCAGCAGCAGAGGAGTGACAGAATAAATACAAATTGTGAATTTAAATCCACGTGAAGATGGAAACACTGAAACTTTGTGCTGTTCTCGTTTCACTTTAGGCCGACTTATTTGAATGAACTCAAAAGTCTACATCTAAATCACTCGCATGCGCGTCAGTAGTGATGAAAAACAAGAAGGGAACGGTTTGGGGTTGCAATCGCCACTTTGGGGAATCATACTCTACTTTTTACCCAGAATGCTTTGGGAATACAGAGTCTGGCAACCGTAAAAACCACAAAGAAACAATTTAAACATTCTGTTTATGGTTCTGACTTTGTGTTTTGAGCAGAAATAGAGCCGTCAGAGGTGAGTCAGAGGGTGAGAAGTAGTTTAGCGCTCTTAAACCGTCCGTCGTTTGTTTATTCAAATTTCAAAAAAGGCTAACAGAGAAACCGGTCTGACCAGATCAGATTACGATCACTACTCCTCCTCGACTGGAAAATCTATCGAATTAAAATTAGATTTGTAGCAAAATCAAGCTCCAGGACGTCTCATTTTTTATGCAGTGTTGCATTAACTCTATAGATGAATCCATATATTGTAGATTTGCAGGAATATCTAAATAAATTCTTCGTTTTTTAGTTTATATGTACAGACAGGAACATGCAGCGTTTACAGCACTAAGCACACGGCACATTGCTTCAGGAGGCATGACCAGACAGAGGTAGGTAACAACAGCTAAGCCCAAAATGACAAATCTAGCTTATAATTAGAGACGTTAGGGGCACGTGTAAGACCGCTCTGGACCAAAAGCTTCTATGGTTACGGCTCTGAAGAGGAGAAGGTGGGTCAGAATGTCCCGAAACCCCAGCCTGCTCGCTGCGTCAATCGCTTTGTCCGCTTCTAAGCTGCAAACTTCCACAAGGCCTCCCGCTCAAACTCCTCCATCTCCTCCTCCAGAGAGTCCTCCCCACCTCCTCTCTCCAACACGTCCACCATGTCTTCCAGGACGTCCGCCACATCCTCGGCGAAGTCCCCGAAGCGAACCCTATCGTGGATGAAGATGCCGTCCTCGAAGAAGTCCGCCGTCAGCTTGCGGATCTTGTCTTTGCTCTCGTTGGAGGAGCCTTCCAGCTTGCCCAGGTAGCCCTCCAACAGCAGCTCGAACTCGGACAGCTCCACCGGGTAGAGCCCCTCTCTGGCGGCGCAGCCCTCCACTGAGGTGCAGCCCAGCTGGCGGCCAACATTCCGGTGGAGCTTCTGCTCCTGGTCTTTCCAGAAGTCGTTGTGGCGCTGATGATGCTGGCGTTGATGAGGAGGAGGGTTTTTACCTGGTCGGCTGTGCCAGGGTTTCTCCTTCCTCCTCTCCTCCCGGTCCGTCCTGCGCTCCCCTTTCTTCCTCTCCCACTCATCCTGGTGTTTCCTCCAGGCTTCTTTGTGAGAGTTTTCCTTCTGGGGCTTCCACTCCTTCTCCTTTTTCTCCTCTTTGTGCTTCTTCTCCTTCTTCCACTGCTCCTTATGTTTACCGTTGTTTCCTCTCCACTTTGACCCCTGGGACTTGGTCTTCTCCCACCTCTCCACCTGCTCGGAAAGTCTCCTCTGGATGCCCTCCAAGCTTTCCCGAACTCGCTTTCCGTCGCCTCCATCTTTGTTCATCCCGCCCAGTCGCTTCTTGCTCTCCTCCAGGAGAACTTTTTGTCGTTTGAGCTCTTTTTTCAGGTTTCGTTCCACGTCTGTGTCCTTCTTCCTCTCCACTCCAGCAGGTTGGTGAAAACCCTGAACGTCTTCAGGAGCAGAAGATAAACTGGAAGCAGGCGGGAGAGTTTCTGCGCTAGCTGGGAAGAAGGCGTGAAGAGAAAATTGTTAAAAACAAATTAAGATGACTGGAAACAACAATCTGTGTGCCTTTGGGGCATTGCACCTGTGAGTTTGCTGAGTTCAGTCACTCGAACCCTCAGACTCTCCAGTTCCTTCTTCAGCTCCGGCAGGATCGACAGCTCCATCTTCAACCGGGAATTCTCCTTTTCCAAATCTGCTTTCCCGTTATAGTCTCCGCTCGCTGCCACGGCCTCCATCTGAGAGTCAAGTTCTTTTTTTTTAGTCTGAAAGTTGAAAAAATTAGTAAAGCAGCGATTAGATGCTGCACAACTTTAAATCCATTGCTGTGAAAAGTAATCAGATTACTCGTGCACCCACCACCTGGTTACTGTCCGTTCATGACAACAGAATCAGGCTAAAAGATCTCAAAAAGCAACATTTGCTTATTGATTCAGCTTCGGTCAGCTCTTTTGCTTAATAAAAGACATCTGAAAACTGTGTTTTGTTTTTATTTACTCAAGTTTTCTTTGTTTGCTGATCTGAAACAACCAAGAGTGAGAAAAAAAAAGCAAAAGCAGAGGAAATCAGTAATGGGAAATTATTTTTTCACAGCTCCGTTTCCATCTTTATGATAATAACCTATAATAGTTCTGAGAACTGACCTGTAGCTGAGCCTCTAGCTCGGTGATCTGTTGGTTTTCCTGTGTCAGTTTATCCAGCATCTCTTTCATATCCTGTGGATCGCCGCTGAGCCCGTCCTGGATTTAAAACCACCGGCGCGTGAACAGAATAAATATTTGTAAAAGATGTTGTTTTTTTTTAAATTACGGTCAATCTCTAAAACTTTTGAGACAAAAGTGATCTCAGATAATTCTACGACTGTGCAAGAAGACAGACAGACCTGGTTTTCAGTCAGTTCAGAGGGGTCCAAGTCACCTGTCAGACAAGGAAACGGGTTTAATGAACAAACAAACCTGTCACAAGAGGATTTCTGAGCTCTGAGATCACCACATTGCTGGTATTTTTATTAGATTATTTATTTTCCTGTTTGATCTGAAGCTAAACCGTCTAACTTTAATAAATCCTCCTCAACCTCACAATTTGTGTTATTTGCTTTTTTCTTCCTGCTGTTGCTGCAGGAGCTGTCAGGCCGGATAAACGCTGTGATGATCCGCCCGGCGGCAGGCGGCGTGGTGGCGGTGGGGGGTGCAGAAGCTCAGCCTGTGGTCTGCTCTGTGATACCAGACCTACTATTATCAGGTCAGAGAGGAAACCTGTCGACACGGTGCAGCTTAGTCAGCAAAAACAGTCACCTAACTACTGTTGACAGCTGCACAGAAATGTGCTTATGGTAAATACTGACAGATGGGTGAATGACTACAAAATACACAATAAAGCGGTTTCATCTTTGCACAACCTTCGACATATCCATTCTGTATGTTAAAAACTACAATAATTTACAACTTTTACAGGTTTATGGTCAAAGTTTCATAAATAAATTAAATTAAAATGTTCCCAAAATGATTAGATTTGAAGAAATGTCATCCTAGAGGATGGTCCACCTCTGAAAAAAAAAAATCAAATAAAAAGTAGAAAATTAAGATTCCAAATCTTTGGAGATATTTCCACCGGACTAAAAATCACAAAACAACCCTAACCCTCAGGCGGCACGGCTTTAAAACCGGACGTGATTCTCCTGTGGAAGTCACAGCGGTGCCTAACAAATGAATCTTCTGCAAAGAGGGAAAAAAAAGACCATACGTAAACAACATCAGACATGCTGCAGCTTTCCCGTGGCCTCAGCTAATTTAAGACAGATTGAGGGCCGCCGGAAATCTGTGACCGGTTTAATCAAAACGTGCGATTCTTTTTATTAACTCATTCACTGCCGGCCGTTTCCTGATCACTAACGGCCTTCGCTGCCAGCGTTTCTCACCGTTTTTACTGTTTTTTTAAGAGCCACAGAACGTTGCGCGCTAGCATGATGTTGATGCCAAAACAACGAAAACAAAGAGACTCCGCTCTTACATCAGGAAGAAGCCGTGTGTTTCGAGCGTTATCCGTTCTTTCATAATCCGTTGTCGAATTGTGATCGGCAGACGCTTTTCCGGTTCGAGCCTCACTTTTTTTACAGGAACGGCCCAAAACGATCTCCTAACACATGGATTAGTTGCTTCCTGATCATGTGATCTGTGACGTATGCGGATGAAGATCGGCTTCAGGGCTGAGATGTTTGTTCTCTCAGCGCGGGGGCTCGTTCCGATGCTCAAACAGTAAAAAAATGCAAATGACGACTTTAGTCGTCAATGGCAGTGAACGAGTTAAAGAGTGACCTTCTGATCTAAAGCTGTGATGTTCTAGAGCTGCAGACACGTCCACAGGCTGGTGTGTGAGGAAAAAGCTTCTTATTGAGAGGTTTTTAATAAAAATATCATCATAAATGAATCCTACTTATGTTGGTAAACTAAACACAGTGACTTCTTCTGCTTTTATGCGGTTTCCTAAAAGCAGAAGCACAAACGGACCTCACCTGAGAAAAAAAGGGAACCCAAGAAGAGCAGGACCAAAGCGCCCGCAATGCATTTGTTCGTGGAGAGCCACGACTTCTCCTCCTTCTTTTCCGGCAGCTTGAATTCCACCTCCTCTTCATCCTCCTCCTCATCTGAGGTTCTTGCTCTTGGAGCTTCAAAGGAGGACACGTTCCTCCTCCTCAGGCCGTCGTCGAAGCTGCTGGGTGGCTCTGAAACAGAGAAAAGAGAGAAAACGGTGAACACGAAGACGCCTTCGATAAATCACTTCACCCTCCTCAGAGACTAAAACTGTCACTTCCAAAATGATCCTAATCTCCTGGATGACACGCGAAACTAAAGAAACAGCATGTGGGAAGTGTCAGCGACAAAAGCGGAGCCGATTGTGGAAATGGGGCACGTTTTGCTCGATTACAATGGTAATTTCGTGCTCGAGGGTTTATTCCTTCTCTCTGTGGGGTGTGGGCCTCGCTGTCACTCGGATAAATCACTTTCCAGATGCTAGGATGACACAGATAAGAAACGTGTTAACAAATCATCCAGATTTCTATCGACATGTGTTCATGGTGGGAAAAAAAAACCATAAAGCTAAAGAATCCTGAAATACGAACAAAGAAAAGCCACCGACGGCCACATTACCTCAGAAAGTTCACACAGAATCATTCAAATGGGACGTTTGATTTTTTTCTTCCGTTATAATAGTTCTAGTGTTTATACAAAAGTTTTTTTGAACCAAGTCTCTTTCACATTTCAGCAGTTTTATTTTTGACATTTTCAATGCCTTCCAGAATGAGTAATTTCAGGGCTCTATCACTTTAAGAGAACAGGCTGTTGCTTCCCACAGCCACCCCCCGACCTCCACTCAGGCTGCTATAAGCTGAGGAGCTCTGATGAAAGGGAGGGGCTTGGAGTAGAGCCATTGCTCCTCCAGCAGCAGCTCTATCCTGCACGTGAGAGGTGGTTCCATTCTAATTTGTGACATCACAAAAGGAGACATTTTGAAACCCATTTTAGGCACATATTTTCTGAAACCAAACACAGACAGAAAATGAATGGACAGAGTTTTTTCATGTTTGGAGTGGTTATAGAGGCAGTAAAGACCCACATAGCGGCCCAAAATGATGCAAAAGATGAGTTTTGCATAATAGGTCATCTTTAAAGCATCATTTTAAAGTTTGAAGAGGTCCTTCAATCATATTTTTGATACATTTGCAGAGGTCTCTAATAGGAATGAAAGCCTTGTAAATTGTACTCTGGGGAAGGAAAGCTCCGGTGCGCCTGTTTCAACACAGAGGAAGGAGAAAGCAGCTTCAGACGACAGGATTTGTAGTTTTATTTCCTAATATTTGGACATCTCGCCTCTGATTGTATGGATTTTATCTCCACAAATAACTGAAGCCTGAAAGAGTTCTGCTGTGTGATGGAGTTGCTAATGCTAAAGGTTAGCTTCTGCTAGTCGACACATTCTCTGCTATTTCCTGGATGCTAGACCAACAACAGCCTTTCCCGCCATGAGCCACGATGGGTGACTTAATGAATGTTCAGTGACAGTGTGACGTCGATCTGTCAGGGTATTCAAATCCTAGAGATTCACTGTCTATTTTCTATCAGGAGCTGATGCAGGAGATAGGTGTAGGAGACCATTTTCATGTTCAGCCTGCATGTTGAACTCAGAGTGACTGATCAGTTTAAAAAATAACAAGTAAAATAATGTTCTTCAGTGAAGGACATATTTAATACTTTAACTTATTGCTTTCAAACTGGTTTCAGTGGTTCTTGAGCCTGAAATTTGAGCAACTTCACATAGGGAAGCTCTCTGTATCCCTCTGCTGGCCAGAAACGGCACTGAACAACTTTGTGGTTTGGCTAGGAACTAAAGTGAGAGGTGGAGCAACGGTCGAGGTGGTAATCATTGTGCTGGTGGCTAATATAAAGACTAGCAGTTAGCTTTTTCATGGCAGAGCCTGGAAGTAAAAGACAGAGAAAAATGTTTTTGGAGGTGAAGCAAAGAGGTAAAACCAGAGTGAATATGGACATGCCGTACATTTGTTTGAGTAGTGTTGTTTACAACGGTTGTGATTCTGCTTTCAACCACTAGGGGAAGAAGCAGGAAATTTGTTGAGTGTTACTCAAACCCCCACAAAGCAGCTCTAAAATTGAGGCAAACCCGGAAATGAAATAAATTGCAGTTCCACCCTCATCCACTAGGGGCTGGTGTCAGAAGCGAGCAAATCCTCATAGACTCCCATGTTAAAAATACCAATTTCACAGCAGAAATAAACATGTTTACAGCCTGGTACCAAAACATGTTTTTGGTTTAAATGATCTAGTTTACACTCATGACAACTCTGAGGGGGGTGAATTTTTTTCTCACTCTTCTGTTTAAGTGTATTAAAAGCCTAATATTCTGTATAATTAATGAGCATCCGACCCACGTGACCACAGAGCTAGCTCCGGGGAAAGGCCTCAGTAGAGCCTCGGCCTGGCTTGGAAACTGCTCCGGGATTTTGAGTCTCTGTGTTTATGTATTCTTTTTTGGATATTTTTTGTGCAATTGTTGGACAAAATGACTTGCTGTGGCATTAATTGCACTAATAGAGCGTCCAAGGAGTCTCCACTTCATTTTTTTCGGTAAGTAAAATTATATTTATGTATTTTAGGTCACTGCCGAGCTGAGCTTAGATTTTAACATGTACTGTCTAACCATGAAATTTAAATGTAATAGGGTAAAACCCAGTGCATTTAACATAATGCTGCACTTTAGAAAATGGGTTGAAATATAACATGTTGGTGGAGCTGGGTTCCGACTATCGGCTTGTGGAGCTCTCGGGAGACCGATGTTTTCCACCCAGTTCTCCCCTCCCCGCATCTCTGTCTGGTCGCGGCTTCTGTTTGATGCACGGGCTGATGGCTTGTGGAGCTCTGGGATGGAAACCTTTCCACCCGGTTCTCCCCAGCGGCAGCTCTGCGCATCTCAGATTGCAGCGGCGCTTGTCTGCTGTGCGGCTGCCGGCTTGTGGAGGTCTCGGAGACCTCTGTGTTCCACCCGGTTTTACCCTCCCGCTCGGCGCATCTCTGTCTGATCGCGGCTTGTCTGCTGCGCGGGCCGCCGGCTTGTGGAGCTCTGGGATGGAAACTTTTCCACCCGGTTCTCCCCAGCGGCAGCTCTGCGCATCTCAGATCGCAGCGGTGCTTGTCTGCTGTGCAGCTGCTAGCTTGTGGAGCTCTCGGAGACCTCTGTGTTCCACCCGGTTTTACCCAGCGGTCAGCCCGGCGTATCTCTGACTCAGAAGCTCTGGTGTTGTGCACAGTTAACTCCGGTTGTAGCTAGGTTGCTACCTCCGTTAGCTTAGCTCCCACCTCCGTGTTAGCTTTGGGTTAGCTTCAGGTTAGCTTGTAGCTAGTTTGACCGGGTGTCGTCAGTTGATCCCAGCCTTACAGCCCCACCCTCAGCTCCACCCCTCTTCCCTTTTTTGGAAATGTCTAGGCTTGACAGAACCTGTGACGCGGTCAAAATGGCGGAGGTGGCCACCTCCCATTTTTCTTCAAAAACGTGTTAGTGGAGCCTATGGAAAGGAGATGTCCAGTATATTTATGTCGATGGTGTTACTGAAAGAAACAGCAGTGCAGCGACTTATTGATAGCTTATTGAACTTAAATCTACAAGTCATGTCTGATTCATTAGAACAAACCTAAATTAACTAATTAAACAAAATATTTAAAAAGACTTGATTTCCTGTTTATGTGTTTTCTACACAAAATATTTCCTTTAAAGTAGATTATTCCTTGCCTTCTTCATCCTCTCCGTCATCGATGATGTCGCATAGCTTTTCAGCCTCATCTTTGACGCCGGCCTCGTCTTCCTTGGTCTCTGAGGGACCGACGGTCTCAGGAGTAAGTAGATGTTCTGTCACCAGGCTCTCTGGGGCTGTGTGTGGAGGGTCTGTGCTTTTAGGAACAAAGCTTATATCAGCTTCCACATGAGATGGAGCATTCTTGTCTGTAAGCGTCTCCGTAGGGACGTTAACCTCGGGATCTGCACTCAAGGTGTCACCCTCCCCAGATAGACGTGCAGGAATCAGTCCAGAATCGGCTGCCGTGTCAAGCCCAGTCTCAGCAGGGCCGGTGATCTCAGCACAGGACTCTTTGGGGTGAGCTGCGGAGATTTCAACAGCTGGAATATTGAGATGAGCAGCTGGAATATCTAAGCGAGCTTCCAAATCGATGGTGGTGACAAAAGTCATGGCACCTTGGGGCTCGTTGTCGCTGGGGGAGGTAGTTACGATATCGTGGATTACTGGTGGCTGACTCTCTGGGTCCAAGTAGGAAGCGTCTTGGGAACTGGGTGGAAGAGGACTCAGCCGGGCTGGACTAGACGGGACTGGACCTTCACTGGAGTCTGGAGTGGTCTCCTGACAAATCTAGACACAGAACAAAGTTCTGATAAAATTCTATTCACTATCTGTTTGCCAGAAAATAATTTTTTTTTCACATTTTGCAGCTTATAGCCAGTTTTTGACATCAGAACAATTCAGTCGTTTTCCTACAATGTTTAACTTTCCTTAACAGAAACGCTGGCTGGTCTTTGATGGACCCACCTGATGACCTTCTTCAGACAGGACCGTTTCTACTGGGATCTCAGCTGGTTTGAACTCTGCAGCAGCTCCTGGAACAAAATTCACACCGTGTCAAAACACCTGAAGCCTAACAACAGTCATCAAAGCAGCCTTTGATTCTTATTTACGTCACAGCCCCAGAGACAGATGTGGACTTGTTGATACCTGCCACCTCCTCGGAGAGACTGGGAGCATCGCCTAGGCTCTCTGTGCCGTCATCCACAGGACCCACATTCTCAATGGCAGCTTCCTGTGGGAAGAGGTGATCCAACATTTAAATTAGTTTACAGTATTCTCAATGTAGGCAGGAATTGTGCTTATTTTTACATTTATTGTGGTAAAAACAAACGGTGCCTTTATGTATTGTTGACTGAAATATCAAAAACTCTACTTTTTGACATGATTAAAGCAAATTTTTCCACTTTGTTTGGAATAGATGGATAAATATTCAGATTTCCAAAACAAATGGAACTTTGTGCAAAATGTCATTTCTCAGCAGATTTGTGGTACGATTAAAGAGCGCCTAAAGCAAATGTGAATCTCCTCTGAATTTTATCTTTCATCGACGGGCAAATAGAGCTGCTGGTTTCTGGCTCATGAACCACTGAAACCAGTTTGAAAGCAATAGATTAAAGTGTTAAAAACTCTTTCATGTGGTCATAATTCCATTTTTGTTTTTCAAAAAGCAATGGGTAATATCCATTCCTTCAAGGAATACTGTATATTTAATCAATTTAAGATCTGAATTGTTGACATATCGTAGCACTCCTTGTTTTATCACATTTATGTGCAGCATACAAAATCTTTTGGCCCAGAAATAACAAAATATCACAAATTCAATTTAGGAAAAATGCACAAGACACTGCCCAGGGAGCTAAATCAACTCCCTTGGAGTAAAAAGAGTAGAAGGTGGAGCTGCTTTCAATCACAGTGAACATAATATGTGGCTGATGACTCATAAATTGCTCGTCCACAAACATCCGTCTTGGTTTTTTGTGATTTTTGTAAAGCTTCGAACTGCAAGTTCAGACACAGGGGCGTATTGTACATGAACCTGCAATCGTGAGTCAGTGTAAAAAGCTGTACTTAATAATGATAAACAACTTTTGAGGTTCCCGTTCTTCATACCTCAGGAGAGAGGAGGGTCCAGCTGTTGGTGGAGGAGCCGCTGCTGCCTGTGCTGTGGCTGCTGTCAGACATCGCCCCCTGCAGGCTCACGTTGCACGAGACAAGATTCAGCTTCAGATCCTGCACATGACGACAGCAACGTGTCCTCAGCGTCAAACCCCTCAAGTCATCACAAATTAAACATCCAGATTTAATAATCTAACTGCAAATCTGTTTTAGATCTGCTGCAGTCTGCACAGTCCAGAGCATGAAATCAAACGTTAAACGACATCACTCCACGCAGTTCGCGAGGTCATTATGCAAAAAATTCTTGCAAAGGATTTAATCATGCAATGAAATGAGACTTAAGCAGCAAAGCATTGGGCACACAGGATAATGGGATAATTGTTGCTGATTCGAGTTATGTAACGGTGTGGTGGCACCCATAATACTCTGCTGCGCGGTCAAATCCAGGGGAAAATGCAGCAGTGAGCTTTCTTACTAATCGCGATTGCTGCTTTAGCTAACCACTTATCCACATTCATTCATCCAGACTATCTACGCGGCAGTTAAAAGACCAAAAATGGTCAAAGCTGAGACACGAACAGCTCACAGATCCCGAAACGAGCCAGCGGAGCTTTGAGCTCCCTTGTCGGTCACCCTAAACGCACTAAGGTTCGGTTTCACACACAAACCAGGCAAATTTCCTGAGCTATGGATGTTGTAGCAACCAATTTTATGGATCACTCCTGATGGTAAACAAAGGACGGTAGCTGGAGCATTCCCACTCTTCCGCGTTCCCACTCAGGCCCTGCAGTTAGCAAGACGTCACAAAATGCTACATTTTATCCATTTAAACCCACGAGACGATGTTTGGTTGTCACCGCTTACTTACAGAAAAGTCGCTGGCTGTTTTTCCGTCAAAAAGTTTGAAATTTTAGAAAAAACAACGATCTTCTCGTCTTGTAAACTTGGGAACCATGGGAATTCCAAACTGCGTCACGTTAACCCTAGGAGTCTCTCCTCCAATAGAATTTCAGTATGTGCGAGGGAGCGCCCACCCCTAAATCAAGGATGGACCAATCAGATAGAAGTCTGGAGAGCGACGTCCATTCAACCAGATTGACGCAGGCAGCTGAAAGTGGCAGGTGATGGGCAGAGCTCTGTCTCGGGTTTATAATAATACAACTTCGAATGTGACACTGACCCTCAAGATGCATGTGTGCTTGCATATTTATACACAGGAGGGAGAGGTAGCGGAACCATCCACACACCGACACGTCTGCAGAGCTAAATTTGACTTCGGGACTTACCAGTGGACAACCCCTGAACTCCAGTTGCTCCTGTGTGGACACCATCGACATATAGGTGGACACTGAAGCTGGTGGACTCGCTTCTCATCGTCTCATTCCTTCTCTATAATTAGTCACAAATAATCAGATTCATACATCTGTCCTTGAAAAAAATAAAGGAAAGTCTATTCGTTTGCTTTGCAAAAGTAGTCATTTAAAAACTATAAAATAAACCCAAAAGAAACTCCTTCAATTTTTTAAACAATTTTCAGTTTTACTTTCTATGGTCTAATAATTCAATGTTTTTTTATATTAAAATGATCAAAATGCTATTTTTACATGTTAGATATTCAATCAAAATGTGAACTTCATAAAATTCAAATGGAAAAATCCTTTTTCAGTTACAGGCAGGAGCAATCGATTGAGTCGAAAAACAGCCAGGCCTTGGTCATGTGACATCAAAATGTCAAGTTTATTATGACCCTTGAACCCAGCCAAGCGCGATCAAGAGCGGAGCGTTACAGAATTTATATTTGCCTTTCGAGGTAAATGCATTTATTTATTTTTTCGAATATATTTCGAGAATGTTGCCTTTCTTCATCAAATGTAATATGTTTAAGTTATTATTTTATACTCCACTCTTTTCGGAGCTGTAGCTCCGTTAAATATAATTAGCTAATTAGCATACCAACTTTTCCTGATTCGCACCACGGGGCAAAAACATGAAAACGCAGTTATGTATAATATTTCATTTAAAAAGTCTAATGTTACAAGCTTTTACATGTTTCATAACATTTCATTCTTTATACCTTTTTTATTTATCATTAGCTGAATTGTTTGTATGCTAATTGGTTTGTTTAGCTATAAAAATTCATCACTTTGGGCAAAATTATGGTTTGAAGCCTAATAAGATTTTTACATGCTAAACTGAATGTAAAGATAACGTTAGAGACGAGGCTGAAGTTTGCTTCCAATTCACACCGTTCCATTAAAATAAAACATACACGCTATTTTCTTTGAACACATCATTTTATCTCTTAGCTTGGTGAACACATTAGCTCTGTAAGGTACGAGGCTGAAGTTAGCTTCCGATCCGGTAAACGGCTAAAGGGACATTACACCCCATTTTTCTTAACCCTGACCATCTTTAATCTGCTCTAGCTCAAAAACGACAACACCCACACCCTTCAAACCTGTTCTAGATTATTCTACAATAAAAGCAGATTGTATACAACCTTGTTTGGGATTTGTGAAACCTTTTCCTGATTTGTCAAACTCCAACACAGATTGTATTTTTTTGTTGACATGTAGCACAGTTACAGAACACCCACAACTATGCAAAATTTACTTTGTTTGCGTGTCTTAATTAAAAACAAGCAGAAATATTCAGCTTCAAACTTTTTTATTCTCCCACATTCCAGAGAAATTCAGAGAATTGAACATCTCTCCATTTCTGTCCTGAGTTACATGAGGTCAGGGGGGTTTAAGATTTTTGGCATCTGCCTGATCAATCCCGTTGGCTGCCTGGTGGGGTCTGGGTCCCTGGACTCTGCTGGGTCCCCGGCGGGGGTGGCAGCCCCTGGGTCCCGGGCTCGGCCGGCTAGGGGGTGGGAGGCTGCAGGCGGGCCTGAGGGCTTGCCGCCTGTATCTCCTGGGACTCTGCCGGCTGCTGGTTGTGGCCCCCGGGGCGATCCTCTGTGCCTCTCGAGGGAGGTGGGGGCCTTTCTGGTCGCGGTCTTTCTGGGGTTCCTGTGCTCTGGGGCAGCTCCTGGATCTCTGGGACTTGGAGCTCCCTCCGTCTCCTACACATCTTTAGGGGGCAGATCTGTGGCCCCTCACACTCTCTATTTGACGCTCCTAAAGAGAAACCTTACATAAACAAACACGTGTACGCACACAGGTGCTCACATGGTGCTCTCCTAAGTATGGACTTGGGCACGTTCAACACATGTCTTAAGGCTATGGTGGGCACTTAATGCACTATGATTTATTATCATGTGATTGTTCAGTTAAACAATGTTGATTATATGTTTCTTCATCAAGTTGACACAGTGATAGCTTGATCTTGTATTGTTGTTGTGTCCCATTTTGTTTGTGCATGGATTCTGGTTGAATCTTTGACCACTCCTCTTGACAGAATTGGTGAAGTTCAGTTAAATTTGATGGCTTTCTGACATGGACTTGTTTCTTCAGCACTGTCCACATGTTTTCAATGGGGTTTAAGTCAGGACTTTGGGAAGGTCATTCTAAAACCCTTATTCTAGCCTGATTTAGCCATTCCTTTACCACTTTTGATGTGTGTTTGGGGTCATTGTCCTGTTGGAACACCCAACTGCGCCCAAGACCCAACCTTCGTGCTGATGATTTGAGGTTATGTTGAAGAATGTGAAGGTAATCCTCCTTCTTCATTATCTCATTTACTCTCTGTAAAGCACCAGTTCCATTGGCAGCAAAACAGCCCCACAGCATAATATTCCCACCACCATGCTTAACTGTAGGCATGGTGTTCTTGGGGTTAAAGGCCTCACCTTTTCTCCTCCAAACATATTGCTGGGCATTGTGGCCAAAAGCTCGATTTTTGTTTCGTCTGACCACAGAACTTTCCTCCAGAAGGTCTTATCTTTGTCCATGTGATCAGCAGCAAACTTCAGTCAAGCCTTAAGGTGCCGCTTTTGGAGCAAGGGCTTCCTTCTTGCACGGCAGCCTCTCAGTCCATGGAGATGCAAAACACGTTTGACTGTGGACAATGACACCTATGTTCCAGCAGCTTCTAATTCTTGGCAGATCTGCTTTTTGGTGATTCTTGGTTCACTCTTTACCCTCCTGACCAATTTTCTCTCAGCAGCAGGTGATAGCTTGCGTTTTCTTCCTGATCTTGGCAGTGATGAAACAGTGCCATGCACCTTATACTTACAAACAATTGTTTGCACTGTTGCTCTTGGGACCTGCAGCTGCTTTGAAATGGCCCCAAGTGACTTTCCTGACTTGTTCAAGTCAATAATTCACTTTTTCAGATCCATGCTGAGCTCCTTTGACCTTCCCATTGTAGCGTTTGTGGGCGTTTGTATCCAATGAGCCCTATTTACCTGGCCTAAGAGAAGTCACCCGCTGTAGTCACTCATAATCATTCACAAGAAGTTAAGAGGCCATGCTATGCAGCTCAGTTCACTGACACGTTTCTAAGTCACCAAAATTGCTAGTTCATGTTGCTGTATGTATATTTGTGACCCAGCAAATGTGATCACTTTTCTCTGTTAACCCATAATAAAGACATTAAAGAACCAAACTTCATGAATGTTTTTTGTGACAAAGAAGTATCTGTTCCAATCACTCTATCAGAGAAAAATCAGAGTTTTAGAAATAACGGGACACTCAGTAGAGCCATTATATTATATTTTTTACAAGTGTATGTAAACTTCTGACCACAACTGTATCAGGCGTGAAATTAAAAGCAGACGCTTTGATGCTCCACCTGAGAGGAAATCTGTAAGGCTTGTCACCAGCATTCAGACATCAATTCTGTTTGCTTCACAGCCAGACAGGACACAGAAAAAAGAAAAAAAGAAATCATCACATTTAGTACAACATAATCATACAAAAAATGGTTAAACTTTAAATGCCATAAAGTCAATAATCATGTTCTAGCAAGTTTTCTTAATTACATGAGTTATACATAATTTTTAAAAATTAAACAAAAAAAACATCACTTTGAGTTTTTTATGAAATACTTACATAATCTCAGTGGTGTTATACACCCTACTCACAACTGGACAAGAGGTGTTTGGGCATTGTCCTCTTCAGATCCAAATGCACCCCAAGACTGTCCATTAAATCTCCCAATTCTTTCAACCACAATATTTACCGTGTGCCCATTCCTTCTTGACAAAAAGTTTGTCCAACTCAAGCAAAGTTGACACCCACATGACAAGTTTGGAAGCTCCTTCAATGTCATTTATACTGCTATTATAGTAGAATAATCTAGAACAGGTTTGAATAGTGTAGGTGCTGTACTTCCTGAGCTAGAGCAGTTCCAGTGTCGGGCAGGTGCTCAAAAAATGTATAAATCTGTCTTTGTTGATGTTTCACAAGTCAGGGAAAGGTTTCGCTCCTTTGGCAGGCGTCTCCTGGTCATCCCTAAAGTCAGGACACACACTCCCGGCGAGGCGTCCTTCCAGTGTTATGGCCCTCGCCTCTGGAACGAGCTGCCAGAGGACCTCAGGGCCGCAGAGAACGTTGATGTTTTTAAGCCCAGGCTTCTTTTTAGGTTAGCTTTTACCTAAATATTTACTACAGTTTTATTTCTCGTTTTACATGATTATATTTTATTGCTTGCTTAGCATGTTTTATATGATTATATTTTAGCATTATTTTCATTATTTAATATTATTATTTTACTGTCCATATGATTTAATTTATTACTTATTTTCTAACTTTTGTCCCTTATATCAGCTCTTTTATTATATTTTTACTCATTTTAATCCAGTGTTTCCTCTGTAGGGGCCCTCTGCCCCGGGAGCGGTGGTCGACTGTAGCTTCCTGGGTGCTCTATAGGTAGTGTTTAAGTGGAGGTGGGGGTCTATGCTCCCCCTCCACTGAGCGCCCTGACTTAGTGTGGATGACCTGATGCTGCCGGGGCAGACTGCTCCTCTGATGGCGTTTCCTTGCCTTACCTTACTTGGCTCATCTGGACTCAGCTAAATATAAATATAATTTTTTACTTGTGTGTGTGTGTGTGTATGCATGCATATGTGTGCTTGCATACGTCTGTTAATGTTTTTAACCTGTTATGGTAATCTGGGGTCATTTTGTAAAGCACTTTGAGTAGCACTTTGTTTGAAAAGCGCTTTATAAATAAATCTG